AAAGATCAGAAGAGCTTGGCATGTTTCGACTTAGTCGTCTTTTGTCCGACTTTGTTGATTTAAGGTTTGAGGATTCAATTGAGTCCCCAGACATCTCAAGGGAAGAAACTCTTCACGAGGTGTTATTAAGAAGGAAAAAGGCTCCTTCTCGATCCCCTCAAGAGAGAGCTCTTCGCCAATTAGGAGTGGAGAGGACTGATGTTTCTACTCTTGTGTCAACTAGTCGTCCACGCAGGAATGGGTATGCTCCTCTTCGCCTTTCTTTATGATCCTTAAATTGGTGTCGTGGAATGTTAGAGGTTTGAGGAATACAGAGAAACAATATTCCATCAGAGATTTTCTTGCTCCTATTCGACCTTCGATTTTTTGCTTCCAAGAGACAAAACTTGAAAGTTGCACGGATTCTATTGTTGGGGTACTTGGTGGTTGCTATGGAATGGGTTGGGTTGACAAACCATCAGTTGGTCTCTCAGGTGGTCTTTTGGTTGCTTGGGATAATCTGGTGTTTGATCTAGAATGTCATTGGGTGGGGAGGTTTTGTTTGGTGACAGTGTTTACATGCCGAGATAATGGTTTTAAGTGGGTGTTGATTAATGTGTATGGACCTAATGATGGTAGTGAGCGTCGGGCTTTCTTTGATGAATTGACATCGTGTTTATCTTGGTGGTCATTTCCTGCTTGTGTCGTGGGAGATTTTAATGTGGTAAGGTCTCAAGATGATGTTGTGGGGGGTCCAAGAAACCCTGTGGATATGGCAATGTTTAATGATTTTATTGAAGAGCACGCCCTCATGGATCTCCCTATGCTTGGATATAAGTTCACGTGGTCAAATCAACATTCAAACCCTTCATTATCTCGCTTGGATAGAGTGTTGGTCTCTTCTGATTGGGAGAGTGAGTTTCCTCAATGTTGTTTGAAATCATTTGTTAGAGTGAGTTCTGATCATTGTGCTCTTTTGTTGTCTTGTGGAGAGGAGCGTGTTATTCATCGACCCTGGAGATATGAGTTCATGTGGGCTGACCATGAGGATTTTGAGGGTCAGTTATGCAATTGGTGGATTGATGAGATTGGGGGATTTGGGGATTTCTTCAGGTGTGCAAAGAAGCTAAAACAAATGAAAGCTCACATTAAGAAGTGGAATATAGAGGTTTTCAAGCATGTGGATCAAGAAATTAGTTTTACTCTTCAAAATATTGCAGACTTTGATTTGTTAGAAGAAACTGGAGTCTGGTCAGAGGAAGATAGAGTGCAACGTAATATGTTGAAGTGTCATTTGGATAGATTGTGGAAGAGAAAGGAAATTTCATGGCGTCAAAAATCTGGAGAGACTTGGCTCAAGTTTGGGGATAAAAATACTTCCTATTTCCACAAGGTTGCTAACTTTAATCGGAGGAGGAATTTTTTGGATAATATTTGGGTGAATGACATTCTTTGCTCGGGTCAAGATCAATTGGCGGGTGCTATTGTGTCCTATTATGAGTCTATCTTTCAAGAGGCATTTCCTAGAAGGCCTTTTCCCTTTGGTATTGTGTTTTCGTCTCTTCCTCCGCAAGCAACAGACTTTTTGGTGAGAACATTTGATGAAGATGAAGTGTGGAGGGTGATTAAGAAAAGTAAAGGAGAACATGCACCTGGACCTGATGGTTTCCCAATGGGGTTCTTTAAGAGGTTCTGGTCTATCGTGAAATTGGATGTGGTGAATGCTTTAAAAGAGTTCTATGTGTCTGGGACTCTCCCAAAGAGCGTTCATCACACCTTCTTGTGTCTTATCCCAAAGAAAGAAGCTATAAGTGATATTAGGGATCTTAGACCTATTAGTTTGGTATCAAGCCTATACAAGATTCTTTCAAAGGTGCTTATGGAAAGATTAAAAGTTTTCATGGGAGGCTTGGTGGCGGTGGAACAATGTGCTTTTGTGGGTGGTCGGCAGATCTTAGATGCGATACTTATCGCAAATGAGCTCATTGACTCTAGGAAGCGTGCTCGGAAACCTGGATTAGTTTTCAAATTGGATATCGAGAAGGCATATGATCATGTAAATTGGGAGTGCCTCTTTATTGTAATGAAGACTATGGGTTTCCCCCCACTTTGGATTAGGTGGATTCAGGGGTGCATCACTACTGCTTCGTTCTCTGTTCTTGTGAATGGGGAAGCTTCTGGTTACTTCTCTAGCAAAAGAGGGCTAAGACAAGGAGACTCTCTTTCTCCCTTTCTTTTCATCCTGGTGATGGAGGTTCTCTCAGGTATTTTGAGGACTTTGCAGTCTCGTGGTATGGTTGAGGGATTCTTTATGAATGAAGAATTGAGAATGGGGGAGGTCACTCATATTCTTTATGCTGATGATACGTTGTTATTTTGTGATGCATCTGAAGACCAAGTTCGTTCTCTTCTCACGGCCTTAGCTCTCTTTGAAACAATTTCTGGTCTACGAGTGAACTTACATAAGAGTTCCATGATGGTTGTTGGGGAGGTTGAGAATCCATCACGTTATGCAGACATTTTTGGATGTGAGTTGAGTTCTCTTCCGACTACCTACTTAGGATTGCCATTGGGTTCCAGAGCAGCTTCTTTGACAGTTTGGGAACCAGTGATTGAAAAAGTACAAGCTCGATTAGCTTCTTGGAAGGCCAGAATGCTATCTTTTGGCGGGAGGTTGGTGCTTTTGAAAAGTGTTCTTTCTAATCTCCCTATATACTTTCTTTCCCTTTTTAGGGCCCCGAGCTCAGTGATTGCTAGACTTGAGAAGATTTATAATGACTTTCTGTGGTCAGGGGTGTTTGAGACAAAACGATTGCATTGGGTGAAATGGGATATTGTAAAGACTCCAATTATTAGAGGCGGTTTGGGAGTCTTGGATCTTAGGTGTATGAATCGAGCTTTGTTGGGGAAATGGGCTTGGAGATTTGGGGTTGAGAGGGATGCATGGTGGAGGAGGTTGATTGTTGCAAAGTTTGGACAAGGTAGGTCCGAATGGAGACCATGTTGGAATTTGGGAGTGTATGGTTGTTCTGTGTGGCGGGCAATTGTTCACGAAAGCTCTTACTTTTGGAAGGTTGCCTATGTCGATCCTGGGGGTGGTTTTGGGGTGTCTTTTTGGCATGATTTTTGGGTTCCTGGGAAACTTTTGGTGAGTGATTTCCCAAGGGTTGGGTTCGTAGCCCAATCCTTGGATGCCTTTGTGTCTGACATGTTTTCTATGGTTGATAGGTCTTGGGAGACTCCTCTCACTATATCTCTGAGGGGTGGAGCTGAAGCTGAACGTGTTCTTTTGATGCAAACGTTGAATGCTCTTCCTCAACTTTGGATTACCACAGGGCCTGCACGTTTGGTTTGGCCCTTAGAGGCATCTATGGTCTTCTCGGTTCATTCTTTCGCTACAAACCTTATTGAGAGTAACTTTGGAGGTGACACTGCTTTCCCTTTCAAGTTGGTGTGGAATCCTTGTGTGCCCTCAAAAATATGTTGCTTCCTTTGGATGGTCTCTCATGAGAAGATTGCTACTGTGGATAACTTGAGAAAAAGAGGGATGATTCTTCCGAATTGGTGCTCTCTTTGCAAACAACATGAGGAATCGATTTCACATCTCTTTTTCTCATGTCCATTTGCAATTGCCATATGGGATAATTTCAAAAAAGCTTTTGATCTTCATGGTCCTTACCTTCCTTTCATTCGCCAATTCCTCATTGCTTGGCGAGGCTTGTGGTGTGACCCACGGTTCAGAGACTGCATCAAGTTATTGCCCCATGCAGTGTGTTGGTACATCTGGTTGGAGAGAAACAATAGGATTTTCAGGGATGTGGAGTCCTCCCCAAAAGAGATTGGACAGAAGATTGTTCTTATAGTTGGACGATGGTTACGAGCTTTTAGTCGCATCTCAGATAGACGCTTCCACCAGTGGATGGCGATCGGGACGAAGCACCTCATTTGACCCTCACGTTCTTTCTTCTTTTTAATCTCGAGTTGGGTTTTTTTTTTTTTTTTTTCCTTTTCTTTCTTTCTTTTGCTTAATTTTGTTTTGTTTTGTTTTGTTTTGTTTTCATTGCTTGCTTGCTCTACTACTGGTTGAGCTGCTGACTTTTTATTTTTTACCTTTGTACTTTCATGGATTGGTTATTTTTTTATAATATTCTCATCATTCATCAAAAAAAAAAAAACTTTTGTATTATATTTATATTATATATTTTTTAAATAGAAAGACAGTGGAGTAAATTATAGTCTCATAAATAAAGATCCAAACTTTGACTTTAAATATGAAATTATGAACGATTGATAACTTTCTTCAACCTAACAAATCAATTTTTTTTTTTCTCTGCTCCATTTCTTACAAATCAATCAAACTTTTTGCATTGATCTAATCTGGAAACCAGGGCCGCTAAAGACAAACAAACAGCTTTCCGCCCTGACCAATAGGTCCGGTCCAGAATGGTAAGGCTTCAGCATCTTGGGCCTCATCCCATAAGCCCCAAGTTTATCAGAATACGGGCCCGACCAGACCCAACCCAACCCGAATCTGTTGTGTAGAGTTGACAAACCAAATACCAAAAATGGCGAAGCAAAGCAAGTGCCTGCTTTCGTGGATCTGGGATTGTGAAACAATGATAAAACAAAAGCTTTTGCATGAATTCTTGCTTTCCGTGTTAAACAAACTTCCTTCACCACGTGCCATCCACATTAAAGAACAGCACAAGGATTAAAGAAATCGGGGCTTGTGATGTCAACTTCACTCGATAATCACTTGTTGGGAAAACTCGAGCTTTCGCTTAGCGAGTCTCCAGAGTCCAATCCACCAAGCCATGCCCCATGAGATTACACGTGGCTCCAAAAGCTTGCCGACGCGGCTTGTGAAAAGCGGGTCCCACTCTCCAAATTTCGTTTCTGTTCGTTCATTAGCGCCCTTAATTCATCGTCATCACATCATCCCCACCCAAACTGTGGCACTACACTACACTCTACAGCCAATCGCAATTTTCCTTCCATTCCCCCCCCCGTCGTCTCGATTCCGCCGCAAAAGATGGCGGCCACTCTGACATTCGCCGGTTGCAGCTCCATCTCCGGCGCTATTGCCGATGCCCGACGCAATCTCCCCTCCTCTTCGTTTATCGGCGGAGATCTGTGCTCCTCGCCCTTCCGCGGAGTTCGCTTGAGTGATGAGAGGAAGTGCAGCGACGGCCGGTTAGCTGCCGGGAGGGTGAGAATGAGAAGAGCCAAAAGAGGCAGCCCGATTCGCGCAATGTCGGCCGGAAACGGCGCTTCGTCTTCGCCGACGAGGCATCTGAATGAGTACATGGTGACGATCGATCGGCCTCTCGGTGTTCGCTTCGCCTTGTCTCTCGATGGCAAAATCATTGTCCATTCTCTTAAGAGAGGCGTAAGTCTGCACTCTACATCGTCGTTTCCCTTCGACTCAGCTCCTAATTGCTTATCGAGAAACGGAGTTTTTGAATTTTGAGATTCGCGTTGGTGTGATTTTCAGGGCAATGCGGAGAAGACGAAACTCGTAATGGTTGGCGATACTTTGAAGAAGGCCGGTGGTTCCGCCAGCTCGCTCACGGTGATTGGTGATATCGGTGCAGCACAGTAAGCACATTGATTGCATTTTCCATTGTATTTCTTGGAAGCGAGAGCGAGTTACTGGTTTATGGATTTGCGTAGGCTGCATTTGCGATAGCTCAGTGGTGCTATTGAGCGATTCTGCGTTCTGCAATTCATTCCAAAGTTTGATTGATTGATTTTTTCATTCGTTTCGATATTGTTTGCTGTTAGGAAGGTGTTAATGGAGGATGTTGATCCCAATACACCGATGACTTTAGTCCTGGAGAGACCATTCTTTCCTTTCCCAATTCATCTACTCGACTTTTCGAGTGATATTGGAAGCTTCAATAGAGGAAGAGTGGCTGTGGTGACTTGGAACAAATCTCTGCTAGCATCAGGTCTTCAAAGTAATGAGGAAAATGGGAATTCCGGATTTGCGTCATTTTCTTGGAACTTCCTATCACATCATGGGTGGAAGCTTTTGAATGATCGAACTGGGAGGATGGAGTCTCCAGAGTTGAGGTATAAGACTCAAGTTGTGAGCATTTTGTCTGAAGAACAGTTTGGAGATGGAGAATGGGCTCATGGGAACTTCCCTCTGGAAGAGTATGTGGCTGCATTAGAACGTTCCAAAGATGAGTTGTACTATGATCATTCTCTTGGTATGCACTACACTAAGGTGAGCTGGTGTTCAAAATTTTCTTTATCCGCATTGTCGTGTGCAAAGGTCTTCCTTGAGTTCTTGAGAGTTTTATGTTTATACGAACTGCTTTTGCTGTCAGGTTACAGAGCAAATATATGTTGGATCATGTCTACAGAATGTGGAGGATGTAAAAAGATTGTCCAGGGCGGTGAGTTCATATTGGCCAGTTGGTTGCTTCTGCAGAGTAAATTTTGGCTCTTGGAGATATTTAAGGTTCCATCTCCACTTTTTAACAAGTTCATCTGCATCAGGGTATCACTGCAGTAATAAATTTCCAGGGTCCTACTGAAGCAGAGAACTGGGGAGTTAACTTGAATGCAGTAAATGAGGCGTGCCAAAGGTCTAATATCCTAATGATCAACTACCCAATAAGGTAAGTCAGAAGAGTTTCCTTCTGAATCAAGAAAGATGTCTATTACAGTCTGTCCTAGAAGCATAAGTTGCTGCCGTTGTGTTTCCTGCAGGGATTTGGATTCATTTGAATTGAGGAAGAAATTACCTTTTGCTGTTGGCCTCCTGTTCCGCTTATTGAGAAAAAACCATCATGTTTTGATAACTTGCACTACTGGTTTTGACCGATCTCCTGCTTGTGTGGTTGCATATCTGCACTGGATTACCGACACTTCCCTTCATGCAGCGTACAACTATGTCACTGGTTTCCACGTATGCAAGCCTGACAGGTTCTTGTTTCTTAATCTTGTTCTTAGTTTCTTTTCCTAGTCCTTAACGCATCCTCGTAGTGCAAAGCAGAAGTAATGTTGTGTCATGAGTTGAATACAAGAATAGCTAGTTGCTAATGGTGTCACGTGCTCTTCTCTGTTGTGGAATATGATACTATACAATATTTTCTAGTAGCTAAACTTTTGGCCTTGGTTACTCAGTTTTCTTTTTCTGGCTCTTTCTCTGTGATACAGACCGTTAGGGTGAATTCTTGCATCGATTTCTTTTGAAATAGAACAAAGTGTCTAACAAAAAACTTAATGGCAGAGCTGCAATTGCTTGGGCAACATGGGATCTGGTTGCTATGGTGGAAAATGGGGTGCACGATGGACCGCCAACACATGCTGTAACGTTTGTGTGGACTGGGCAAGAGGTAACTTATGATGGTTTGCAAATGAGCACTACTGCTTAGCTTGGGATCATATAAGAATACACTCTTCAACCCCGACGTTGATATCACAATGAAGAACCTGACAGAAAACTTGTTCTATTACCTGTTGAAAGGGGGAGGATGTGTCCTTGGTTGGAAGCTTTACTGGAAACTGGAAAGAACCTGTCAGGGCAACTCACAAGGGCGGGCCAAGATTTGAAGTTGAATTGAGGTTGCCACAAGGAAAGTAAGTGTTATATACATTTGCAGTGGACTTGAACAAAGTGTTTAAAGCGTCTGATTCAATTTCTGCATTTGCTTCCTTGATCAATTGCCTAATCACTTTTCAGGTACTACTACAAGTACATTATTAACGGGGACTGGCGGCATTCAAATTACTCACCTACAGAAAGAGATGAAAGTGGTAATCTAAACAATATACTTGTGCTCAGTGAGCCTGCCAGCATAAAGCACACTGTTCATCAAAATCAGAAGGTCAGTGCATGAAATCTGTGTCATTTTATCACTTAACATTTCCTGCCATTCTGTGTTGATATTCATTTCCTTGATGCGATCCTTGCTAAATGGGAGTCCCTAGCTTTTAAGCCGTCATCTTGTCGAGTTATGCGTTTCATGCTCTTACTATACATAGATTGATGTCCTAATTCCAGGAATTCCTGCTTGTGTTCTGGCTTTCCAGGATATCAACATTGTGAGAGTTATCGAGAGGGGGCTTACGGAGAGTGAGAGATTCACTCTTGCTAAAGCCGGTCGCTGCATAGCTTTCTCTGTCTGCCCGCAGAGACTGGCTCCCAAGTAAAACTACATGGCATGCTGTTCTCATCCCTACCAGAGATGTCCCTATGCTACAACTTGGGGATGCTTACTTGGCATCATATTCTGTCCTGGTAACCGTTAAGTCTTACCTCCCAAGACCTCATATAATACGCCGCTGTGGGTTACAATCACAGCTCACTGCCGATAACATTGAGTATGGAGATGGCAAAATACGTTGGGCCACAAATAAGCATGAAGAACAGGTGAATACTACATGCTGCTGCTGCTGTTGGTGTCATTGGGCCATACATAAAAGTGATCAGACGAAGCAAGTTAGAAACTGCAAAGGATATGCAGCTTGCAGGCGTTGCTGGTGTAGATAAGCTACTGTTACTGCTATCGCAATACTTGGGCTGAATCAATTAATAAACTTGCTATGATTCTTCTAAAATAGGGGAAAAGACATTTGTTATGTATCTTTGTGTTGAGTGAAGATCATAAATGAGGAAGTTTTGCATTTGGGAATATAGGTGTTTACTTTGCTCTAATCAAGCTTAGGCCAAGTGTATTCTTATTTATCGACTACATGGGCTCTCCTGTTATGCAGTTGATGACCACAGAGTAGGCAATATAATGGTAGGGTAGGTGTTTCATTTCTTTTTTTTTTGTAGTTGCGGCAACTACAAAAAAAGAAAAGAAAACAAACAAGACGAACCCAGAAGATGACACTGGCTTATGTCGACACTCTGTGGGCGAAGTAGTGTTATACTTGCAGCGTAGATGGCACAAGAATGTTGACACTATGTCATTGGCTTTGAAATTATCATGAAGTATATAGATAGATGCATTCAGGCTCCAACCAACCAGTGCAGCTGCCTAAAGAAAAGACCCTTTTTTCCAGAGAAGAGATGCTGATTCATTTATCCACAGAAACACGGGAAAATGGTTGTCAGCTCAGCAAGTTTTTTTTCTCTGTGCTGCCGTTACCCCGAACAGTTTCAAGAGCACTGACCATTACGCATTATGTAACACAGTTGTTTCCTTTTAGCATGGTTACTAACGTTCAAGTGTTTAGTTTCTTTTGGGCAGATTTTCAAGAGCGACTACTGGATTAAACTCTTGACGATCTTCATTAGCACGGCGAGTAACCTCAATCGCATTCCTCGCTCTCGTTCTCATTCCCCACCTACAGTAACACAAGAAGAATCCTATCATCCAGTACTATTTGTTAATGGAGGAGATTTTGTGGGGAGTAGAAAAGTCCAAATAAGAGAAGAAAGGAGGAAAGAGATAAGGGCAGTGAGGTATATGGAACGCTGATTCCTGTGGAGTTGAAGCAGAGCCATGTTTTGGAGATCAGCCCAGATATGGCCTTATCCCCTCCCTCTCCCATCATCAAGGTGCTTCTTTCCCCGTGCAGTGCAGGCCCACTAGTGTAATTCTTCTCTACCTTGCATTCTAGTTTCTACTATGTCTGGCCACAATGGAGTGCACTGCTGCCTGTTGTGGCTGCAATTGATACTTCAAAATTCATGTACCAGATAAAGAACATTTAGTTTAAGTTATGCATCATCCAAACTGATACTTCAAATAGTGATAAATGTACAGAATGCGTTGTGATGAGATATAATCTACTCGAAATTCATAGTGTATCGGAGACATATAAAATGTTCGATCGAATTTTCGACATAAGTTTGAGACGTGGGAGGAGGAGGTATCCAATGACTTCCATCCAAAAGCTAGCCAAAACGGTCCAGAGCCTCATATCCTCTTCGTTAATTGGCAGAGGAAGGGGCAAGCAAGAAGCAGTGGTTGACACAGCTAGCTTTCGCTTTCATTATCCAATGGCCCTCCTTCTTGCTGGTTGTGGTGTGGTGGATCGACTCATTCACTCCATCATCCATCCACATTACCTTCCCCATTTTTATAATGATGAAGAGAGGAAGGCTGTGCAACTTGCAAGTAGTAGCAGAGAGCATTATAAATCGAGAGAAGCAAAGGGTCCATTGAACCCACAATGTCGACCGCTTCCCTCAACGGCGCCTGCTCACTTATACTCTCCTCCCCCAAAACCACCACCACCACTTCTTCCCCGCGAAGACTCGTCGTCGCTAAGCTCAACAACACTCCACCTCCCTCTTTCTCTTCTTCTTCCTCCTCAAATCCCATCAACACACCTCCTAGGCTCATCAGGAACCAGCCTGTTTTCGCCGCCCCTGCCCCTCTTCTCAATCCTTCCTGGGTACGGATTACTAGTTGGCTTATTCTCCCCCTTCATTTCACATTTAGCTCTCCACATGGCATTCTGAGTTTGGTGCATACTTGTGTTCTGTTTCTGGTTCAACTGTAATACTTAATGCATGGATGGAGATGATAACAAATGTGCAATTTCAAGTGGAGGAGAAGAGGAAGAGGAGTATTCATCAAATGTACCTTTCATCATGCAACGTATTTGACTGGCTGATAGGCAGCCCACGTGAATCCATTTCCCCCTCAGCAAGTTACTTGCCACCATTAAAGTTTCCACGTAATTATGGGTTGAGGGGTAGTCCAACTGTATTGAACCACCCTACTAGCCATAATTAAGCAGTTGACACACTCCAATACTTGAATGAATGGTAGATTTTTTTTGCATGACACTTAGTTTGGCTTGCTTTACTTGGTGGTTAATGAATGGTTGAACTTGATGAACAGAGTGAGGAAGACATGTCGAAGGACTACCAGGAAGCCATCAAGGGTCTTGAGAAGCTCCTCAGGTAACATAATCCTCCATATCTTTAAGTCATGAGTTATTTGGTAATATGTAAGTGGAATTATTAAGGAATGATGGTAATTAATGCAGTGAGAAAGGAGAGCTGAAGGCGGTGGCAGCAGCCAAAGTGGATCAGATCAAAGCTGAGCTCTCCACTGCTTCCTCTGGCACCAAGCCATTCGATGCTGTTGAGAGGATCAAAGAGGGCTTCATTACCTTCAAGAAGGAGAAATACGAGTAAGTTTCACTCACAACTTGCAACTACTTTTGTGACAAGAACCAAAACTATGAATAATGATTCATGTTCTCTTTGTTATTGGAACAGGACGAAACCTGCACTGTACGGCGAGCTTGCCAAAGGGCAGAGCCCCAAGGTAGTTTTTGAAGCACATAACTTGTATCCCAAGCATTAACTTTGCTATTAGCTTATTGGATTGTACTCCTCCATAGCTTATTATTCAAAGTTAATATTCTATTTTACTTCTGTGGGGAGCAGTACATGGTGTTTGCCTGCTCGGATTCGAGGGTTTGCCCATCCCACGTTCTGGATATGCAGCCTGGAGAGGCTTTCGTGGTCCGCAATGTTGCAAACATGGTTCCTCAGTTCGACCAGGTCAGTCAATCTGTCATTTCTTCAACCTCTCGCAGCAATTCATGTTTCACGTCTAATAAATATTTCGCTTAATCTTTCTCGCTAACTCGAGTTATGGTGGATAAACAATTATTTACAGGTGAAATATGCCGGGGTTGGAGCTGCGGTAGAGTACGCAGTGCTGCATCTCAAGGTGGAGAACATAGTGGTGATTGGGCACAGTGCTTGTGGTGGAATCAAGGGTCTCATGTCTTTCCCATTCGATGGCACTACTTCCACGTAATTAAGTTTACTCTAATCATTCTCTTTTTTCCTAATCAATTCAAGAGTGTTTGATTTTAACCTAAACTGTTTGTTTTTTTGGTCATTTGGGATGAAATGGATGTGCAGTGATTTCATAGAAGACTGGGTATCAATTGGGATCCCTGCCAAGAAGAAGGTGTTGTCTGACAACGGCAGTGCTGCTTTTGGTGACCAATGCACCACCTGTGAGAAGGCAAGTGTACTAGTAGTTACAAGCTCCATTTTTTCATGGTTCACTATGAGCAAATTTCTATGAGATTCTATCATTCGGTTTGCGGATTTTGGTGCTTATTCATGCAACAGTATTGTTTATTTAGACATAAAAACATTTTGTTATCCGTCCATGTTATATTGCAGGAGGCCGTGAACGTGTCGCTGGCGAATCTGCTGACATATCCATTTGTGAGAGACGGGCTTTCGAAGAAGACACTGAAGTTGTATGGAGGATACTATGACTTTGTCAATGGAGGGTTTGAGCTGTGGAGCCTTGAGTACGGCCTTTCTCCACCGATTTCAGTATGATCCCCCAACACAACAGCTCGCCTTTTTCTCCCTCTTTGATGGTTTCCCTAATTAATCACAAGCTATAACCCATCAACCCCTTCCCTTCATTTTTACTTTTCTTCTTTACCTTTTTATGTCAAAATCAATGTATATTTCCTTTTTTTCCACGAAAGAGAGCTCTCTCTATATGCGCATTGAATAAAATCACAACTTACATACATACTAGTTTTTTTTCACCCGCTTGTTGTTCGGATGAGTTTTGTTCGTGAGATGATAAAATGGACCATGTGTTTTGGTAGGTAAAAGATGTGGCCACCATTCTCCACTGGAAGCTCTACTAGGGACTTTGGATGAAATTCCATGGTTGACATATGGGCTCTTTTATTAGATTTTCTGGCCTTCAATTTGTTACTTTCAAGAGTTGAAGAGAGTGAGGTGGTTTCCTTACTCGACAGAATAATTATAACCTACAAATATCTTCATACATTGTTCGATATTTGTAAAATCGTTTGTTGGGACCCAATTTTCAATTCATACAAAAAATTCACTAAGAACTATTCGGTAAAGTTCATCAAGTTCAACAACTAGAGGTCATCAACAATCTTATGCCTACATAGATAAGATAATCAAAAGCCAAATAGCCTACGTCATCATCCTTTATCTAAATGAAGGCTAAATACTTCAAATTTCTTGCATATAGAAAGAGGAACTCCTGACATATTTATTTTTTTAAAAATGACGAATTACATTAGAAGAGAAACTCCTTATATCGTCGTCTCATCCTATCTCACTTCATTCCACTTAAATGATTAAATATAATATCCACCATATGGTTTGGGTATAAAATTTGGGTTTTTTATCCAAACACATCATTTCCAAACAATTATAATTTTATACACAAGTTTAAAATGTTTTACAATTTAGTACCTTCATTTTTTTTGTGCACCTTCGTTTCTTACAAATATTCCATAAATTTCTATGGAAGTTACTCCTTTCTGCCGTATTCAAATTTTACAAACAAGTCCAAGTGTGATGATAAATACTTAACACAATACCAAAAAAATGGGCCAATCACAAATTCACAATAAATGTCCAATTTAAATTTGAAAGTAAAGACTCATAATTTATCTTACCCTACACAAAGATTACCCAAATCCATGCATAGTTGACCTTATATGCTACTAGAGTACTAGTAAAAAATGGATTAAGTAGGTAATTGTGATCCATATTGGTGACCTGTGCTTTTTAGAAGCTAAAACCAGCAAATATCGCAATCATAGAATGATCGGGGCACACGACAACCAGATTCAACAACTCTAACCATTGAAAGCATCTCAAATCTCATGTCCAAATGTCAAGGGAACTCTCACTGTACGCATCTCGAATCCAAAACTCAATCACGAACACAGATATAGCCCGGTTTGTTTATTCATGACCGATATGAACAGTATTCTCACGACGATACCACAAGTCAAGAGCAAGCATTCCAAATCCCAATTATGGAATTTCTGAAAAGGCAAGCTCGAGACTGTATTGAAGTTAGCATCACTGTAATAATTGTAGGCAGAAATTGATACTTGATAGTTAAGCCAGTGACGGATACAGAATATGTACAACAACAAAGCCCCTCCAGCTCAAATTCAGTGAAACAATTGCATTGCATGGCAGAAGGGCTGTCTATAGCCTAAACAACCAGAGAGCTGAAGAACTGACCGCTTTCAGCCAAACCCATCTACGACTCGTCCGGCTTTGGTTCAAGAATTACGGGTATCTTCTCCTTGTGATCCCCACGGAGCACCTCTATCGTCACCTGCTCGTGTTAAGAACAAAGCTGTAATTACAAAGCTGATTGCATAGCAGTAGACCGATGAAAAAAGATAAAAAGCAGAGGCCATACCGTCTCGCCCACTTTACATTGATCAAGAATTCTGTACAAATCACTTCCATTCGCGACCTTCTTCCCGTTCAGGGATGTTATGATGTCGCCCAATATGAGTCTACCGTATGCATCACGTTTAGTTGGTAGCAGGCCCTGTAATAAGTAGAGATATATGAGCAGAGGGTTCAGGGAAATGAACCAAGAATAGTTGGCTCCGTGAGGTAAAGAAGTATGGGGGAGAGTGAAAGAAGGCATACAGCTTTGCCTGCTGGGCCACTTGCAGGAGCATCTAAGACAAGCACCCCACTAACGCCCAACTGTTCCACTGACTGATCAGGTGCAAACTTAATTCCTAATATCGGTCTGGTGACTTTGCCGAACTTTACTATCTGATCAACTATGCCATTCACCTGTATTCACACAATCAAACAAGTTGCAATACAGTCATCAATTTGGCGAGAATTCTCTTTTCTGAGAAGGTTGAGGTAAATTAGCTAATCATAGTTATTACTTACAGTGTCAACTGGAATTGAAAACCCGACACCAGAGGATGCGCCGGATGGTGAATAGATGGCTGTGTTTATCCCAATCAAGTTTCCTGCACTATCGAGAAGCGGGCCTCCACTATTCCCTGGATTAATGGCTGCATCTGTCTGGATAACATCCTGAATTGGACGGCCTGTAGCAGCAGAGCTTATTTCTCTACGGAGTCCACTAGAACATATTAGAAGACTCTGTTAGTGAAACAGGCAAAAAAGCAAAAGCCTTGTGTTTCACATAAAGGACACATTTTAATAGCGGAAAAATTAGCCACCTTCAGTCTTAATTTTATGCTTTTGATTGTATTTCGTTCTTTGAAATCATTTGGATGTAAGGGTTGGTTCAATGCCCTACTGTATGGCGCTCTATAAAGCTAGGAATGGTAATGCAAGCACAATAGAGACAATTCCCTGAGCAATAAGACATGAAAGGGTAGCAAAAGATCCATCTGATTGGCTAGCAAAATCGAGCAGAACAAGCCGTTAAAGGCTTAAACACAAATATATGACATACTTTCTATAACTTTGTACCTGATGACACCGGTAGTCAGAGTATGGTCAAGCCCAAACTGCAGAATAGAATCATCATTTGAATATTGGTCAGCCATACAATACTAGAGAAGCTTGGAAACAAAGAAGAATTAGAAGTTGCATTTAAATTATATCTCAAGCCTTGATCTTCAAGCCACATAACAAAAAGGTAAATGCTCGAAAGCATCCGACTTTGTTGATACAGTGCATACAATTCTTTTATACATGAAAGCTGGGTACACTTTATTGGCCCTATTGCTGTGTATACTGTTTCATTTTCTGTCGTTTTGTGGGCTGTGATTAAAAGAGCTTATTGTTGCCCAACCCTAAAATATTTCCCATCTCTTCCTCCCTCTCAAATCTCTCCCCTGCACTTTGCTTCTTCATAATGCAGACGCCCATGCTTCCTCTATCCCTATCCCTATCCCTTCACGATCTCACCCCTAAAATCCGCAATCGCAAGCCACTACTAATCTCCCGTCCTCTCAACTCTCAAAGTCTAGCCACTCCGGTTTGCTTCTACATCCATATTGCGATCTCTGCACAGCTGCTCCTACACGCCAACTGCCATGCTTTGTATAGTCCCGCCCTTACTTCCTTGAAGCGAGAGAAGATACGACCCTTTCTATTTCTTTTGCACCTCCCATTCAATTCATTTGTTTCTCTATTCTCTATTTCCCACCTGAATATGCGAAGAAGACTCCAATCTACCTTTTCTTCCAAATACATTTTCCGCCCATTCGTCTGAAAAGAGAGTCCGCTACTTTCACATGTCCTGCTTTTCCCCCCAAAGCAACTACCCTTGGTCGCTGGAAACCCAGTTACCAATGGAGGTTTCGCCGATGTTGCTGATGAGGCAGTTACTGAAGAAGAAGACTGGGAGGATGTGAGCGCCTTGCAAGTTGCAACAGCAGAGGCAGGAGATAGAGGTTTTCAGATTTTGCCGCAGTGCGACGGAGTGGTGAAAGGGCAGCAACAGTTTGTTAAAAGCAGTGTTCAAGAAGACGTTATGCGCTATCTAGGCGAGGAGGCACCGCCCAGCGCCCAGGCCGATTAGTCGTTGCCTAGGCGAGATTAAACGTTGAAAAAAAATATGATAGATAAGCCACATTTCACAAAAATTCAAGTCGCGATATCATTATTCATCCATTCATATAGACATACAACCCTTTTCCACAATCCCAAACATCTCAAGTCCCCAACCATGAGGAGGGATCTCGCCCCTCGAATGATGAGGGGGAGCGGCTGGTCGAATGGAAATGGGAAATAGAATAGGGTTTGGGATTTCCACAAAAAGGCTACACTTTCCCCCTTAATTAGGTGTTTTGGGGGTCACCCTCTAGACTGAAAACACACCTCCGAGCGCCTAGGCACCGATTAGGTGTTTTCTATGAAGATTAATCGTTTAGCACGCCTAGATCAATTGCCCAGGGCTGGACGAGGCGATTTCCTCCTGCCTAGCTATTAATCGCGCCTAGGCGAGAGATTAATCGCGTCTTCTTGAACACTGGTTAAAAGGAGCATAAGGTAGGTTGTTTCCCGAGTTAGATAATTTTGTGAAAGTGAAAATCTTTTATGATTTACTACTTACCATCATCGGTTTGTTCTTTCGTATTCAAGAAACCGATGAGATTCACAAGTGAGGGACGCCAGGAAGAAGGTGAAGACTTCATACTAGAGAAGAACAAACCAAGAAAAAGCGAAGGAGAAGAATCCATGAAAGAATTTTGCAGAGCTACAATATGAAGTTACAAAGCAGGAAGAAACTTTTAAATTTCTAGGTCTTCTTACGTAGGTACATTTGCTGGACTATTTATTGAACTTGGTCACTATTTCATCGGGGTTTTTCCTTCTTCCAATTGCTAATGACACACTCGACCTGTCTTAGGTGTTGTTGCAGGTTAGTGCTTAAGCGAATTGCAGATTTTTTGGCAGTTCTTCAGTTTGAGGTTTTGTTTATTTTTATGTACTCTTAAGGAAGGAGACTTGCTGCAGCAGCTTAATTAGCAGTATAAGTAGAAAGATCAGGACTGAGTGACTTATAGTGAGAGAGGGAGACGAATGCTGGGAGGAGGAAGATGTGAAGCAGGAGACTTGGTGGAGAAGGAGAAAGAGTCGCACACAACAACCAACATTTTATTGGCTACTCGCTTGAGCTTCCAAGTTCTGGTACTTCTCCCTTTCATCACTGCTGCTGCTGTTTTCTGTTTTTCCATAATGAATGAACTGAAATGCATTAGAAAAGGAAAAAATAGCTTTGGCAGTCTGGGGTACTGGAACTCAAAGTTGGGATGGAGTTTTGATATGGGTATATTCTATTAGAACATAAAGCTAGATACGCTTTTTGCTCTCATTGGTCGGTTACTGTTTCATTCTCTGTCTTTTAGAGAGAATCGGTGTAAGGGCTTCCACCAAAATCCTTCTCTATGCAGCCCCTACACATCGAGTCATCGACGAAACTCTGCCTTTTCCCCACTGTAGCAGACGCCCATGCCTCCCTTGCCGACTGTACTCATAAATCTGCAGCTGGAGGCTGGAGCCCTTCTCACCATCGTGCAATCCTTTCACCACCCTCACCTTTTCCGTGTTTCCAGGTTGTCGTTGTTGCTGACACGCCACCACTGGCGAACCCTCTTCCAAACACGCCATCGCCCATGAATCGTACAACCCTCGCCGTTGTCAGCTCGATTAGGGCCCTGCCCTTGACCTTGAGGGCCGATTCGCAACTCATCTCTTCCCATTTTTGGTCGCCACGATGGATTCTTCGAGCACTCGACGTTGTTGACAGACCTGTCCTCCTCCAAACCCGTCGGTCGTGACGACTACAGATGGGTCCTCGAATGATCTCTCCATCATCTTCTTCACCCGCCATCTCTGTGTCGTGCACCGGTAGTAGCTCCCCGAAGAAGAAGAATTGCTATTGTGGTTAGCTCTCTCTCCTTCTACCTTGGATTTTTTATGAGTTTGGTTGTGCGTACCGGTACCAACCATTATACCAACCATTGTTGATTGTCTGCGGCTGAAAGGAAGGGAGGAAAGGGATAATGCTGAGAGCCCTGCAGTTCCGAAGAGCGACAATAGAGTTTGTTCTGCTCTGTGGTCCGTCGGGTACCAGGAAAACCCAATAGCCAGAGCAATCATAATGTAGCAGCTCATACCAGCCTAAGGCATTTGGGAGGATTAAGGAGATTGCTATTATCATTATTTCATGTACTTGAAACTTTAGCCGAGTTTACTGATCTAGAGATGCTTATTTCCTTATTCTTATTTGTGTTTGATAGGATCGCTTCATGAGGCCTTTGATTGCTTCATATGGTTTATGAGTAATGGAAGAAAAGAAAAGTAAACGTTAGAGAGACAGGAAGACGGAAATGACCAAGTGGGTACAAAAACTTTAACTGGCAACCTTTCTTCATTGATGTTTCAGGTCTATTTCAGTTGTTCTTCTCTCCTTTTTCAGTTCCTTCTCCAACCACTGATAACTTTCCTTTTCTCCTCGACTTGATTCTGTTGTGTAACCATTAAATGATGATGCATGGCCTGTTCATGTCTAGCTAGCTTAATTTGCCTTATGAGTTCATCAAAAAAAATTTCGTTGAATCAAGTTCATCAATTTAGGAAAGCACTAATGTCTACATTTTTCAAGCCCCGGGATAAGCAAGGGCCTCTTATATATCAGTGATGACTTGAATATGTTCTAATATTGTGTGTTTTAGTTTCATGCTTCTTTTAAGCAGGTTGGGACGCCATCTAACTTTCTATCAAAGGAACCCATAATATAAAGGAACCAAGTATTTGACCATAAAAAACAGACTTGATAACAGGGAAGCAAAATGCCTGGGACTCACTTCAGCTATTGGTTCATGATTCATGAGTTGGGACTAATTAGATGCCTTTGAATATAATGTTGTTGATGTCTAATGGTCAGTTCTTTTGCCAGCTTTTCTATTTAACCTGCTCGCGGATATCACCTTGACATCTCATTGTAGTTGCTATGAAGCAATGGTGATATTCCTCTCTAACTATATTGGGACATCATTTCAAGTAAGGGAATCAACAAAGTCTATTGATTCTCATGAATATCTTACTTGGTTGGCAGCTTGCAAATATGTATTGTACATGACTCTCCTGCTGTCCAAACGTGTATTGTTCATGGCTCTCTTTATCCTACTATTTTCAGTAGAGTAGTATATAGTTTGAGTTCCATCTTAAATAAAAAAATAAACATGTTCTATTGACACTGTACCAAAACATATTGACATGGTACCCGGTATTGTTTAGACATATGTTTTGTAGATAATCATTATGATTGTAAGTTGTCTTGCATAATAAGAATGTAAGTTTTTCACAAACTATATATGATGCTTGCTTTCTGTATATAATTTTTCATTATTTTGGTTATCACTATAGTGCTTTTTTTAGACAAAGACTATTGCTTATAGATGTACTAAAACACGGATATATTTCCTGCGGCGTAGCCGCGGGTATTGATACTAGTATCCATGAAATTAAACATAAACTCATTCCAGATTTTTATGGTGAATGTCTTAAATATGTCATAGTTCACATTCTAGTTGATCATACTCACAGGGTTACCAATAGCATAGACCTTCTGACCAACAAGTAAGTCAGCAGAAACACCAACAGGAATGGGTCTCAATTTGTCAAGCGGCGCTTCGACACTCAACACCGCAACATCCTTATCTTGATCAAATCCAACGACCTTTGCATCATAAGATGTCTGGTCAGCTAGAGTCACTCTGCATAAGAATCCAGAACCATTTCAGAATGCCAATACTATTGAGTCTGTCTCATTCCTCTCTTTTTGTCAACAATTTAGATCACAGTAAGGACTCAAGTCCAATCAAGACACTGAAAATAACTAGCAGTCATGTAGAGGAGCACTCAAAAAATTCATAATAATGCTGTCATTTCCTACGTATCACACAATTAGAGTATAGAAAGAAGCAGCAGTGAAGTTCTCAAAAGTAGCCAAAGAATCTGAAATAAAGGTCTCAAGCAGCAATCTTAGCAATTACAGTACAGAAAGAAGCAGCAATGAAGCTCCTAAACTAGCTAAAGAATCTGAAATGTCGAGCAAGGAGACAGGACTCAGGAGGATTAGGGAAGGAGTCGAAGGAACTGACTTGAGATCGGAAGCGCCGCGAATGACGTGATAATTGGTGACAATGTGACCATTTTTGTCCCAAACGAACCCCGATCCTGATCCCTGCGGCACCTCCAATACGTCCAGAGTGAAAGCATCTTGCCTGAGGAAGCCATTATCAACAACAAACAGCTAAAATAAGAGTGGAAAGCAAAGAGCAAGAGAGAAGGAAGTAGCGATACACATACTTGACAGCCAAATTGGTGATGTAGACAACGGAAGGAGTGTTCTCCTGGAAGAGGCGAACAGTAGCGAGCTCATCCGCCTGCAACTTCCGGGGAGTGGTGACGACGAACGCAGCGGCGGAGTCGACATCGGCCAGGAACAGCGACAACGACAGCGCCACGGAGGCGCACACTACAAGAATCGCATCGAGAAAAGAAGACGACGAGTCTGTCGTGTCGTCGGCGCATTTCCGCGAAGGATCAATTGCGGAGGGAGAAGGAAGAGTGCTGACGGAAGTCCGGCGGAGGAAAGAAAGGACGGCGCGAGGAGGAGCGGAGAAGCTCGTCCGGTCGCCACGGAGAGAAGACGATTTGGAAAGAGGAAGAAGGGAAGGAAGGGAGCGCGGTTGGAGGAGGAAGGAGGTGGTTGGAGAGCGAGGGAAGAAGGTGGAAGTTAGGAATGACGATGATGAAGAAGAAGAGGCCGCCATCTGTATCCTCCTGGACTACGGAGGACTTTTCTCTTCTGTTAATTAGTCTTGCTTTTCGGTTCGAGCTCAGCCTGCTTGCGTTTGCTTGTTGTCTCTTTGCGAAGAGTTTCTGTGGTGAGCGAGCGAGAGAAGGCTCCAGTCCAGTTCTACTAACTGTACTGTGTCACTGTCAAAACTTAACAGTCAAAAATCAAAATACACATTTTTGTATTCATTTCTAGAAAAATGTTCTAAAAATACGGTATTCTAATGTAGCAGCGCAAACTGAAGTCGTCAAATTAGCTGTTCGAATCACGTAAAGCCATTATTTTCAAAATTTTAGCCTCTGAAGATGCGAGAGAGTGGTAATCCAACGATGTCAAGTGTTACTCTTTAGGGTTTTCTAACTCGAATGCTACCTAATTCAGGAAAGGAAAAGGAAGAGGGAAACGAAGTTCTACACAACTTCATGAGAAAAAAAGAAAAGGGAGGTGGGGTGGGGAAGATCTTTCTCTCTATCTCTCTATAGAATCTTGCCATAAGGTCTCATTTCTCTGGGCAGGCCCTCGTAGTTACCAGAGTTGACATCAGCTTGCAACATGGGTCGATTTCCGTTCTTAAGGATGCCTTCTGCTAAGTGCTCTTTGCTTGGTGTCAGCATTACGAAATTTGGATCCGCTCGTTGGTAGCTGCATGCATAGGGAGAGATGAATAACAACATAGGCATTCAAAAACCTGTAGCTGTGTAAGAAGTACGATCGTAAAAAGCATGTTCACGAACCTGGCTTCTCGGAGGTTTTCCACACGGATGCCAAAACCGTATCCTGTTTTCCCAGTCATTCGATCTCTGGTAGCTGCAAGAACATTGGAACAAGAAGTTATTCAATCTCCACAGAGTTTCCTAAAACAGTACATAATGTCAATATGGCATCAATAGCATATCACTGATGCTTCAGACCACTGAATCGACGAGAGCAATATCGCCAAAATATAACCTCTAATCACATTCAGAAATAACCTAGCTTTCAGCAATCCAGCTTCGGACATAAACAAGGAAGTAAACGTGAAGAAAGGTAGAACAGTTGTGCAATACATAACCTGTCAGGATGATTTACAAATTACAACAGAGGAAGCAACTAAGAAGTAAATCAAGTAAATAAGATAGCAAGGCACCTGTAATGTTGAAGGTAAATGAAGGTTTCCACCATGATTTGAATGCCAATGCAACAGATGAGGCCAAGGGACCAATCTTTGCCTGCAAAAATTAGATCAAGGATATGACAATGTGCACTCCTATAATATGAAGTTATTTGAGGGTGAGACTGCATCTAAGTAGTACCTTAAGAAGGAAATTCTTATTGGCCTGCCAGGATGCAGCGACATTGAAGGTGGAGTCTTGTAGATCTTTCGACACTTTCGCCTCATCGATCCTTTCAATAACATGAATATATGAATATGTTAGAACTAAACATGCAACTTGAATATGACAGTTGTAACCTAAATTACCTTGTCTTCAACTCGAATCCGAAGTCGATATAATTTGTGATTCCAACTACTTCATTTCCTTCAAATGGATTCTTCACCTGTGCAGGTGGTGGTGAAACAGTCAACACTTGTACAAGATAAATCGAACTTTGTGAAAACAGTAAGTACTTAAGCCTATCAATCTGTATAAGTTATAACTTATAACATTTCGATATTAATGCACTAACTATTTCTAAAAGAAGCATATAGTCATCAGACAAGATACTTTCACCAGTTTGATGACCCAACGACATTCTAGTCCAGTAACACAAAACTAAAACCTCGAATCCAGAGCTCTCAAAACAACAATTTTGGGATATAACTAGGGCTGGAAGTTTGGTACCGGTATTTGGGATATACCGAATACCGTATCGAATTTGTCTATATTTGGTATTACCGAATACATTAATTATTTTGTGGGATTGGGATTGGGATTGAATTTCAAATGTTATTCGGTATTAGGGATTACGGGATTGGGATCGGTATATACCGAAATACCGATCAATACCGAAATATAAGCTAGTGTGTATTTTATCCTCTCAACTAGACCCTCTCATTCACTACTACGCGACCCTCAACCACCAAAAGTGTCATTTATTTATACATAGATCATTACATCACTATTTCACACTAGTATTAGTCGTCTCTCAACCTCAAATTCGTCAAATTAAAGATTACCAATTACAAGAATTTGAGATGTTAGCTCTAGGCAACTCAAGACTATTTGCTTAGTCTCTTTTCCCTAAATTAAATAATAAAATCTAATTTATATATTTAATTATTAATGACAAAGGTAATTAATTATGTATTCGATAATACCGATTGGGATACCGAAATTATTTAGGGATTGGGATTGGGATACCGAAATTATTTAGGGATTGGGATTGGGATTGATTTTAGGGTGTAATTCGGTATTCGGGATTTCGGTATTTGGTATTGGGATACCGATACCGTACCGATTTCCACCCCTAGATATAACACTGTACAACCCTATGCAAAGAGTCAATTTCCTAAGCCCTTAAAAATGCCAGAAAATATGATCATGAACTTTTAAATGCGTATGATCTAATGGTTCACCACTAAGTACTAACAACGTAAAATTTCCATCAGACAATTAGTTGAAAAAAATAAGAAACAATTTCTGCACAGAGTGGCTAATTAGGGGGCGTTATTAAAAATTAATAGCAAATGAAGGAACAATGAATAGAGAGTAAGAGAAATTAAGAACATACACGTCTCTGAACCACCACATGTTGATAGAACGAGGCAATAAACTGCAATACAAAACAAGCATTTGATATTGGTCAGTTGAAATGCTTTTGCCGCAAATCAGTTGCCAACGTCAAATAAAGGAACTTTTATGAAAATTTAAGCAAGTTCTAATACACTGCAGGCGAACAACAGTTAGAACTTCAATATACTTAAGTCGACATAAGTTACATGCAAATGTGAACAAAAAATTAAATAATACTATGTATAACAAGGCCAAAGGCACAAACCTGGGAACTTTGAGCAAGTTCAAGACCAAAATTAAAGGAAGGACTTATGGGGCTCGCTGATCCTACTCCATATCCAAGTGCGGCACTCCAGTTCTTGGGATTCTTGTACTTGGCACCATTCACACTACCAACTAATAAGAAATAGCCAGCCAAACAATGACGTTTTGCAAATTGAAAGAAAAAATTGTTCTTTATCGACGGCTATCCATAAACTATTGCATAGTATAGCAGTGCCATGGAAAGAGTAGAAGCCCTATAACGATTGGCAACCATCTGAATGTAAGAGTTCACCAGAACTGGCCTAGAAAATGTGCAATGAACTAGACCACTATTTCAGAGGACATTAAAACACAATCTTCTCCGTTTTTCGACCAACAGTACCCCGTAAGTGCCTTTTCTCACGAGTCCTTTAACCAGAACCATCTTAATTCACAGAAAAATTGCTTCATTTTTTTCATAAACGACAATAAATGCTGCTAGGTTCTGAATATCCTCACAGTTATTGGCCACCTCTCCTAGTTATTTCAACAAAATGTCATGATGGATGTTAACCAAATGCAACTACAATAGGAACTGACAGATAAACAAGAATTATGCATGGAAGGTAGAAAATGATTGAGAAACAGAAGAGAAAATGAATAGCATGCACTGTGTAGAACTGCCATTATTCACTTAACACATGCATACAGCCGAACAGAAATAGAATGAAATACAAGTGGGACTAGACACTATATATAATGATCCAAAGATGCACAATCTCATAAAAAACAATCAAGGAGAAGTGCAACTTACACTGAGGCTCATACTGTACTCCAAGAGACAACCTTCCGATCTTGCTTACTAACCATGCATTCTTTGGCAACTCCTCTTGCACTGAAATTTAAAAGCCACAAGATCCAAATAATGAGGTAAGTTTGTTGCGACTGCAGACTTTGCACAGACAATGTTACATCTGAGAAATGAAACAAGGGGAAATACAGCTTGTCCAGTTAGTCCTACAATAAGCTAGGACATTCATTATATCTACATAGTTTTACTACACCTACGAGCAAAAGGCAACACGGTGGCTCCAATTGATAAGCACTCGGAGCCATATCTCAGTCCCATGACTCCATAATCTTCAGAAGAAACTCTGAAATAACGACCTCCATCGTAAGAACACATTTGAGAAGCAGGCTTATAGACTATCAAAACCTAAAATGCTAAAGGGACAAAGCAGTACCTCCTCCTCAATAATAAGGGCAATATACCGAACGCTCCCACTCCAAATCTCGGATAGAAAGCACATGATCTCAGTCGTAGAATACTGAAGGAAGCAAAGCAATATGCCTAAGCAATTTCACATTTTGACATACTTAGAAACGAAATTGCGGATTGGAAGGTGGGGAGTTAGCTTACGGATCAGAGTTTGATGCATAGATGTCCATGAATGTATGAGGATCATGCACATCACTGCTGCCATGAAGAAGCGTAAAACTATCACATCTAACTAACATAAGGCCAGAACCAGAGAGCAAATACGAACGACAACAGCACCTTTGCCAGCGGAAAAATGCACTTCCGTCCACATTCTCCTCAGGCTTGTGGTCCAATGGCCCTGAAACCTAATGAGCAAATCAAGTTAAGGTCAAAACGAATACTTCCAAGTTTCCAAATCACTAGATTCAGAATTAAACACTCAAAAGGATGAGAAAAGAGAATTAGGATTTACAGTTGCAATCAAATCCACATGAGGATCGTCAATTGGCTTCAGCATGATCATGGTGGTGAAATGCTTGGCTTCCTCGAAATAATCCTCGAACAGGCATTTCAAAGCCAGCTTCCCAAACAACAAGTTGTACGACGACTCCAGCATCCTGCCATAACACCCCACGATTTCTAAATTCCGCCACCACCACCGCCGCCGCCACTGCTACCACGCAGCGACATTGGAAAGAGGGAAGAAAAGAACGATAGACAAACAAAAAAGCAGAGGAATCGGTAATTCGGTAACCTGTTGCGGGCGGCGAGAGGCGGGAAGTCGAAGAGCGGAGGGACGAGAACCATCGGCGGTGGCGGTGCCGAGGAGGTGACGACGTTCCCCATTGTGTCGTTTGTTCGGAAGAAGCCTGCGGTGGCTGAACGCAAGGAATTGATGGGAGAGGAGGAGGAGGAGAAGAGTGGGAAGAAGGGATTGATGATGATGATGGTGATTGTTCTCTGTGGCGCGCCGGTTACATGCGCAGAGACTCGCGAAGTTCTGAAAATGGCGGTCGCGTCCAACGAAGTAATAGGATCTCGTTAATACACTCCTCCTTATGATTTATGAATGCTTTGATTTCAAATCTAGAATAAGCAAAAGCGCCCAAATACTGTAATGGCTAAAAGCCCACCTTAGAAGCCTAGCATGCAGACCAGCCCACTAAAAAGGCTTCAGCCCAATAGAGCATCGAGTGGCTGGAGTTTTGAGCTATGGGAGGGAGTCCAATGGACTGATACAGTTGAAGTGATGCTGGGCCGCCAAATCCTATGGGCTTTGGACGTCTATTAAAGCTCCTTCTTTCTTTCTAGCACTTTTCCTCCTACAAATGAAGAACAAATTAACGGCCACTAGCCATCCATGATCCACCACATAAGCCGCCGTCAGCATCATGGCCATGGATCAGATTCAGAGTATTGATTGAGCATGGAGGGAGAGAGTTGGGAATATGGAACAGAATCATAAAAGGCCTTGGAGTCTCTTATCTTCTTGCATGGTTGAGAGTTGAAACTTGAGAGCCATGCATCAAAGAACCTTACTAACTTAAAAAAAAAAAAAAATATAGTGATTGATCACGAAGAAAAAGAACCAAACTAGTAGTGGAGACATTTAACTGGACTACACTTTCGATCAAAGTAGTCGTGTACATTTGATGGTTGAGATTTGGTTGAAAGTTTATATTTATTTTAGGAATGTTGTCCGAGAAAGAGCACGTAAAGGGGTAATGAGTATGATCGGATCTACCACATCAAGATGTATGTTGTTTTCGGATAACCGTGAATATGGGAAAGTCATCCCATCTCAAAATATCATTATTGAAGAACTTCATTGTTGAAAATGCTCCTTCATAACTTGAAGTTGCTTTATGTAAAGTCAATACTAACATTAACGTACAAAATTAAAGCCCAATAAGTATTCTAGGATAAATTTAACGGAGTTGGACAACAAATAACCATCGACCAAACGACGTTTAAATTTAGTTACTATAAGAGGAGAAAAAATTTGTTTAGTGAATTTTTTTGATAAATTGAATGATCAAACCTGTAATTTAGTCTAATAGTATTAGACAAAGACAACTAGATTTGGATAACTAAACAACAAATATGGACATGTACTAGGAAAATGAAAAAGAACAATTGTGGACGTGGGGAGTAATTCATCCAATAAAATATGGCGGGTGAGTGGACTTGTGGGGCGGCGGGTACTCGATCAAGCCCCGGCCCACACCCCAGAAAGAAAATTTCATGGCGCGAATTTCTGCGATGGTTCTGATTCTGAAGGACCAAAACCCAAAAAAGAGGCCAACTAGAAACCATCCTCCACATTCTCTTCTCGAGTTCGACCTTTGCGTGCTAGTTGCTACCCGTGGCGCCTCGAAATTTCTCTTTCTCCCCTCTCCTTCGCTCTGTTTTTTATACCGTTGGTTAATTGCCCTTTCGCTGCCGAACACATTAGCGCTCCGGATTCGGGAATCGGGTCTGGTTTTATGCACTGAGCCGGAAGGACGACCAACTTTAACGTCTCGCCGTAGTCGTGGGTTCGGGGCAGCAGTGGTTGATTACTGACTAATCTTCCTGCTAGCAAGAGTCGCGTTTTTGTTTCTAGGTCTGTATGCTAGCGGTGATGATTTGAGTATTAGAAGAAACCCAGATTCGGGATTGTGCTTCTTTGGAATTTTGGTGAAGAAACATCCTCGGTGAGTTTTCCCCCTCCTTTAACCTTTCGGGTTGCTCTTTCGGATTTGCATTTTTGGGTATTGAGTTTGTACTTGGAATACGGAGTTGGACTGTCCGGGAAAATCCCTGAAATATTGGTAAAAGCTATTTTGATCCACCGAATGCCCGTTTTGCTCCTCTATTATTATTTTTTTATTGTTCCCGGATATGGTGTTCTTCAGGACTTGCAATAGGGGGAAGCAGAAAGTGCTTCTCTTTTGCATGTTTGTTCTGGTTTCGAGGTGGTTACAACCACCAGAATTCTTATAAAACTCTCTCTGTACCAAGTGAAATTCTGCAATATAAGGCTCTGAAATTTGAGTTAGAGACAACCCTGTTGATTCTTGGTTCTGGGTGGTGACTGGTGAGATATAGAAAGACAAGCTGAAAAGACATGCCTTTCGGCTTGTTAAATGGAATAAGAGGAGCATAGAAACAGGGGAGGGATGCCGATTGCATGATGAATTATTTATCCTTCAACTTTGCTGCTCTTTCTTTGGTGGGTAATCTCAATTTTTCATGTTGAACAGGTAAAGAATTTCAGATTTCGAAACAGAGTTTCTGTTCTCCCATGGCTGCGAGTGTAGCAACAGGAAGCAGCAACCTCCATTCTGGATTCAATACCAGCAGGCGTCTTCAGGGCGGTAGACAATTAGCCTGTACTAACTCCCCAGCGCTTTCCTTCAATGGATGGTTGCACAAGGATCTTTCATGGTAAATTCACATGGGGGTTCTTAAATTCCCTTAAACTGTTCTTTTACACTGATTTTGCTTGTGTGGAGTTTTGGTTGAATTTGTAGTTAAAAGCTTTTCTCTACTTAGACCACTTGTGATTGAGGGCCTTGCTCATGATACCATCTCTTTGGCATTTTTGGTCTTCATTCAGGTCTCAAGTGGCATTCAAGGTCTTGGAGATGCCAAAAAAATGCAATCTCTCTCAATCAGCTGTGACAAGGAGGCTCAGTGTGTCATCCTGCATTGGAGATGGTGGTTCCACAAAGTATTTTGATTTTGCAGTCATTGGAAGTGGGGTGGCTGGCCTCCGGTATGCTCTTGAAGTCGCAAAGCATGGAACTGTTGCAGTCATCACCAAGGCCGAGCTTCATGAGAGCAATACAAATTATGCTCAAGGTGGTGTTAGTGCTGTTTTGTGTCCTAAAGACTCTGTAGAGAGCCACATGCAGGACACAATCGTAGCTGGAGCTTATCTATGTGATGAAGAGACTGTCAGGGTAAGAGCAAGGGAAATCGTGACCGGTTTCCAAATATCTTGAGTTGGCTGTTTATTCATGTTAAACTTGTAACCTTTCATTAGGTTGTGTGCACAGAAGGCCCCGAGAGGATTAGAGAGCTTATAGCCATGGGAGCAATGTTTGACCATGGGGAGGATGGCAATTTGCATCTAGCAAGGGAAGGAGGGCACTCCCATCGGAGGATTGTCCATGCTGCTGATATGACTGGTAGGGAGATCGAGCGAGCTTTGTTGCAGGCAGTTATCAATGATCCTAATATCTCCGTCTTCCAACATCATTTTGCTATAGATCTGCTAACTTCACAGGTTATTGATCTGGTGTTTCAAGTATTCTCTTATGGTCGATTTCCGAGAGCCTTTCTTGGCAAATAAAAAGAATTCAGGGATCCCAGTTGGACTGTGTAAACTAACGAAGTTCTGTTGCTGGAAATGTAGGATGGCCCTGACACAGTTTGCCGTGGTGTTGATACTTTGAATACTGAAACACAAGAGGTGATTATTGGGCTCACTGAACCCTGTCAGTTAACGACATTAAAGTTGTTGTCTTGGAGTCTTGCTGATATTATCATTTTCAATTTTTCTTCATCAGGTAGTCCGATTTCTTTCAAGGGTCACATTACTTGCATCTGGTGGAGCTGGGCATATCTATCCTTGCACAACAAATCCCCTGGTACATTTCTTTTTATAATCTCCACTATCTAGCGAGCTATTATTGTTTGACAAACCAATGGAACTGTTTCAAAGATGTTTCCTGTGTCTAATTTATTTGTATTTAGAGCATTTCATGTATAAAATATCTTACTATCATGTAGTTGTGGATTCCTCTGTATCTTCGTGACATGTTATTTTGGTCAATCATTAGGTGGCTACTGGAGATGGGATGGCAATGGCTCATAGAGCTCAAGCTGTGATTTCGAATATGGAGTAAGTATTAAGTAACCACTCATTCAAAACTTACCCATTTGACTCTTGTACTCCTAGGCGATCAGTATTTGGGTCCGCTTTCACATCTAAATGGCTTTGCTGCTTCTGCTCACACTCAGGTTTGTGCAATTTCATCCAACTGCTTTGGCCGACGAAGGGCTTCCGATAAAACCCAAAAAAGCCCGAGAGAACGCCTTTCTCATTTCCGAAGCTGTCAGAGGTGATGGAGGCATTCTGTACAATTTAAGCATGGAAAGGTTCATGCCAAAATATGATGAGAGAGCTGAGCTAGCTCCCCGTGATGTGGTAGCTAGAGCAATCGATGATCAGCTTAAGAAACATAATGATACATATGTTTTGCTTGACATAAGCCATACGCCAAGAGAAAAGATCTTATCCCACTTTCCCAACATAGCTGCAGAGTGCCTCCAGCATGGGCTGGACATTACTCGGCAGCCCATTCCTGTTGTTCCGGCTGCACACTACATGTGTGGTGGAGTCCGTGCTGGGCTTGAGGGTGAGACAAACGTGCGAGGTCTTTATGTGGCAGGTGAGGTTGCTTGCACTGGTTTGCATGGAGCAAATAGACTTGCTAGCAACTCGTTGCTTGAGGCACTAGTTTTTGCTAGAAGAGCTGTCCAGCCCTCTATTGATCACAAAAAAAGTTCTAGCCTTGATCTCAGTGCTTCAAGTTGTTGGGCTCGCCCTGTAGTCCCCAATGCTCTCGGAACTGATACGATGGATACCATATTGGGCAAAACCGAGGAAGTGAGGAGAGAACTGCAATCAATTATGTGGAGGTATGTTGGGATTGTTCGCTCAACAACAATGCTAAAAACTGCCTTAGAACGAGTGGATGAGTTGGAAACACAGTGGGAGAAGTTCTTATTCGAGCAGGGCTGGAAGCAGACAATGGTGGCTCTCGAGGCTTGTGAAATGAGGAACCTCTTCTGTAGTGCGAAACTGGTGGTGGGCAGCGCGATGGCTAGGCAGGAAAGCCGAGGGCTCCACTACACCATCGATTTCCCACATGTCCAGGAAAGTATGAGGCTGCCAACAGTGATTTTCCCTTCCGCTGCTGTGAATGGTACATGGAGCTCACGGCAGCTACACAAAGAGGTTGTCTGTTAGGGATGTAACAGGTTCTGTTCTTGATAGTTTTCCGACCCGAAGCTGTTTTCTTTTAGGATGCCCTTCGATCATTCTTTTACATGAAAATTTGTGCTGAACCATTGTTTGGCAATCAATGAAATGTGATTATCCTGGTTCTCTGCAAATTCTAGCTCAGATCTGGGGTTTTCTATAGATAAAGGAATCAATTATCTATATCCTTGTCAATCAGAAGCGTCATATGTCATATGAACCTTTTGAGATCCAGTGTTTCTCGAGACATGAGCAGATCTTCCTCAGCAGGGTAAAACTAATGTTCCTATATTTGTTGCTGTACTAAGATAAATATTATGGTCTCTTTACAGTACGATGTACTTTTTGACAAAACAAGATGCAAGTGCTGACATGTTTTCCTTTGTCTCTTACCATAAATCTTATCCCCGTGAAGAGCAAATTTGGCAGCACCTTCTAAAGTTTTTCTAATGTTTCTTCTTACTTTAGTGATGTCTTTGCCAATCAACGGTACATGTGAACTTTATAAAGTACAAAGAGGTCTGATCACTTGCCATCAAGGTTGAAACTCTTAAAACAGCTCAAGTTGCTTCTTCTTTTTCTGTTTGGCTTTCTGTACTTCCTTGGCCCAGAAATGGACTCAATGAAGCTGCTGGTCGGAGTGTTTGGGACTCTAGTGCTGAAAATGGTGACAGATGTGACCCTGGTGGGATCTCATGCTGACGTGCGGAACTGCAAGTTCCCGGCTATGTACAACTTTGGGGACTCTAATTCTGATACTGGAGGAATATCTGCAGCTCTAGGAGAGATCCCTCCACCGAATGGAGAAACCTTCTTCGGGCATCCTTCAGGAAGATCTTGTGATGGCCGTCTCATCATAGATTTCATTGGTAAGAAGAAAACCAAAACCAAGTCCTCCATGTTAAAGAAATACTAAGCTTGAGAATTCCAGCAGTTATGTCTTTTTCTTGTGGTTTTGATGAACAGCTGAGAGACTGAAGTTGCCATATCTTAGCGCATACCTGGACTCAGTCGGTACAGACTTCAGACATGGTGCGAATTTTGCAACCGGAGGCTCATCGATTCGTCCAGGTGGCTATAGTCCATTTCATTTGGGTGTGCAGATTTCTCAGTTCAAGCAGTTCAAAGCTCGGACGAACAGACTTCGTAACCAGAGGCATCTTCCAAGGGAAGTGGAATTCTCAAAAGCTCTCTATACATTCGAAATTGGACAGAATGACCTCGCCTATGGCTTCCAACACTCTTCAGAGGAAGATGTCTGGAAGTCGATACCAGATATTCTCAACCAGTTTGCAGAGGCAGTTAAGGTAAGTAAAGCGAAAAAAACCAGTTCAAAATAATGTTGACACTTGAATGTGTCTTACTGCTGGGTCACTCACATAAACAACACACTTCAGCGATACATCCAATAAATAAATTAAACTTGAGCAACTGATTTGTCATTGATGCCAACTTCTGGTGACCGTTTATGACAATTGACCCGTTGTTTTCCTCTGCAAAATCTCAGCAACTTTACAAGGAAGGTGCAAAGTTCTTCTGGGTGCACAACACAGGACCCCTTGGTTGCTTGCCATATTCCGTTATATACAACTCCGACCCTAACAACTTGGACGGAAATGGCTGTGTGAAGTCTCGCAACAATGCTGCTCAGGAGTTCAACAGACAACTCGAGCGCAAACTCTCCCAACTGAAGGAGCAGCTACCCCGTTCGTCTTTCACATATGTTGATGTGTACTCAGCCAAGTATCGACTGATTAGTACGGCCGAAAATCAAGGTAACACCGCTAAACGTTTTGGACCAAGTTTTTCCATGTCAATGTGGATTGATCAAGCTGACGACAGATGGATTTGTGAACTTCAGGTTTTGTTCATCCGATGGAGTTCTGTTGCGGGAGCTACTACGGCTATCACATCGATTGTGGGAAGAAAGCTGTGGTGAACGGGACGGTGTATGGTAATCCATGCACGGATCCTTCGAGGCACGTGAGCTGGGATGGAGTACACTACTCAGAGGCTGCTAACTTGTGGGTGGCTAACAGGATACTCAACGGCAGCCTATCTCGCCGGGCTGTTTCAGTTCAAGAGGCTTGTAAGCATATCTAGGATCAGAACACCTCTCACTTTCTCGTTCATATTCGTTTCAGCAAATCTAGTTTGAATAGAGTAAAATCAGCAGATCTGGTACGTCGGTCTTGAATAAGCATGTATGCTGCAGATGTAGCTTTTCTTCTTCTATAGAATGTGTGCTTCAAAATCAAAAAATTCTGATAGATTAAGATGCAAATAGTTTCCGACATAAGTGAGCACTAGACTGAACAAGTTAACACTACATTATCACAGCAGAATGCCAGAAACCAACAAATAAAGGCCTACAGTGCAGTGGAATGAAGACTATGAAAACGAGACCAAGCTAGCAGTAGTCATTGGAACTTGGAATGCCATTCTGTTCGTTGACGATGATCTTACGAGGCATGAAGTACTCGGGTTCTGTATTCTCCCAGTGCCCAAATTGGGAAAATGTCTCTGTAAGCTGCATAGGTTATCATAAAATTCCTATTCGAAACTCCCATGATTTCCTGCATCAGTTCAGACCAGAAGCTCGATCATGATTGGGGACATTGGTTTGTTGCCAAGTAGCAGGGGTGAAACTGGGCCAAACCCAGCCCTTACCCTGTCACTACCCAAAAAAACCCAGCCCTGTATGCTTAAGTATTTGGCCCGACCCGGCCCGACCCTATTCTCATTTGGCCCTGTATGGCCCTGTTGGGTCGGGCTGGGCTGGGTCGGGTCGGGCCATAGGGTCGGCCCAACTTCTTTTTATACAATATTAGCCCACTTAACTATTTAATATCAAATTAAATTTCAAAAAATTACAGGTATATACTAGAAAATTTAAATGAGTTCATAACAAAAATAATCTAAATTAAATAAATAAATTATTTAAACTAATTCAAAAAATAAAATTTTGATTACAAAAATTCCAACTAATTCCAGAAAATTTAAGTTAGTCCAAATTCTTATACCAAAAATCCTAATTAATTCGAAAAACTCAAAATTAATTCCAAAAAATTAAAATTACATCTAAAAAGTCTAAATCACCTTACGATAAATCCAAATCAAATAAAAAAAATGCCAATTACATCTAAAAAGTCTAAATTACCTTACGATAAATCCAAATCAAATAAACAAAATGCAAATTACATCTACAAAGTCAAAATTACCTTACAATAAATCCAAATAAAATAAACAAAATGCAAAGTACGTAAAAAAAGTACACAATTTCGCAATTCATCAAATGCATCGCTGATAATATCAAATATATCATCTTTCAATCATCATCAACCAAATCACTCATGATAGTACTATCATCCAAGCAAAACTCCTTTAACTCTGCAAAATTAACAAAACCACAAATAAATTAATAATAGTATAAACAAATAATAAAGTGTTACAAACCACATTGTTGATAAAATTCATACCTTGCTCAAGTTCTTCAATTTCCTCAAACTTCTCTTCCATATCAATTGGAAGAGTACTCGATCGAAGCCAATTCTGACCACAAATCAAACTTTCAACGACCAAGGGAGTCAAAGAACTCCGAAATGCATCTAGAACGCGTCCACCGGTACTGAAAGCGGACTCGGATGCAACAGTAGATACTGGAATCGCCAACACATCTTTAGCCATCAAACCCAATATCGGGTACTCACTAGAGTGCTTCTTCCACCACGCTAAGATATCAAAATTCTTATCCTCATCATCCTCAATGTTTGCCTTTAAATACCTCTCAAGTTCCGAAATAGTAGTTTCTCCAGCTCTGTCTTCTATTCTCTTTCTTTTAAATTTTCTCTTCAGATAATCCTCAACATTTTCACACTCCTCGTTCTCGTCATTTGGCTCTACACTCCCCCCACTTCTTAAAGAACTTGCACAAATAACCCCTCTCATTTCTGAATAGTTCTTGAACATGTCATCTAGAAAACCCTTCACCTTATTATGCAACTCCTCCTTGGTCCAATCTCCCCCATTATCTTTCCCAAAAACTTCATCAAGTGCAAAAACCACATATTCTAGCTTGTATCTCGGGTCAAGAACCACAGCAATAAATAACAAGGGGTTAATATTGTCCAAATTGCCCCAATACTTGTCATGCTTAGCTTTCATTCTCTTTGCCATGACTTTATGACCATACACTTTAGATGAAGTTTCCATTTTAAGCATGCAAGCGATTCCATATACTACATGAAAGAGATCATTGCTTGTGACATACAAAGATCCCGATACTTTCATTGTAGCATCATAAAATATCTTCAAAAATGGAACTAGAGACTCCACATAAGACCAGTCCAACTCCTTTGGAGTCCCTTTCAACTTCTCAAGCTCAACTTTATACTTGGGATCCTCCTCCTCTAACCTCTCAAATGCCCTTTGAAATTTCAAAGCCGACTCCAACATCATGAAAAGAGTGGTTAAAAACCTGAAATCCATATGGGACTAAGCCTCAATTACTTAGGGGTCGTTTGGAAGTTGTGATTCTTCAAATTGATGCATTGGGTTTAGATTGTGCTTTTGTTGTAAAGGTATAAAAGTTAATTTTGAGTGATTGTTAACAATCTCAACAAAAAGTAGAGATTGACAATCCCTCAATTTTGAGTGATTGTGGTGGGACCTCCAAAAAGTGAATGCATGTATTCTCATTCAATATAACAAAAAAAACGACTTAATCTCACAAATACATGTATTATTTCTAGTTACACCATGTGTGGATTTTTGAATTTTATCTGGATTTTTTTAATTGTTATTCCACTTGTTGGGTTGTCTTAAACTACAATATTCAGATGATGATACATTTCATATACATTGTCGTACATAACATAGATGCATGCAAAACTATGTTTCGAAAAATAAAACCATCTATCTAGTAATGGCTGGATCTAACCTAAAAGGTGGTCAATACTATGGTCTCATGACGAACAATCAAATGCATGTGGTTGTAGTTGGGTAATTGATCTAATTACAAGGGATGGGCTGTGAAGACAAGTGGTCTCCCGTGGGCATAACCCATCGGCATGACTCATTCGTTCTTCGCAAAAAAGACCCTAAAAGGTTCAAGGTGGGCCCGGGTGTAGGACCAATATCGGCTTGGTAATATTATCTCATATGTACATGCAAAATCAAAATACTAAATTCATCCATAATTATAAAATATTCATCATTTAACACCACTAAGCATATCTCTTCATGTTAAGCATTTAACACCACTAATCGCCAGATGAGTAGGCGTCAGGATTACCTGCACAATCATCAAATACTAATTAGCTTGAAAACTCTGCACCAATAATCCATAACAAGTACCTCGATTTGATGCAAACAAGTACCTCGATTTGGAAAGGCGATGTTGTTGGCGGATAACGTTCGACAACCTTACCGTTCTTGTCCACCAAGAACTTCTCAAAGTTCCATTTGATCAAATCGCCTAAGAAGCCCCCAGCACTAGATTTGAGAAGGCTAAGATTTCAAGTCCTACATTCAAACACAAACCATGTTTTTCTTTCTTAATACCACACTTAATACTAATAAAACAACTTTCCACGCCAACTATAAAATGAGACTTTTACAATGCATATAAATCAGACTCTTGAAAGGGTGCAGAATATGAACTCAGAAGCTAAAGCCTCATCGACTAAGCATGATTCCAATGCCTATAGTAGTAAAATGAGTCTGTTGTGACTCGTGATTTCTCAAACAAAACCCATGGGGATAAAGACTAATGGATAGCAAATTCAGTAAAATTAAGACTTCAGTTAAAACAAACAAATGCAAAATCATATCTAAAGCTATCATCTTCACCAACAATGACTGTCCTATCTTGCAAAGGAAAGACTGGAGCTACTAACAGATTCAATCAAATCCATGAACAACATTTGCTGCCAATACCAAATCCAAACCAATTCATGAAAGACATAACCCAGATCTGCTCCTCTGTTAGACTTATCCTTGGAGGCATCAGAATGATAAGAGTGAGATGATCATCTATTCCAAGTGACAAGCATTTATCTATTGTAAATTCATCCACTCAAAGTAGCAGATTACACACATTGTTCCCGTGGGAGTTGGATGCGATTCGGCAATGGGATCTGGTTTCAGGACAGATTCTATGCTTTGAGTGTGGAAGGCACGCTCGCTGTTGTAGAAGAAGATGTGAACTTCGATCTGCGGATTACGAAATTGGGCAAGGAGAGAGTGGTTCCTGATTCAGATGTGGCCGCTACGCCGGGGTTCAGGGAGTGTTTGGTGGAATCAGAAGGGAAAGTAGTGCTGGTTTTTCTGTGTTCGACTAGATCTATGGAGACGGTGGATCATGTGGAGGTTTACAGGCTAGAATTGAAGGAGCTGGCGTGGGTTAAGGCGAGGAGCAGCGTTGTTTCTGGGCTCCAATGCTAATTACACACTAATTACACACTAAGATACGAAAAGTGAGTCGAACCTGGGTTTGGGGAGCAGAGAAGCTGGGATCCGATTCAGAGCTGGGTTGGGTCTATTTTCCCTCCACACCCATCAATCTCCAGCGGATGTGAAAAACCCAGCGCCGTGGTCGCCCCTGAGACGAGAAGGAGGAGGAGGAAGGAGAAGACGGCGTCGTCGACGAAACGGAGAGCTTCTGCTACTCCTCCAGGCGCTTCTCCTTCGACGACACGTCGTGCGATTTCAACCGCGCCGGGGAGACGACGGGGTGCGAGAACGAGGAAGGGAAGCTGCTGCCTGCTGCGGCGGGGGGGCAGGAGAGGGCGGCGGCGGAGGGCGAACCTGAGTGCCGGATCGGCGCAGAGGATGAAGGAGATACGGCGGAGGTGTTGGCTCGATTATGCGATTAGGAGATGTTAGCGGAAAGAAGAGATGGGGCTGAAATGGATTTTAGGGTTAAAATGGGTCAAAAATGGGTCTGAATGGGTTTTAAGGGTAAAACCCAAAAATACCCTACCCTCTAGGGTCAGAATGTGACCCGACCCTATTTTGGCCCTAAAGACTGATTGACCCTACCCGACCCATAGGGTTGGGCTGGGCCGGGCTGGGCTGACGGGTAGTAAGGGCCACAGTTACAGCCCTAGTTGTAATTAACATGTCCACACAGAACCCAGTTCTTCTAATGTTGAGGTAACTTTAAGGACTGGCCCTGACCTGATGAGGATCATTATTGTTGTATAAATAATAGAAAGAAACAGGAAAGGAAGAGCCTTTTTTCTTTTGGTTTCTTTTCAGTCTTCTTTTACCCTGTGCGTGTCTAGTGGGAAAGTAACTAACCTAAGTAAGCTTCTTTGTTCCACACTAATAATGGTTTTCGTGTCTGGTTAGAATTTGTTTTGGCCATCCAATTTTTCTAATGGATAGATAGTCAGCCCTGCCGGCTAGCCTTAAGTTTGGAGGGTGAAACTGAAACATCAAAGATCCCTTCATCCATCCATCCTTGTCCGTCGACGACTCCATGCAGCATTGGTCTTCTCACATATCAACTTCATCAGTCATTTCTCTTTTCTTGGTACTTTCTCACTCACGAAGGTTTGTCAAGACGTAAAAGTCACTAATTTGTCTGGTACAAACTCTGATACAGTTTCGCGACCTTGCATTCTTACCAAACTCTGATACAGTTTCGCGACCTTGCATTCTTTACAATTTCACGAACCATGACTTAAAAGGATGTGGTTCATCTGCTGCTTATTGCATGGAGCAACACAGGACGAGTTCTCCAGCTTTCATAATCCGCGTACAGAGAATGTCCCCTAAAAAGAATTTTCAGAATCCTTTGCTTCCCTATACTAGATGAAATGAAGTTCCCTTCTCGCAATGTACAACAACAAAAAAATAATATGGTGTGTTGATTAATTCTCAAGCACTTCTCCATCAAAACTTCTTTGCAGGCTGCAAACTAGGAGGAAGAATAATAGTAAGCAACCCCCATATGCTCGAGGGTGTGTGTCAGCATTCAATCCGAACAGCGCCACTCTGTGAAGAAACGAACTTGGGCTTCCGAACGACTTGCTCCAAGCACTGGATCACATCTCCAACACGGTAATCTTGGCAATCACGGAGCATCATTCCGCACTCGCTCCCTTTACCGACTGCATCCACGTCCTGTGTCTCTCGTTTGAGGGACGAGCAGCATCCTTCGAACACGACTTCACCGCTCCTAAGGAGCCTCATCGTTGATGCTCTGCTGACTCGGCCATCTATCACCTTGCAGCCCGCAATCTTCATGTCTCCTCCTGCGGCTTTGCTCCTCCCCTTCAGTTCGAAGATGCTAAGGACTTCGGCCTCTCCGGCTACATGAGTCTCAGAAGTCCCGGGAGCTTTCTCTACTATCATGTTGCCCACGTCCTCTAAAAGGCGGTAGATAACTCGATGCAGCATTATCTGGGCATTCATTCAACCAACCCATTTAAAGAACATACGATTCAGGAATTCCTGGAGGATTAGGATAAAGAAAATAATCAGAAGTTACGTACCTTTATGCCGGATTTAGTTGCTGCAAGACTGACTGAACCAGGTGGAGTTTTGACATTGAATCCAATTATGCACGCACCGCATGCCTGAGCTAGATCGATATCCGACTGACTGATTGGACCTACGCCTACATGGACTACATTCACGAAAACCTGGTAGCACCATTCCAACGAACAAGACATTAATCAATAAGTGACACAAGAAGATAGCTATGAGAAGTCAGAGACTATGTTTTTCAGTTTTGGAATGTTATCACAGACTCTGGCTCATGAATGCTAATCCCACTACAACTACAATGTGTGAATTAAAAAGCTGCTCGACTTTTTAAGCTTGAATTTATGCTAGTCATGAGATCGGACATAATAATACTGCTAAGCATATAATACCTGAGGACTGTTCAAAGTCTTCAAAGCATCAGTGACAGCCTGGACAGTTCCTTGAACATCTGCTTTCACTACAATCGGCATCTCAACCCTTACAGCTACAGGCCCGTCTTCTTCTGATGGTTCCTCAACCACAGGCCTGTCCTCCATAATCTGTCTCAGCCGATCTTTCTCGAACTTCTTTTTCCTACCAGCACTCAGCATTCTAGCTCTCTCCTCGGACTCCACAACAACGATATCGTCTCCAGCCATAGGAAGCCCCTTCAGCCCTTCAAGCACAACTGGCATTGCAGGTGTCGCCTGCTGTGCCAACTTCCCTACCATATCCCTTATAGCTCTTATTCTCCCCCACTCTGACCCCACCACAATGTGCTGCCCAGAGACCAAGGTTCCTGCCTTCACTATTGCTGTGGCCAGTGGTCCACGACCTTTGTCGAGTTTTGCCTCCACAACATAAGCTTGAGCTGGACCATCGACACGAGCTTTCAGGTTCATCAACTCTGCTTGAAGAAGCAAGCATTCCTCCAAGTCATCCAACCCAGTTTTCTTAACAGCGGAGACTTCAACTACCTGGACATCACCGCCCATTTCCTCTAGCTGCAAACCCTCTGATGCCAACTGGACTTTGACTCTCTCTGGGTCCGCAGCTGGCTTGTCACATTTGTTGATAGCAACCACAATTGGCACATTGGCTAATTTTGCATGGGACACAGCTTCCAATGTTTGAGGCATCACCCCATCATCAGCAGCAACTACAAGAACAACAATGTCGGTGACTGCTGCACCTCTTGCTCGCATCGCACTGAATGCAGCATGGCCTGGCGTGTCGAGAAATGTGATTGATGCCCCAGAAGTCATCCCTACCACGAAAGCACCAAGGTGCTGAGTTATTCCACCAGCTTCAGTGGCAGCCACAGCTGTTTGGCGCAGGGCATCCAGGAGAGATGTCTTTCCGTGGTCAACATGACCCATGACTGTAACAACTGGAGGTCGTGGAAGGATTTGTGAGCCTTCGGATGAATGTTGCCTCTTGACATTAACCCCAACCTCCTGCAAGAACCAATACGAAGCCATTTCCTGTAAGCTTCTAAACAGGCAAAAAGTATTTTGGTCTAAGAAAGATGATGATGATGATGATGAAATAGAACTACTATCTTGTAAGAGTCCTAACAACCCTAGCCCTAGAGTCTATGTGGAGCATTGATCATGAACTTCCACCCAGAAAAGTATTGATAATCAAATAACTGAAATTATTCAAATTCTGTCGGTAGTATACTAGAGATTACAGAAGTATTTGTTCCCACTCTGTTAGCTAGCATGGTTATGCTTTTCTTTGGGGCATAATGAGAAAAGAGAAGTACCATAGCAATGAGCTCCGCAACATCAATGCTGAGAGGATCAAACTCTGACCCGGGCTTTTCCCCAACATTAAGAAGAACATCCTGTAAGGTGCTGATTGACTCACCAGTACGCTTGGCAAGTTCAACGATGGTCATGCCTTCAAATATGTCGACCATTTTAGCTTGAGAGGACTTCATATATTGTGTTAGTTTAGGGGGCACGTATTTAGCTTCAACAGGAGGTTTCATCTGTGCCTTGTCCCTTCTCTTAAACTTCCCTTTCCTTTCTGTCTTTAAACCCAAGGCCTCATCAACTGCTTTTCTGCTATATAGGACCGGAGTGTTATGAAAGTACCTGTTCAAGATAACAAAATGGTTTCCTCATTCCAGGCCGAAAGTAGAAAATGTTATCACAAACAAAGATAAATGAAACACAAGAAAAGTCTAAAAGGAAAAGGGGAAAGACAGCACCAGAAAGGAAGATCGAGATATCAAAAGTAGCCCAGAGTTTTTTTGCTATACGCTTGTAAAATTCAGTTAAACATATTCCTTTTTATGCCTCCTTTGACTAACCAAATGCCTGGTTAGAGAAGGACTGTAGAGCAAGATGATGCTACCACGATACTACAACCGAAGTAGCTTCTCCTCGCTTCTAACTCTAATTACACAAAATCCAATGGGAAAATCCAGAAGATTGAATCAGAAGAAACAGAAAAGGTGGTAGAATCACTAATAGTCTTGTAGCCAAAGAACAGAGGCGAGGGATTGCAAGAGAGTAGTGAAACTATGATCCACATGAAAGATGAATATAAACATACCGGATGAAGGATTCTTTAGTCAGAACATTGCCATGAGAAGCGCCAGGTAAAAGAGAGCCACTAGTAAAGCCTACAACTCATATGTTATACAAGTGAGCCATGATAGTGAAACAAAACTTTCTTAACCACAGCTCCAGAACACCAACACAAGCACTACCCTTGAGGATTAAGATCGTCATTTATAGAAGAAAATCAAGTCAATTGATATCCTAGATTAAGAGTTGCCGTGCAGTTAATGCCTTATACTGCCGCTCGGGCAAGCTTTTACAAAATGATTCAGTACAGTAGACAAGATAAACTCACTAAACTGGAAAGGCAGAACTTCTGCTATTAAGATATGATAATGAACCAAACAAGAAAGCAGACAATAGGCTTTTGTCAAAACATATCATTGAAGCAAGTGAACATCCAGATTGCAGGTTACCTTGTCTACAATTAGCAGCTGAAACTGATCTCACTGTGAAGTCAAGGTTACCTTTAGAGGTTGACCCAACTACATGTTCTTGAGATGACAAAATGACGCGTCTGCCAAGAGGAGACCGAATACCCTGAAAAACAGAGAGTAAGATATAACTTTGTCAATGCCAGACCTACCATTACAGAGTTTCACATTCGAAACCATATCTATGGATAATAATTTGACAAATACAATACATCAGCTAAGCTAAGTATCCCGTTTCTGGGACCGAGGAAAGGAAGTACAATGCTGATAGGAAGTACAATAATAGGAGATCTCTTCCTAAAAGGTATAATATCACCATAACCAGAATGAATCTGAAAAGTCGAGGGCAAAGCCAAGAACTTAATGCATAACCAAGGGATTTATGTAATCAGCAATATCAAGCATAATATTGCACTTTACGGTCCCAAGATATAAGCCAATATGAGGGTTTGAGTTTACCTAAGCCAATAGTTCTTAGTTCAAAAGAACAGTAATCATATAATGTACGATAAAGGCATCAATGATAAGTGTCTCAACTCTCAATCACAAACACAGTCCATCATCTCAATTGAAATCTCATAAGCTCGGCAATGCTTTGTGAAAGTCCTAGACAAGAAGGTTCAAGAACACAATCTACCTTATCACCAATCGCTCTCCAAGCCATTGACAAGCTTCTGCAACTCTGCACAAACCATCAGGAAGAAAACAATCAGTTAGAAAGCATCGAGCACCAACACCCCCAATAGAATAAGGGAAAGACAAGCAAGCTTGTGGCCTTATCGGCTTCCAAGATACCATTGATTTCTTGGGAAGACATCTATTGCCCTTTACACTCCATAACCAATTAGCTTTTTCTCGTTACAAAACTTGTTACATAAACCAGAACATAGAACTCAAATTTTCCATATCCAATTACTTATTCTAGTCCCACCCCATCTTAGTAAGCAGGCAAAAGAACCAAACTTTCTATCCATCTTCCATAAATTATAAACAACCCAAGAGGAAGGCGCCAACCCAAACTGAACCCTTCTCATTGATACACAAGCTACAATGCTTACCTTCCGGCAACAAAAACAAACAGCGCCACGGACGAATCACCGCTGCAAGCCAATTACCAACTACGGAACGGATCCTTAACGAAGAGCTCGCAATTCATGAACCAAACTAGTCCGCTTCGCATCAATGAGATCCTCAACGACCGAAAGCTGTCTCCGCTGCCCCGTGTATCCAAAAGATTCAAACTTGGAAGCTGTGTTTATGAAATTTAGCGGATAACAGGGACAGGCGGGAGCCGAGGTTCTCCCGGCCGCAACTGCTACTCCGGAAAGACGGTCCGGTCCGGGTTTCAGGTTTGATGTGAAGCTGCGAGTGGGGAAGGGATTATCTCACAAGTCGTAACACATTTTTAAGGAGTATCAAACAAGCCCTCTGCTTTAGGTCATATACAAACTAACACCTCTACTTTAATTTTGTAACTAAAAACGTGAAACGCCCCCTCCATTTTCCATATGATATGAGTGATTGACTATAAAAAAAAAAAAAAAAAAAATTTCCATGTGGGTGCTTGGTTATAAATTAATAAAAATTTCATATGGGTGAGTGACTCTGTCTTAGGATGCCCTAAAATTAGTGATGTTAATGGGGCATGTGAGTATCTTAGTACATACTTGTCCGCATTAAGTAGGATCGGGTAATACCAGTGCGAGTGAGTATGGACGGATAGACTTATTATTGTTATGTATTATTGAAAGAGTTTTTTTATTTTTTAACGATAAAATAAAGAAAAAATAGTTCATAAATAACAGTTTGAGATAATAGGTAGGTTTATTTAGTTCAATTAGTGAAAAGAAGAAGTCTTCACTTATCTAAAGTATCATTGGATGAAAATATGAGTTCAAATAAATCAAAATAGGATAAAAATAGATATTGGGACAAATTGAAATAGAACGAGTCAAGAACTAAGCGAAAGTGCGGGATGAAAGTAGTACACATGCTCGCCCCAAGCAGTCGGATATTAATCACTCAGTATGGATCAAGTCGGGTAATACCCGACAGAGCGAAATCAAATTAGCATAACTACCTAAAACGTAAAAAAGTTTATTATGGCGTAATTGTAAACAAATTTCATCCAACTTGAGCAATTCCATGAAAGAGTGATGTGGTCAATTCCATGAAAGAGTCAGCAGCTAAGGATCTTCTGAATGTGAGTGGTGACGATTATAAGTACAAGAAGCTTCTGCAGGATCTCATAGTTCAGGTGAGCAATACATGTGCAGTCATATACTGGGTTATGAGAGATGACCAGAATACATCATTGAGACCGGAAAGATACCTTTTTTATAATGAATTACTCTTCTGTTTGATGTGTCAACATCTTGTGAATGTTTATTCTTTGTAGACCATAAACCTACATTGTTCCTGATTTGTTACCGCACATGGGTTTGCTTTCCTTGGTGCGGTTGGAGAAAATATTGCCTACATATGGTCATGTGAGACTTTAGTTGTCTTCGGTTCTGATATTGCTATGCAACGTTCTGGCTGGTTGCAGAGCTTGCTTAGACTGAAGGAACCTGCTGTCTTGCTGCGATGCCGTGAGGCGGACGTCAATCTGGTAGAATCTGTCTTGGAATCCGCCAAAGAGGAATATGCTGAAAAGGCACAGGTTCATGCACCAGAAATTCTGTTGGACCATCAAATCTATCTGCCACCTGCTCCTAGCCACCACAATGTTCATGCTCTTTCTTGGTAAGTTTATGGTTAACATTAAATTTAATAGTATAGTAGTGGATTTGTTTAGAGGTTTGCAGATCAATCAAATCCTTCTCCTGATAACTTTCAATGTTTTCTGGCTTAGCTCTGGAGGTGTGGTCCTGGCGTCCCGAGATGGAAAGATCGTGTTTGAGAATACCCTCGATGCACGTCTGGATGTTGTGTTCCGTCAGAAGCTCCCCGTGGTATGAACACTGTTATTCTCTCTATTTTTACATTCTTCCAACAGAGAGTTGACACTATTATGTTTGGTAGAAGAAATGAATCAGGATTGGCTGAGTTCATTTTCCTTTCCGATTAGGATTTGATCGAGTTCTAGAAAAAGTAGAATTGATGGCTATGAAATGTTTACAGCAATGCAAGGTAACTAATAGGATGGGTGTGTGTTTAAAAACGATATAATAAAAATCAGGTAACTATTACAGGCAAGTAGATTCTTGTTGCAAAGGAACAAAGTTGGAAACGAGATTTAATTTATTGATGTGACTTTGGGATTTGAGTAAGCTATGAGGAATAGGACGAATTGTTGCTAAATTTGGAATGTAAAATGTGTATTTGTTTCATTGATTAAATCAAACCTTTTCCCATTCACTTCTTTTCTAGAGCAGGAACAAGCACTCCATGCTTTAACTTCCTCCCCATAGAGCGTTTTCGTATAACGTCTTACCCTGCCTCTGCCTTCCTTCCATTATCGCTTGATAATAGAACTCTTGCTTCCCAGCTATTGGGATTCCTGAAAGTTGAATCTTAGGATGAACGTTCCTGTTCACCTCCGTTCCTGAAATAGATTCGCATGTCGACGACTGTTGAAAACTGTTTGGTGTGGATTAATGTGGATTACCTTTCAAACCTGAACTGAATTCTTTGCTTGTTCTTGTTGTGTGTTGCAGATCCGCAAGTTACTCTTCAGCCAGGTTGCTGCTTGATGTCCGTGATTGTATAATTGTTTTCACGTATTATGAATTGCCAACTCTTATGTCCAGAAACTCGATGGTTTTGTAGAACATATCACCGATTGTTTGGGGTTGTGTATTTTTTTCGTGTTTGCCAAATAACTTGCTATTCGTAGAGAATTCTGTTGTTTTCGTTAGTGTATGCAATAATAAACAGAACGAAAAAAATGTTTGTGGAATTCAAGTGGTGACTTTTGTGATTGATCATTTTTGCATTTGGTGTATGTCTAACGTCTGTGTACACTCAATTGCTTTTCATGCTGAACAAAAAATTTCTATGTGAAAAGCAACGTAGTTTTTCCATCAAACAGTTGTTTTTTTCTTGGAAGCTCCAACAAGAAGCTGCTTTTGTAAAAACCGCAATACAGAACAAGTCTAATGTGATACAAATTGCTGCTCAAATTAATCGTAAAACAAACTAGTCCCTTGATTTGGCACTCTATTTACAGCCCGTCCTTGATCCGTCTTTTTTCCCATTCAACAAAATGTTCCCACAGCTAAATAGAAACATTCATTTGTCACCTTAATGTAAAAAATCTCACTCGATTTCTTAATAAAGTTATGCCTCCAAGAGATTGCTTCAATGGATTTGATTGCTCAAGTTGGATGAAATTTGTTTACAATTACGCCATAATAAACTTTTTTACGTTTTAGGTAGTTATGCTAATTTGATTTCGCTCTGTCGGGTATTACCCGACTTGATCCATACTGAGTGATTAATATCCGACTGCTTGGGGCGAGCATGTGTACTACTTTCATCCCGCACTTTCGCTTAGTTCTTGACTCGTTCTATTTCAATTTGTCCCAATATCTATTTTTATCCTATTTTGATTTATTTGAACTCATATTTTCATCCAATGATACTTTAGATAAGTGAAGACTTCTTTTCACTAATTGAACTAAATAAACCTACCTATTATCTCAAACTGTTATTTATGAACTATTTTTTCTTTATTTTATCGTTAAAAAATAAAAAAACTCTTTCAATAATACATAACAATAATAAGTCTATCCGTCCATACTCACTCGCACTGGTATTACCCGATCCTACTTAATGCGGACAAGTATGTACTAAGATACTCACATGCCCCATTAACATCACTAATTTTAGGGCATCCTAAGACAGAGTCACTCACCCATATGAAATTTTTATTAATTTATAACCAAGCACCCACATGGAAATTTCTTTTTTTTTTTTTTTTATAGTCAATCACTCATATCATATGGAAAATGGAGGGGGCGTTTCACGTTTTTAGTTACAAAATTAAAGTAGAGGTGTTAGTTTGTATATGACCTAAAGCAGAGGGCTTGTTTGATACTCCTTAAAAATGTGTTACGACTTGTGAGATAATCCCTTCCCCACTCGCAGCTTCACATCAAACCTGAAACCCGGACCGGACCGTCTTTCCGGAGTAGCAGTTGCGGCCGGGAGAACCTCGGCTCCCGCCTGTCCCTGTTATCCGCTAAATTTCATAAACACAGCTTCCAAGTTTGAATCTTTTGGATACACGGGGCAGCGGAGACAGCTTTCGGTCGTTGAGGATCTCATTGATGCGAAGCGGACTAGTTTGGTTCATGAATTGCGAGCTCTTCGTTAAGGATCCGTTCCGTAGTTGGTAATTGGCTTGCAGCGGTGATTCGTCCGTGGCGCTGTTTGTTTTTGTTGCCGGAAGGTAAGCATTGTAGCTTGTGTATCAATGAGAAGGGTTCAGTTTGGGTTGGCGCCTTCCTCTTGGGTTGTTTATAATTTATGGAAGATGGATAGAAAGTTTGGTTCTTTTGCCTGCTTACTAAGATGGGGTGGGACTAGAATAAGTAATTGGATATGGAAATTTGAGTTCTATGTTCTGGTTTATGTAACAAGTTTTGTAACGAGAAAAAGCTAATTGGTTATGGAGTGTAAAGGGCAATAGATGTCTTCCCAAGAAATCAATGGTATCTTGGAAGCCGATAAGGCCACAAGCTTGCTTGTCTTTCCCTTATTCTATTGGGGGTGTTGGTGCTCGATGCTTTCTAACTGATTGTTTTCTTCCTGATGGTTTGTGCAGAGTTGCAGAAGCTTGTCAATGGCTTGGAGAGCGATTGGTGATAAGGTAGATTGTGTTCTTGAACCTTCTTGTCTAGGACTTTCACAAAGCATTGCCGAGCTTATGAGATTTCAATTGAGATGATGGACTGTGTTTGTGATTGAGAGTTGAGACACTTATCATTGATGCCTTTATCGTACATTATATGATTACTGTTCTTTTGAACTAAGAACTATTGGCTTAGGTAAACTCAAACCCTCATATTGGCTTATATCTTGGGACCGTAAAGTGCAATATTATGCTTGATATTGCTGATTACATAAATCCCTTGGTTATGCATTAAGTTCTTGGCTTTGCCCTCGACTTTTCAGATTCATTCTGGTTATGGTGATATTATACCTTTTAGGAAGAGATCTCCTATTATTGTACTTCCTATCAGCATTGTACTTCCTTTCCTCGGTCCCAGAAACGGGATACTTAGCTTAGCTGATGTATTGTATTTGTCAATTTATTATCCATAGATATGGTTTCGAATGTGAAACTCTGTAATGGTAGGTCTGGCATTGACAAAGTTATATCTTACTCTCTGTTTTTCAGGGTATTCGGTCTCCTCTTGGCAGACGCGTCATTTTGTCATCTCAAGAACATGTAGTTGGGTCAACCTCTAAAGGTAACCTTGACTTCACAGTGAGATCAGTTTCAGCTGCTAATTGTAGACAAGGTAACCTGCAATCTGGATGTTCACTTGCTTCAATGATATGTTTTGACAAAAGCCTATTGTCTGCTTTCTTGTTTGGTTCATTATCATATCTTAATAGCAGAAGTTCTGCCTTTCCAGTTTAGTGAGTTTATCTTGTCTACTGTACTGAATCATTTTGTAAAAGCTTGCCCGAGCGGCAGTATAAGGCATTAACTGCACGGCAACTCTTAATCTAGGATATCAATTGACTTGATTTTCTTCTATAAATGACGATCTTAATCCTCAAGGGTAGTGCTTGTGTTGGTGTTCTGGAGCTGTGGTTAAGAAAGTTTTGTTTCACTATCATGGCTCACTTGTATAACATATGAGTTGCAGGCTTTACTAGTGGCTCTCTTTTACCTGGCGCTTCTCATGGCAATGTTCTGACTAAAGAATCCTTCATCCGGTATGTTTATATTCATCTTTCATGTGGATCATAGTTTCACTACTCTCTTGCAATCCCTCGCCTCTGTTCTTTGGCTACAAAGATTATTAGTGATTCTACCACCTTTTCTGTTTCTTCTGATTCAATCTTCTGGATTTTCCCATTGGATTTTGTGTAATTAGAGTTAGAAGCGAGGAGAAGCTACTTCGGTTTTGATGTTGTAGTATCGTGGTAGCATCATCTTGCTCTACAGTCCTTCTCTAACCAGGCATTTGGTTAGTCAAAGGAGGCATAAAAAGGAATATGTTTAACTGAATTTTACAAGCGTATAGCAAAAAAACTCTGGGCTACTTTTGATATCTCGATCTTCCTTTCTGGTGCTGTCTTTCCCCTTTTCCTTTTAGACTTTTCTTGTGTTTCATTTATCTTTGTTTGTGATAACATTTTCTACTTTCGGCCTGGAATGAGGAAACCATTTTGTTATCTTGAACAGGTACTTTCATAACACTCCGGTCCTATATAGCAGAAAAGCAGTTGATGAGGCCTTGGGTTTAAAGACAGAAAGGAAAGGGAAGTTTAAGAGAAGGGACAAGGCACAGATGAAACCTCCTCTGTTAGACTTATCCTTGGAGGCATCAGAATGATAAGAGTGAGATGATCATCTATTCCAAGTGACAAGCATTTATCTATTGTAAATTCATCCACTCAAAGTAGCAGATTACACACATTGTTCCCGTGGGAGTTGGATTAGGGATGGCAATGGGTCGGGTTGGGGCGGGTTTTGCCAAACCCGAACCCAAACCCATGGGTTTGTCCGTCAAAAAAACCCGGGGTAAAACCCGCTGGGTTTGAAAAACTCAAACCCAACCCAACCCGCTGGGTATCCGCGGGTTGATGGGTTACCCGCGGGTTTTTTTGGTAAAATATTTATAAAATTATAATTAACAAGAAGCTATTAAAAATAAAAATATTTATACTGATAGTTCATAATTGCTACAAGAAAGGCAGAGAACGAATTTGGACTTATTTTTCTCTTTATAGAATATGTTGTGAGATGATATATTATCAACACTATGAAGGATGGGGCAGCAGAGAATGAGCTAAGTGTATATTATCTACTGAAATCATGTGCCGTTTTAAAAGTTTTAGCTTAAACCCTCTATATGAAATCATTGTTTCTAAAGCTACATATTGGCACATACCGTTATATTTTGAGGATAAGTTCCAGTAAGCTCTCTGAACCGGCATACACTGAAGAGAAGGTTTTCAAAGCTGTCTCTTGCATGTTCTTCAGTCAGTGTCCTCCATTTCACACTGGCTTCATTACCTGTGACCATCAAAGGGTTCAGATCAAGATCTTGGATACTTTAAACCAATCAATTTCGATCACAACACTAAGAAAAGTGGCAGAGCATGTTAGGTGCTTGGTTAATGCAAAATTCAATAACAGTTAAGTCAGTGCAGTATATCTTGATTATAACAAGCCAGGGCCAGCCTACATAGTAAAGCAGCTTAGCACAAACCCTGCTGCTTGGAAAAACTACTAGAGCCTCTTGAGCTATCAGGAAGAAGTTCATCAATTGAGAATCATAAAGCATGATATAGACTGATTCTGGAAAGTATCAGAGAACCTGAAGACACATTTTTAGTTCCATGAATTGAAATTCAACAACCAAACTATATTCCATTTTTCTTCATCATCAAGCTTTGGATAATCAAGCAAAATACCAGAGAAATCAATCCAGATAAAAATGCGGACTTACATCCAAAGGTATTAAGAGAAAAAAGTTAAATCTTTCAGAAGAGGAGAAGGATGATTTAGAAAGTGGTGAGTCAGGAATCACGATTCACAACTAGTGGCCACTTGGCACTAGCAGTCAACAACGACAAAGAGCAGCATGGTAGAGGGCTAGGTAAAGGGTAAGTGGACGACAATGAGAAGGTTCTGGGTTTGTGGCTACTAGGTGCTTATGGTTGACGACGATGTAAAGCAACAGGGCAGCGGGCTAATCGAAGGGAATAGAGGGACGACAAGGTTCTAGGCTTGTGGTTGTTGACCCCTGGCAGTCAACGTTGGCTAAGAACAATAAGGTAGAGGGTCGTTCGAGGGGAATGAAGCCTGTATGCTTACCTTTGCAGAAGTGCTCTCGCGGAGCAGAAGACCAAGGAGAGGCCGGCGGGGGAGGCCGGCGGGGGAGGGCGGCGGGAGTGGAGTTGGAGGCGCGCGCCGAGGAGCAGGGAGAGGGCGTCGTGACTGAAGTCTGAAATCGGGAGAGGAGTCGGAGGCGCGGCCGCGTAGCAGAGGAGAAAGGAGAGTTCGCCGGGACGGAATCGGGAGTGGAGTCGTAGGCGCGGCGGCCGCGTAGGAGAGTTCGCCGTGCCGGACTGGAGACTGGACTCTGGTTCTGGTAGGGATGACTGGAGATCGCGATTTGCGAAAGGAGAGGGGCGGCAGAAGTCTTTGGGAGAAAGGAGAGGGGCTGCCGAGTACTCTTGGTCGATTAGGGATTTAGGTTTAGGTTTAATCCCCTCTCTTCTCCATATGTCCGGGTATCCACGGGTCGGGTTCCCTCAAACCCGAACCCGCCCCAACCCACCCAAACAGTCACCGGGTTTAAACCCGAACCCGGCCCGAACCCAGTCAACATGGGTTTTACCCGGTTTGACCGGGTTGGGTCGGGTCGGGTACCCGCGGGTCCGTGTTGAACTGCCATCCCTAAGTTGGATGCGATTCGGCAATGGGATCTGGTTTCAGGACAGATTCTATGCTTTGAGTGTGGAAGGCACGCTCGCTGTTGTAGAAGAAGATGTGAACTTCGATCAGCGGATTACGAAATTGGGCAAGGAGAGAGTGGTTCCTGATTCAGATGTGGCCGCTACGCCGGGGTTCAGGGAGTGTTTGGTGGAATCAGAAGGGAAAGTAGTGCTGGTTTTTCTGTGTTCGACTAGATCTATGGAGACGGTGGATCATGTGGAGGTTTACAGGCTAGAATTGAAGGAGCTGGCGTGGGTTAAGGCGAGGAGCAGCGTTGTTTCTGGGCTCCAATGCTAATTACACACTAATTACACACTAAGATACGAAAAGTGAGTCGAACCTGGGTTTGGGGAGCAGAGAAGCTGGGATCCGATTCAGAGCTGGGTTGGGTCTATTTTCCCTCCACACCCATCAATCTCCAGCGGATGTGAAAAAACCCAGCGCCGTGGTCGCCCCCGAGACGAGAAGGAGGAGGAGGAAGGAGAAGACGGCGTCGTCGACGAAACGGAGAGCTTCTGCTACTCCTCCAGGCGCTTCTCCTTCGACGACACGTCGTGCGATTTCAACCGCGCCGGGGAGACGACGGGGTGCGAGAACGAGGAAGGGAAGCTGCTGCCTGCTGCGGCGGGGGGGCAGGAGAGGGCGGCGGCGGAGGGCGAACCTGAGTGCCGGATCGGCGCAGAGGATGAAGGAGATACGGCGGAGGTGTTGGCTCGATTATGCGATCAGGAGATGTTAGCGGAAAGAAGAGATGGGGCTGAAATGGATTTTAGGGTTAAAATGGGTCAAAAATGGGTCTGAATGGGTTTTAAGGGTAAAACCCAAAAATACCCTACCCTCTAGGGTCAGAATGTGACCCGACCCTATTTTGGCCCTAAAGACTGATTGACCCTACCCGACCCATAGGGTTGGGCTGGGCCGGGCTGGGCTGACGGGTAGTAAGGGCCACAGTTACAGCCCTACCAAGTAGAGCACGCGACCAACCATCATATGAAAGTTAAGGATGAAACAACAGTGTTACCTCCTGCAGAAAATCTCCGTTCTCCATTTGAGAATTTATCAAGAATCTGGCTGCACGGTGCAACGGTGTTGAGTCTCTCTCAGCCTGCTAAAACAAACCAAAAAAATAGCGCAGGGGAAAAGCAATGCAATAAGAGTTCAGATGCCAACATGCATAACTTCACAATCCAGCAACACAAAGGAAAGTAAAGAACATCACATCAAGGTTTGCCTAAGTTTTATCCGAAGGTAAGTGAAACTGGTGTCTGCATCTACCTGGCCAGCAGTGAACTGATGAGAGCCAACATCGCCCATCCAGTATTTACAACGTGGCCTCTGTCACCTTCAAGATTGCTATATACCTGGTATATGAAGAGATCAAGGACAATGGTATACAAATCCTTACAGAACAAGTCAATCGTCGAACTGCTCCAGGAGGTTATATGATCTGTCAGTGAGGTCTAAATGCAAGCAATAGCACAGCCGAGTACAAAACGCAACTAACCTTGTTTACACATGAGAGGTAGCTCTCTCCCCAACCACCCGAAGAACACTGCTTGGTAGATGTTCATAAGCTACCAGTACAGTATTTGCAAGCCAAAGAGACTACCTCCATCCAACTATAGGACCTTATGTAGCGAAGCTACCGCAGCATTCTACAACCCCTGCTGCAAATGATTTATAAATTCGGCATTGGTACTGAAAGGCCGTCGCTGAAATAATCGACTATTAGCATAAAAAGACATCAACAATATTGTACCGAAACCGATATATTGGCAAATTTTCCATGTTCGAGTTGGCACTGTAGCACTTGTTGCACTCTTTGGGGCCACTCGGATGGAACACGAGGGTCGAGGGATTTCGATTAAAGGCTCTGATATTGTGTCAAGAATTAGTTGATCCGAATCTCAATAACTTAAATAAGTTCCAAAAGTATATCTTGTATCATTTCCTTATGACTCGATTGTTACTGATTGGTGCACCCATTTGAAAAGATGACATTCACATTAACAAATTTCAAACTAGTGTAAGTTTAAGACGCACAACAAAATCACTCTGTAACAAGAGTCTGCACAGGCAAGTTAGTTATCAGTAGAAAGTAATGCTAAAGTGAGAATTAGACTAATCCATTAACACTACACTTTGAACCTCTCAGAAACCAAGACATTGTTCTGGTAACACGAACCAAAGAGTAAATGCTGAACTACAGCAAACCACGTTTTGTTTGTTTTTCTTTCTGAAGAAGACTACTGGAAAATGGAAATGATTGATGCCCGTTAACACACTGCAAATCCATCAAGGAGGATAAGGCGCAGCATTAAAGTGCAAGTCGATCATGGCCAACACTCTGGACCAAGAAACCAGCAGTTGTTGGAAATGGTATTTCGATTTGTTGGAAGACAACGATCAATCTTACAACGCATGAAGGACTCGGGTCCTGTATTCTCCCAACGCCCAAATCGGGAAAATGTCTCTGTAAGCTGAGTAGCTAATCATACAGTTCCTATTGAAAACTCCCATGATTTCCTGCATTTTCCAGGCACCGCGGTATGATTAGGACTATGAAATATGTGTTGTCCAAAGTCAACCTTAGCAAAGTTGAGAATGTGACAACATTACCTCCTGCGGGAAATCTCCATTCTCCATTTGGGAATTTATCAAGAATCTGGCTGCACGGTGCAGTGGCGCTGGGTCTCTCTCAGCCTGCTCAACCAAACAAAAAATGAAAAAAGGGAATTTGGCAACTTGGAAAGAAATAAACAGCGCATCGAGTTGGCATAAGTTCATCTTAATGAACTGAAACTTGTGTGCGCCTACCTGGCCAGCAGCAATCAGAGCCAACATCGCCCATCCGGTATTTACCACGTGGCCCCTGTCACCTTCAAGATTACTATATACCTGTATATAAAGAGATCAAGGACAATGTTTTACAAATCTTTCAAAGAAACAGTCAATCACTAAATGCTCCAGGTTACATCGTTGTAAGTTCTGTCAACTTTTGTTAAAACTGTAAGCTAACAGTAAAAGCGAGTAGAAAATACAACCAACCTTGTTTACACATGAAAGGTAGCTCTCTCCCCAGCCACCAGAAGGACACTGCTTGGACAACAGAAAGTTACATGCTTTCCGGATGCAAGAGCTATTGTCGAAGTTCTTTCCAGCAGCAACCAATCCTTTTATGCCAAACCATGTAGCATACGTAAAGCAAACGGCCCAGGAACCATACCTTTTAAACAACTTCAGGTTTTCAGAATAAGCACCTCAATGCTCTCAAATATAGGTATTGTAATAGAAACTTTTCTGGGACAAGTTCACATACCATGAGCCATCTGTAGCCTGAATGGATTCAATGAATGCAACAGCCTTCTTGATACAACCATCCACTTCTGCTATCCGATGTCCAGGATAAAGTTTCTTGAATGGTACTAAGGCTTGAATCGCAGCTGAAGTACATTCAACATAACTAAAGAGACGTTACAGCTAGCACCAGAGTTTTAAGAATAACAATATAGAAAAGATGGCACCGATAATCTTTAAAAGGTAACTTACGGGTAATCAATAACGATGTCACCAAATGTTTCAGCTGGGTTGATCAACTAACAATGAGCAAGAGGAACAAAGTCAAAATCGGAAACAAAGATGACCATGAAAAGCTGGGAATTAAAGTCTAACATGAGCTGCTAAATGTCTACTAGAAGTGGAAGATGTTAAGGTATAATATTTGTGCAAGCCAAAGAGACTACCTACCTCCAACCAACTATAGGATCTTGTGAGCTCATACGTAGCGAAGCTACCATCAGCATTCTAACAAGGATGAAGCAACAATAAGATTACATACATTAATGAGTGGAAACACAAAGAGTAAGCTATACATTTTGGTTTTATTAGTTCTTGAACCACCAATCAATGTTTCAAGAAACTCTGCATATTTTAACACACAGATCACAATTTATTATGAGCTTAAATTAAAAGGTACCTGTAATGACAAAATCACATTTGCAGCATCATAAAATCTCTGAGCTTTCAATGGTTCCCCAACAAGCTCTGATGGCATTTGTGATAGTAAAAGAGCAGCCTAGATAGGGCAGCTGTATTAGTTAAGGCAATCAACGCAAGAAAACAGAAACAACTTCAAATTCATTTGACGTTACTTTTAATCCCTCTGCTGTGCAGTCTGAGATAGGCCATCCATGGTCAGCAGTTGAGAAAGGCCATGCACCTTTAGAAATGTGTCTGTACCAATAATCAAGGTCACCAGGGCAATCGTCCAAAACCTTGTATGCATAGATATCGTGAATAAGGTTACAATTCAATATCATAAGCTCTAACATTTATCTGACAATTATGTAAAAACAAATTCCCAATCTCTGCAAATAAAAGGAATTTTTTCGACTTCAGATGGCAAGGGAATACCTGTGAGTTTTTCACATATGTGTGTGCTTTTTTAAGTGATGAACTATACTCTTCAATAAGATTGGTTGATAGAATTGCTTGAACAGCAAATGAAGTATCCCATGCCTGACTTCCATTATACCCCTGTGATATATCATATATCACGTCGATCATCAAACAATTTAGAAGCAGGTAACCATAACTATGGTTTCTGAGATCCCAAAAGTTACCAAAATAACTAGGGACTATCAAATATCAATATAGCAAGTTTTGGGAAAAGAAAGTTGAGATAAATAGTCAAGTGCTGGACCTGCATTTTCATTCCATCTTCAGCAACCCAAAGGTAATCAGGTATTCTTGGAAGATGCAGCTTAAAAGCTTCCGAGTTTGGATCCTCCACCCAACAACAGAGCATATTTAATACCTGTACATTGAAGGGCTCAAAGTCAAATGGAAGAATTGAAGATACAACCATGCAATTGACCACCCTACTGTGGAACTCATATATCCAATCAATAATTGCCTAGTTAGTTACAAATCAAAAGGAAGTACAAAATCATATCGTAAACCTCACAAGGAAAGAAACCAAATGAAGGATAAAATACAGCATCTGACAATACATTCCGCATAGTTGCCATTTAAGTAGACATGACTATTTTTAATGAAACTGATAATTCAAGATGCACACCTTATTTACAGGTCCTATGCAAATGTAACGGGTATTTTCATCTTCATAGTGTATGTGCTCCATTGTAGTCTGAAGTGCCTTTTCTCTCAACTTCTTTCCAGGCCAGGTCATCAGAATAGGTTCAACGAACTTGTGAAGGAACCCCCAGAGCATATCTTGAATGAGAGGGTGTGGGTAGTAGAGATCTTCCTGCCACCACAATTGAAGCAATAAGCACTTGCAATTCAAAAAAAAAAAAAAAATCTTCATCTATTCAAATATGCTCATATAAATGACTACAATGATCAACAGAACAGTTAAGAAGTTAAGAATTCCTCCAATCAAGAGTGAAGCATTCAAGATTTACTGACCTTTGCACATTCATTCCGAGCAAGATTCCAGTCAACTTCATGGAACGGTACATTGAAAAGTTCCTTTCTCAATGATAAAACTGTTGGGGTGATGGGACCAACAAACCTTTTCCCATACAAATAGGACATAGGCAAATAGACCATCCGGCAATGACACCACATCCTTCCTGCACAACGAGGGAAATGGTGTTTCGATTTAATATGTGACAGAAAGCTACATGAAGTATTATGCCTTTAAGTTATGGCAAAAAATGAATGGAACTCAAAAAAGCATGTTACATATCCATTGTAACACAGGTTCCTCCGAGATGAGAATCGCAAGTCAATCTCAACTATCATAGTGTAGAACAATGGGCTTAAAACTTCCCAGTAGAAATAATGCACATTCTAACTCAGGTACTCAACCATCATAAAGACAAAAAAGTAGCTAACCTGGATGGATTGGGAGAATATAAGGAAGAAGCCATATCTCAGGGGGCAGGGGATTATTGCCAGACCAGTCAAAGACTCCAAGTACCTGTTCAATCAAACAGCAACACATAATATTCCATCAAGTAATAACTAAACACCACAAACAAAATGAACAAGCTCAAGTTAGTTACAGAACTGAAAGCCACATTTTCCCCCACGAGGTTATCGCAGTAGCTCCACCATGGTTCAAGATCCAGTCACGCCCTTTCTCCATCGCTCCTTCTCCATCATTAGCTCCCTCACCAAGCAAGCGCAACGTTACATAAGTGAGAACGCTTCCAAACATGGTGCTAGGTCCCTCGATGTGTAAGCCCCACCCACCATCTTCATTCTGCAACATTTAAAATCTATGAGTCCTAAGAACTGAGAAGATCTGGAAGGGGCATATAAACTGCAAATTACAATATGCTCATCAGAAATCTCACACACCTGATGATTATAGAGGTACCGGCGCATCTCCCGCTTGTGTTCTTCTGACAAAACTGCATTCAATGCCCCTGTCACGGACAGAGTAATTACCTGATCCATTGGATAAGCAGCAGAAAAAGAATCAGTTCCTGATATCACAAAGCTAGTTTACTCAGACAGTATTTCGAATTAAACACAGCAGAAGAAGCAGCCTACCAAACCGGGCATGAGAAACATAGGCCCTCCATAATCCCCTGGCCAGTGTCCATCATGAGCCTGGATCGTCGAGTAATAATCCAAAGCCCTTCTTAAAGTTATGGTCACTGCCTCCTCTGTAACATCTTCTTTCTCTTTCACCGTCACTTGAGGCAACACATTAACCAGCGGATTCTCCTTTGCAAACTGCCGAACCAAAGTAAAATCAACTATTTGACATCTGAGTGACCAGTCAAAACACAGCAGAAGAAAAAGAAATGGCGGCAGAAACAAAGCAAATTCAAAAAAAACTACTAGAGCTGCTGTTGTGCAGCACCTGTTTGCGCATGAGGAGATCGGAGCTGTGCTTCTTGTGGAACCGATTCTTGTAGAAATCTTGACGAACTTGCTCAATCTCGGCGAGCTCCTCGGGAGATCCGAGCTTCGGATCGAACTCCCAGACTTGCCTTCCTACATGATCGTTCGTAGTCCTCAGCCATGGATTACTCCCTCCATCGGCTATCTTCAGCTTCCACATTCTGCTTCCACTTTATTATTCCCCCTCTCTCTCACTCACTCAAAGATTCGCCGGCTGAAACGAAAACCGCAACCGGCGGAAGAATCGAAATCTACAGAATCCAAATTCCGATCGGCATTGCAGGAAATACAAATACAAGAAAGGAAAGGTGTCACTGTCAGCGAGAGGGTGTGAAACAGGATTGGGGGAAAACGGAAACTGCAGTTCACAGCAGGGAGATTAAATGCAGAAGGAAGGAAGGAAGGAAGGAAGAGAAATGTGAGGAGCACCTGGGTGATGGAGAGGGAGCTCCGCTTGGCTCAGCTTCACTGTTGGCACTTAGCAGTCGGTACTGAGTTGGAGTAGCCGCCGAGTTACGATAAGATGATGAAAGTTGTTTTTTTCCACGTAATTATAGATGAACGACTCGTGAGGTATGACTCGTGAGTTGATGGCGTGTGTGGATGAGATTTTAATTAATTTCTTATTTCAACAGATCTTTGTTCCTCGCCCCTTCCTTCTGTATTCTAGAATTTTGCAACTCCTACTCCATGTGATCATGTCCCAATTAAATCTGATCAAATCGTTATTTGGATCGGAACACATATTATGCATTTTGCTACTCACTTTCATGAACTAAATAAGAGTAAATATGATATTGTCCGATCCTAATTAATGAAATATTCAAGTATAAAAGGGGATAAAGATATTTTTATTTGATGTTGCACTTGCACCTAATTTCCTTTACTTTTGGACCTGGTTCAATTCGGTTATGGACGAGGCCAAATCGTTGACAGTTTGACACCCTTTCTTTTTTAAGGGTAGACACAACAATGTGGTCCACCAAATTAGATCATATTAAATAGATTATTCGGGTAAATGAATCTAATCAAATATTTAATTTCATGAGTTACTTCGAGTTTAATTACATGCAAACCAAGAACCCTTCTTATTGTTGTAAGTATATGTAGGAAAACATATATGGTTGTGTCCTTCAATCCTTGAACAAGGTTCATAAAAGTGACCAAATTGTAATCAAGAGAATGTGAAATTGTATACTCTAATACATGGCTTTATGGAGGAATGATGGGATTTGATGATTGCCCCCATTAATGCAGAAAGGCTAGGAATGATGGAAATGAGTATGACACACACGAGGGCTTTATTCCATTTCTAAGTTGTAAAAGCATTTTTAGAAAGTGTTCATGCAAATCCATTGTAGCATGTGGTGAGATTTGAGAATGTGGAATAGAAAAGTTGTTATTGTTTTGGTTCCTCAGTATCTTAAGTGTTTATACCTTCATTTAAGTAATGATTTTGCAAAATGTTATTGGTGTTTATGCAAGTCCATTGTAGCATGTGTTAAAATAGTTTGATAAAAAAAAACTCATCCATGTAAGTTTATGACTCTTTTTCGATTTTTTAATGTATTTATTCTTTTTTATTAATAATTTGGGTTGCTTTTTCCATAACATCTCGAACCATTTTCCATAAGATATAGTTAGCTCTGAGGCTAAACCCTCACATATTTTGCCTTGTGGTGCATAACAAGATAACTTCCCATAACGTCACTCATTCTTGCAGTGCTCCATAAAGAGCACCTTTACTTTCGAAGTTCTTATAAAAACTCTTCATTTTCATCCCAAAACGCGTCTTGTCAATTAAGACCGATTTCTTATTTATGAACCATAAATCTTTCTCGTACTTTGTCGATGTGAAATTCATCTAACATGTTACATTTTCTCCCTTTTTGGTTAGTAATATTATCTTATTTTATATGTGTTGTTTCTTTTGAATTGTAGTATTTTTTTAAATGGGATGCATTTTTATTTTACTATTTTTTATAATACAAAACCTTTTCTTCAGCATTTAAATTTAAGAAAACATTTGCTAAATTTAAATGCTTGAAAGAAAGTTTGGTATTATAAAAAATATATTAAATAATGATGAGAAAAATACTTCACATAACAATTAGTCAATTCTCGATTAGATTTGATTTTGGACTGGTTCCCCACCCTTTCTTCCTCCATTTAATGGGGCTATTTATTAGTTGATGGGAAGGAAGGATTATTGGGGCTACGACGACCCATACCCAATTTATTTCTTGTGGCCCTCCCCAAGACCATTTTATGGTTTTTGTTTCGCCATTTTTGTCAATTATTTGTGTTCCTAGACTGGTAAGTGGTAAGCAGCATTCTAGTTACCCTTTCTCTAGACCAATCAGTTAATCTAGGTAGTCCTCGATTTCCCTCTTGGAGTAGCTGTGGGTTTTCTTCTTCTTCAGAAAGGAAGGAAGTAAGCCAATCCATATTCAGAAAGGATGGTATCAGATCAATTGTCAATATACGCTTTACCTGGAGGAAGGAGCAGCCTAGAGCAATAAAGGAGGAGTATGCTCAGTTCTGGTGCAGGGTAATACACCTACAATTCCTGCATCCCATACAAACAAAAATAGTCGATGCCAACACCAATTAACGAAAAAAGTTTCTGCAACAGATACGGTTTTTAGAAGATATCAACACAGTTATATCCACAACGTAACATACTTAATGCAAAGCACCACCACCTCCACTTATTTGATAACATTTCAGACTACTCAAACTTGGACAAGAATTTCCCTCTCCAGCCAACTACAACAACGGAAACTCAGATAAACATGCATCATGCATGGGAAATACAGCTTGCACCATTTCTGCACTTAACTTCCTCTCTTTTGTGTTAGTGTTGTGGTATATGATCCACGATTGAACCTCTTCCAACAACTCGAGTTAGTGGGAGCAACTGGTTCTTGACATGGTATCAGAGCCTAGAACCGAAAGGTCATGTGTTCGAATCTCCACGACCCCCAATATTAACCGTTGTCTTTCAAGCACATGGTATGGTTGGCCTGTGCAAACTTCAAGCCCTTGGGTTGGCTTTCGTTTGAGGGGGCGTGTAAGAGTGTGGTTTAAAATCCAGCAGAACCTTCTCCCAACAACTCGAGTTATTGGGATCAACTGGTTCATGACATGGTATCAGAGCTGGTTTGACCAAATGGTCGCGTGTTCGAATCTCCACGACCCCCAATATTAACAGTTGATTAAAGCACACGGTATGGTGGGCCTGTGCAAACTTCAAGCCCATGAGTTGGCTTTCGTTTGAGGGGGCGTGTTAGAGAGTGGTATAAGATCCAGCAGAACCTTCTCCCAACAACTCGAGTTATTGGGATCAACTGGTTCTTGACATGGTATCAGAGCCTTCTGTGATCGAGAGGTCTTGTGTTCGATTCCCGGTGACCCCCATTTGTTAAGCACATGGTATTCTTGTCTTCAGACCTGTGCAAACTTCAAGCCCTTGTGAGTGGCTTTCGTTTGAGGGGGCGTGTTAGTGTTGTGGTATATGATCCACGATTGAACCTCTTCCAACAACTCGAGTTATTGGGAGCAACTGGTTCTTGACATTTTGCTCAACTTCCAACTCTTTCTTTCTTTATTTCCAGTCCCCCACACGTCTAAGATGTGGCCAAAGATGGGTTGTCTCAATTTCCATTGACAAGGAAAGTTCAAGACTACACAAAACTTGTAAGTTTCACCATAAAGTTGCATGTACAGACTGCAGAAATTTTTACCACTAGTCTGTACAAGCAAAGACTACTTCCAACCAACTTGCATCCAAATCCGGCTTTACCCCGGGTTAAACATTACATAGGGCGGTGAAAGAAAGAATTCACACGGTAATAGTATGTCAAGTGTAAAGGTGAAAGCTTGGCAAGTGTAACCAACATCTTTACAGAGACTGGCGTTTGGAGCAGTTAGGGCAGTGGAAGTGGCCCTTGGCTCTGCATTTACTACATTTCACTCGGGTCACTTCTGTCTCCCCACCAACAGACTGATACAAGTCATCCAAGAAAGTAAATGGCGCGCCACCTGCTTTGGCTAATCCAGTTCCTTTGCAGGTTGAGCATGCTACCATCTTTAAGTCCCCACATTTCCTGCACATCCCCAGAGAACTGCAAAAGGCAAAGATCAGTACAAAAGTTCACCGATTTGCTAGGCACCATGAAACCCAGCTTCTGCATTGCACATCTTTGTGAATCATCTGATTTTGCAAAGCAGCCGGAATGAAGCGGTTGCTAAGGATACTGACTGACTATAGCCGCATTTAGCATCTACTCTTGGGTTATATATAGTCTCTGACTTGAATCGGATTGACCCGAATCATAATGGACTAAGGTCCTAGACTCCTAGTTCAGTCATGAGCAAATATCATGCTCATTATAGATTAACAGATCGAATCCTACCCATGACAGATATCTCCTATTAACAATTGGTTTGGATGATGGAATGCAGTCATGAAATGTAGGAAGATCGAAAGCGAGAAAATCCATCGTTTATGTGCTCATTTCAAGTGAAACAAAAGTGAACGTTTCTCTAAAATGTCTCAACACAGCGGACAAAATTTGCATCCAAACAATGGAATGCCTGATATTCACTTCCACCACATTCCAAGAAATCTACTGTCCATAAGAATTGTACACATTCCATGGATCGTCATTCCGCATACCAGACAACCAGTTGTTCTAGGAAGAACAAGCAGAGAAAGTTGGGAAATGGCTGGAATGACTTCAATAGAAGCTTGAATATGAAACAGCGCGGGAAAAAGAAGCGACCTTTGGATACAATAGAAGAGTGGGGAGTTGGGGATGTTTCACTAACCTTCTCTGGGAAGAAGAGATGAGGGAGTCAATTTTCGGAGCAGCGACGGTGGCGAGTACAAGAAATGCTCCGACCCCGAGTCCGGCCACTTCGCTCGCCGTTATGTTTTCCATCTCCTCCACTTCTCTGTTTGCTTTAGCTAGTTAGTCACCGCCGACTAAATGATTAATCGCCTTATCCTTTAGCCATGGATATTACTGGGTGGGAGCTTGAGTATCAGGTTCCACAAAATGGGCCCTAGAGCCCAACAGTTGCGAGCCCAACCATTTCCCCTTCTCCAAGGATCCAAATCCCACTTTCAACTCGTCACTCGCTCTCGGCCCCAGGCTCTTCCCCGTCCGCCGTAGCTCTCCACAATCTCCGCCGCCGTAGCAGCAGCGACTGAACGAAGGCCGAAGATCTTGTCACTTGCTCTCGGCTTATCTTCCCTGTCTGCCGCAGCTCTCCAGAATCTCCACCGCTGCCGTATCAGCAGCGACTGAACGAAGGCTGAAGATTGACGCAGCCTCGCCACCTCCGCCTGATTCAACAATCAAGTAACGCCCTTTTCCTCTTCTAGGTTTTCTTTTTTAGATTTGACTGAGGAAAATGTGATCTTGTTAGTTGCTTGAACTTACATATACATGATCCGACTTCAGTACATCAACAGCTGGTAGGATTGGGGTTTTTGGTTTGGAGTTCAATTGGGGCTTTTTTGAAGTTATAGTAATGGCTTGCTTTCTTGTAATTGTTGTGATGGAAGTCCAATAGAAAGGCAGAACACTCGTTCTAGGGTCTACCACTCTTTCTTTAACTTCATTCTTAAAGCAGAAGAAGCTCTGCTGGTCTGAAGTTACAACCCAAAAAAGACTCGATCTTTAATTTCCTTTCTCCATAGAATTGCTCCTGGATGAACTAAAACATTGTGTTAAGCTATAGAAAACATCCCTTGTTTGAGTTTGAGGTGTGACTAAGGTACTAACCAATAGGTAATTCCCCATTCCTTTGTTTCCTTCCCTAGAAAGAGAAGTTGAAGCAGGCAATTAGAGGGAACGAGATGGCTACTGAACAGAAAGGAGTTGATGATGAGCAGCAGGCTCAGGCCGTGGTGACGAATGGCGCTTCCTCTGGTGGTTTTCAAGGGAGAGTGTTGGATCAGTATCGAAAGCTAAAAGAGCATGCAGAAGCTTACCCTTATGTGTGGGGTTCCTACATTGTTGTGTACGGTGGGTTTGGCCTCTATCTCACCTACAGATGGAGGAAGCTCCGGCAGACCGAGGACAGAGTTCGGGGTCTTCAGGAAAGGCTTCGCAAGCTCGCTCAAACTCAAGACTCTGCTACTGCTGCATCATCTTCTTCTGCAACATTGTCGTCATCATCGTCAGCCACCACTAAAGCCACTTCCAAATAGCTAGCCAACCTATCCAGAGAACTACTTGGTTTTGGTGAAGTGGAGCCAACTTCCACAAGGTAAACAACTCCTTAATTGGAATTAGTTATAGTCTTTTCTTTAGTTAGGAGGATTCAGTCCATTAAGGAGGGGCTTGGCCTTCTTTTCGGTTCAAAGTAACCTTACCATGTATACAACCTGCAATTGGAGAGAGGAATGAAAGTTTAAAGCTTATTGGTTCTTCTGTTCCAGGCTTCCTGGCTCCAGCCCATTTCTATGTTATACTTTCTTCAATTTTATATAGTAGCTAACTGTATTGTGACGTTTCATTGCTGGTGGTGAAACGTTGACCTCATTGTACATAATTCAGCAGAGCTTAAACTCTTTGCTTCAGGAGCTGGGCATCCTCTTTTTTCTTTTATATATGGTTTTTACTTTTTGCTTTGGATCTGGGGAAAAGGGACCAAGAAACTAATCAAAATAGCAACCCAGATTTTCAGGGAATCCTTACTTGATTTGGACTCCTCAGAAAGCTAAGTGAAAACCAAAGTGATAACTTTTGACTCTTCAACTTACTGCTCCGTGACTTGGATTACAAGGCAACAAGTATAGGAACCTTGCAAATTCAGGTACCACAAGTTTCAATGTCTTACTTTTCGGTACCTGGTATTTTACCTTTTTTCTTCTTTTGTGAACCCCAAGAAGATTGTATTTTCTAGTTCAGGCCTCTTACCTATCCTTCCAAGCAAAACCGCAGTGCATTGGGAAGTACAAAATTCAGATCCTAAGTTGCATTCAGAACAGTTTTGTTATAGACTAAAAGAAAGCTTCAAGTATCAACTAAAATTCAGCTGTAATGGCTGCAGTTTGGTGTTCACCATCAAACTGAAAATGATCTCCCAACATTAATAAATGCTTCATCCTTTATTCAACAAAAGAATTACAATTAACCAATGGGCCAAAAATCAGCACACCACCAAACAGCACTAGAACCAAGTCTGTAATTACCAATTAGCTCTCTTTCTCTCTCTTTACAAAGAAAATATGTTACACATAACAGGAACCATTTTGTATTTGTATACATATATACACATTTCTCCATACATTTTTCTTTTAAGCTACCTCAATGCCTTCATTCTTCTTACTCTGAACTTCAGTGTCAAGGAAGCTTAACAGAGCTATTGACTTCCTATTCCTTGCCCTTCCTGCTTCCTTCAGCAGCTCAGCCAGCCGTCGCTTCTCGTCCACCACTTCTGGATTAGCTGTTCCAAGCTTCTGCTCCCTCATCCTAACAACTTGGTCTAGAATCTCAATTGCATCATCCAACCTGTGAATCAAAATCTGAAAACTTTAGAATGCTTTTGTATTGAATGTTGTTAGAACCGCTATTTAAATCATAAAGACACTCACCTTCCCATAGCATCATAAGTTCCAGCCAGATTGCTGTAGACAGCCAAAGTGTCAGCATGATAAGCACCATACTCCTTCTCCAAAACTCCCCTCGCCTCCTCGAACAGCTCAGCTGCCTCGTTGATCGCATAACGTTGTACACAAGCCAACCCCATCTGGTTCAAAGCAATCCCAAACATGGCAGGCTTCTTCTCCCCGCTCGCCCTCATCTTCGAAACAGCGCTTTTGAACGAGTTATACGACTCAGAGAACTCCCCCATCATGTAATGCATAACACCAATCTGAGCTTCGATCCCAGCCACAGTACTCTGCTGTCCCGGCACATCATCTCCATACACCTTCAGTGCCTTTCTGAGCAGCCTAATTGCCTGATCAAGCTCGTCCATCGACTGGTAAATGGCTGCAATGTCGATGAAACCACTCGCCACCTCCTCCACTTGATGGTAGTTAGGCCTACTCTCGTAAATCTTGAGAGCATTCTGACATTGAGTCTTCGACTCCTTAAACTTACCGATCTTGTTGTACAAGTTACCCAGCTTCACCAGAACGGATGCCACTGAGGTGCTGCTCTCTCCTTTCTTCGATTTGAACGTGGCGAGCGCCTTCTGATATGCGAACACAGCCTCGTCGTAGCGCGACAGCGACAAGTACGCGTCACCAATGCTGCAATCCACTGAAGCTACTTCCACTTCCCGTCCATTCGCAGCCATAGACATGCTTGCTAAAACATAATGCTCGAGGGCAGATTCATAATCTCCCCTCGCCTCGCAGATCAGCCCCATCAACTTCCTATCCGCTGCTTCCTCCTCTGGCCCTCTGTGAATGTCGAGCGCCATCTGGCATACGTTGGCAGCCTCATCGAACTGCAATGCTTGAACGTGAGCCTCGGCGAGATACCTACACGTCTCACCAACACGTGGATCCTTGTCCCCCAAGGATTGCTTCTGAATCTCCAATCCAGCAGTGTAGCAGAGGATCGAGTTCTCTACCTGGCCCAGCATTGCGTAGGTGTCACCCAACTGCATGCATCCGGCAAACTTGGCCAGAGCGTGGTCCAGCCCCAGATCAATGGCCGGGATTTGGATTGACTTCTCCAGAACCGGGATTGCCTCGTTGTAGTTCCCCAAGCTGCAGTGGATGGCTGCTAGAACGTGGAGCGACATGACATGTTCCAAATTCGGTGTCTCGTTTGAAGATGATTCGAACGACTTCGCTGCTTTCAGGGCATACACGAGAGCCCGCCTCGGGTTCTCGCCTGAGGAAATCATGTCTCTTGCTTGTTTGAGCAACAAAGGCCCATTATTAGCTGCAACATTTTCAGCAACAGATGTAGCAAGTCTCCTTGGGCTGCGAAAAGGACTAGTTCCATTTGGAGGTGGCTTTCTAAGGAAAGCTCTTTTCTTCCTGGAAGATTCTGTTTGCTGATTATAGATTCTCCTCTCCTTGCCTGAATTGTGATTCTCGTCAACAGCCACATTGTTTACTTTTCTGATGATCTCTTCTCGTTCTTCTTCTTCTTCTTCTGTGTTCTTCTCTGTCACAACAATGACCTCTTTTGTGAGCTCCTTCATGTTTGGAATCCCGATGAGGTGGCAGAGTTCTGAATCGATTCTCGATTCTTCGCCATAGGACAAGAAGCTCCCTCTTGAAGGGGAAGGGTCAGAGCACTGCATCTCGCAGACATTGTGATACAGCTGCTCTATTGAAGTGTCGATCACCCCGTCCATGGCTAGGTCAATAGAGTCGCTGCTGCGTTGGCTCAACGTGCTCCTTGGCGACTTCTGCTGCTGGCTGAAGCCGAGAATTGCCTTGTTTGGAGAGAAGTCGCCATTGTTGTTGTTGTTGTTGCTGCTGTGGCCACCATTTGGTACTTCTTCTGAACCACCCATGATGGCTAGCCCTGGCATTTCTGTCAAAGTTTCGAACTTTCTGAAACATCAGCAGAAATTATCAAATGGGTTTATGAATTGAGACACAATTTAGTAAGGTATGCAGAGAAAACGACAAGTAAAGCAGAACCCAGAACAGAATTGCAGTTCAAAAACAAGCAACTCATACCTTTTCTTCCCCCTTTCTGGTTTTCTTAGATGTATGAATCTCCTTGTTGTGATTCTGGTGTGAAATTGTTACATGTATGTACAGAAGGTATATGAGGAGAGGGGGGACGAAGATGGAGGTGGGTGAATGGGCAAGTTATGTGCGTGTGTTGTGGGGGGTGTTGTTGTTGAGGTTTGGAGTTACTTATATATAAGCTAACAGAACACATGGAAGGAAGATGAAGGAAAGTGGCATTAAGTTAATACAAGAAAAGAAAGTTGTTCTTGGAAGGATTTTATACAGATAGGTTTGGGCAGATTATAAAATGGGAATATATTTATGATGTATATGTGTATGTATTGGATGAAGAAGGTGTGGGGTCGCATAAAGGTGGAGTATTGAAGCAATGAGAGGAAGGCGACTTCTCTCCAACTTCCTTCCTTCCTTCGTCTCTTTCTTTCTCTCTCTCCTCGTCTACCCAGGTCTTTATCTTCATATATCTAAATACATCTATCGATGAAAATTTAGCTTTAATAATGCCTACGTCAAGTGGGGTTTAGTGTTGGTTTATAAAACATTTGAATTATGAGTGAACGATCTAGTCTTAGTAAAAGTTAGTTTATGATGGTATACAGTAGCAAAACGTGAGTTCTTGGATCTTAGCAGTGCTAGCTTAGCAAAACGTGAAGTTCCAAATCTATGCTTACAGTTATGAAGCTAGCGAGGCAGGAACACGATCCATCTCTTCATGGAAAAGAAAGGAATGGAAATGATACATGAAAGAAAAGTTTTCCGGTTCGATTAACCTGTCCGTCGGGATTCATGAAAGAAGGGAAAGCCGTTCGAGGGGGGGAATTTGGCGCGATTAACGGCTTTTTAACTGAAAAGAAACACAATAGAGGCAAACGTGACAGCGGACAGCAGAGTACACAACGTGAAGGCTTAATGACAGCCGTACACGTGGACCGAATATTTTATTTTGTCTCATCATTTTCTCGGAGTCCGTTCCTACGGCTCGTCTGAACTTTCCCGATAAGCGGGGTCCACGTGGACCACAAGAACTTATGCCAGCTGTCTGCGGCTGCACATTACTCAGCATTTGTTCCCATACCCTCCTTAGTCCTTATTAGTTGTGGTCCATGGTGATGGTGGGACGGCGGCCGGCGGCGCTAATGTGCGTACTAGTTATGGGGCGCCGGCCGTCCAATATGGAGATCGGGGAGCACGACGGCTGTTTCTGTAGTAGGAAAATTCCTGCAAGTGGAACGTTTTGTGGCGCTATGTACACGTGGCAAACCGCTCTCTCGAGTAATCACTAGTTGGGTGATGGAGGATGACCTTAAGTATAACTTAATCAGTAATATTAGTAGTGATTAGCAGCGTAGCTATTAGTGGTTTTCAGCGTCATTATATATGATTAAGGTTAAGATGTTTGCTAAGTTTTGCTATTTCCCGGATTATGAAAGAATGAATAAAAACTACGATTCAGTTGTTTTTCTCTCTCTTCCTTTGGTAGCTAGCTTCATGTTTTCTAATTTTTAATCATATTCAAACCCCTCTAATTTTGTCACTTATTTCCTGGATCCCACTCATCCATCTTAATGTCGATCTCAATTCTCCTTCTTCCCTGTGTTTGTTATTCATCATCACTCGAGGTTGAACAACTATTAATGATTTATTAAAATACATGTTGTTGAACTTAACTTTTCTTTGTTAGCGACATCAATTATTTCTACTCAAATATGGTATTGCGCTTTGTATGTTGTAATCGTTATTCAATGGTTAACTAAACAGGTTGTGGGGAAAATCTTTTTCCGTATATGCATATTAAGTGAGTTTATAAGAACTGATTGTATCCATGAGCGAATATCAAATTGTAATGGATTTGAATGAAATTTAACATGGGACATAAAACATTTTCTCAACTCGTTAAACCTTTTTTTTAAATATATTAGAAGGAGTTGAAACTGAGATGATAATTGTGGCCTTCATTTATATTTGTCTTAGGGCGGTGTTGAAACAAAACCTTCGAACTAACCTAAAACTCTTAACGATCTTAAGAATTTTATTTGTCAAATAAATATCAAAGTTCATCACTTTGTTATCCTGAATTCCTACACAAATTAAAAATCTAGTCAACTCTAATTTACAACTTGTATTTGTAAATTACAATTGATTCCATCCAAACACGAAATTGACAATGGGTAAATGACACATTTGGTCACTGAGATTACTAAATCGTGTCATGTTTAGTCACTAGAAAATTTTAATATCAATTTTGGTCACTCGAATTACTGAAACATGTCACATTTAGTCACTCTCCCGTTAGCCGTCGTCCAACTCCAGTCACTCAAATTACTGTAATGTGTCACATTTAGTCACTCGAATTACTGAAACAGGTCACATTTAGTCACTCTCCTGTTAGTTTCCGTCCAACTCCATTAATGAAGTTGGACGGAAACTAACGGGAGAGTGACTAAATGTGACTTATTTCAGTAATTCGAGTGACCAAAATTGATATTAAATTTTTCTAGTGACTAAACATGACACGATTTGGTAATTTCAGTGACCAAATGTGTCCTTTACCCGATTGACAATTCAAACATTTTTTTCCTCCTATTTTGGTTGCTTTGAATTGATAGCTAATGGACTTACATATACGTTATCCAAATTGAATTCATCCCGAATCATGCAAGGTTGGCCGATAAAAATTGATGATGGCCATCAAACTTAACATGACTACTCCTCTACTCCCATTACCTCTATTTATCATTCCCCTCCGGCAGTTGCTACTAATATTTCAGACCAATTAAGACATAATAGTATTAATGGAGGAGGAACAAACGCCGTGTAACCTCATGACTGACCCAGTTGATATCTAATAGGTACAAATTAATGCAGAGAGATACATCAAATAAGAAGGAATATCGAAAAGGAAGAAGAAGAAAATAAAGAGCTACAGACATAATTAGCAAAATGTTTGAATAATATTCTTTGCTTCTGATTTGTCCCCATATATATATAAAAAATCAAACCACAAATCCGCATAGGGTCAGGAAATCAACTAGAAAGAAAACCCACACGAGCACAAAACTCAATTGGTTGACAAGACCCAAAGGACGAATATTGTTGGACGATGTCAATAATTTCCTCATTATTATCTCCATGAAACTATTCTTTGTGGTTCTGATAAACAATAATAGATAATATTAGTGCATGCATACAGCGTATATAAATCAATAAGACAGTATTATTGTTAATTATTGATGAATTATGATTGATTGATCTCGACCAAAAGCATATATTCCGACGGTGCAATGCAAATGCAAATGCAAATGCAAATACAGCTCTTTTATATATGTCCTTGGAGCTTGGTGGGATAGTCGACTTAATTTAGGGCTTAATGTGTCAGGGCCCGGTTTCAATGTTAGGTATAGGAATTTAATTAGGGCTTAATAAACTTTGCAAAGCCGAACTCAACCTACTAATTAATTATCATCCATTGCCGGAGGACATGCTTAAGATAACTGGATTATAGTAGTTGGGTGGTGGTGCCCTTTGAGCTGACAAGAAACGGAAATGATTAAGACAAGACAAAACTTCCAATAATTAGCATTAGCTAGGGATATGTAATGATATGTTCTAAACTAAAAAGGTTTAGTTGAAATGGCAAGTGTAAATGATAAAAGATACATTGTATCGTAACAGTGAGTATTGACTTGATTAGAGACATAGAACTGTATCGCATTGCTTGATTTAGAGACATGCTGCATGGGTAGAGTTCAACTTGTTGACACCTACTATGCAATTTAACGGCTTTAGAGCAAAGGTGGGAGCGGCCGCCTACATTCAACATTCATTCATGAATTCAAGGATTTGCTCAAACACAATTAGAATGTGATTATTCTCATATTTACTGAGAGGGAAAGAAGTATACATGTACCTTATTAGTTAAGATAATTCCTGTGTCTTTGGGTTTGCATTGTATTATGTTAGTCAATCCTTAACTTGATCATGAAATGTCTTACGACATTTCATGATCAAGATAGGATTGGTATTGAAAATTATGTTCCTCAACATATCCTTAAGAATTGAAGAGAAAGAAGAAAATGATTGAGACTTGAGAGGGTGACTAAGCATGCTCGAAGGTGAAAGGATCTGGAGTTGATAAAGCAAGGGTGAAGATAAGGTTGATTAGAAGAAGGGTAGGTGTTCCAGCAATTCAATGATGGAGAATCCATACCCAACAAATCAACACATAAAATATATATTTGTTGTTTGTATATGTATCAGTGTCTCATCACAACAGCAAGAACAATGACAGTCCAATTTCACACCCCTCAAACCAATAATTAATGTGCCCTAAAATTTAGGGTAAGGAACCATCCCAAATTTGGAGCATCTTTATGGGGTATTATTTGGACGCAATACTGAGTATGTCTTGTGGGTTTCCGTTTCTTTTTGTGTGACTTCGTCCGTCGTCAAATACTTCCATTATTTCATGGTAAAATAAGTTTTCCAAATGATAACGTTGACTCATAAAATTGTATTTTGGGCATGGTGCTAATTAGAATAGTTATTGTAGGTTTTCAGAATAATTTTCTAGTATAACATATTTTTACTTGGAGAGTTATGAACGACTTAGGATGATTTTCTCGTGGTTTTAAATTTTTTCTTCAAATAGTGATCCTCAGAAGTGACTATGAATTTGTGATTGGTCAGCTCGTTTGTGAAATGAAATTAGAGATGTGGCTGAGGCTGACTATGAGCTGTGTTGGGTCGATTGGTTTTGTGAGGGCTTTCAGGCTTCATACTCCCTTAAATTGCTGACCTTTCTTGATCAATTGGGGAGTTGGGGTAAAAGAAAAGAAAAGAAAAGGCTTGAACTTGCGCTCCACAGTCCATAATAGGCGGCTTTTTCCAACCCCAACTGGGCCGGACATATAGCGAGGGCATGGGCCTAGACCTTTCGGTTTCCCAGGTAAGGCTTAAAGCGATTTAAGCACCGTGGCCCATATTTAGAGATCAGTGATAGCATAATATTTCGTCATAACCACTGGAGGAACGATCAGCCGCAATGAAAGTTGCGGTTATTTCAGTGTTGTGGTTTTCTATTTTCATAGATATCATTATTTATGTAAATAAAAAACGAGTTACATAAATAAATATGTCCAATTCTTTTCGTAGTACGTTATTTCATTAAACCTTTACTCTGGTGCAATATGAAGGCACAATTGCAACACTTCTCAAACGATTTTTGTATATCTCTTATGGAGCAAAGCACGTACGTACGTATATATGGCAAAATGGGGTGGAGGAGGATTTGGAGCCTTGGCGTTCTTGGTCACAATTCAAAGAGCTGCACATGATGAGTTTTGTCTTCCTTTCTTTTAATCCTTTTTCCCTCTTGTGTATATCTTTCGATAAAAGGTGTAAGGTTCGCACCTCTCTGTCTTTTCCTTTTTGCTTGTTCATTCACTTTGCATCATTGGTGTACAACGGCTTTGACTTTGGAATAGTTGGATTCCTTCTCAAAATCGCAGTGAAGATCGGGGAGGAATTACGTGGATAACCCTTCCTCTACATAATTATACTATGAATGTAATGTATCCTAGATTCCTAGTGTGCCAACATCATAAAATATCGTGTCATGTCATTAGTGGCGTAGCAAAAAATATTGCTAAGGTGGGTAAAAAATAAAAATAAAAAAAATACTTGAGAAGAGAAGGAGATGGCATATTGAAAGTTTTTTTTTTTTGTTTATAAATGATTTTTTGTTTAAAAATTGATTAAATATTTGTAAGTGAAATAGTACTTGTGAATCTATACTTGACATGGTACTAGAGCTGATTTGATCAATTTTTAGTTTGTTCAAATCTCCCCAACTCTTAATATTAACGGTTGATTTTAAACACAAGGTATGGTGGCCGGCCATGTCATATATGCGAATTTCAAGCTCGATAGGTGACTTTCGTTTTGAGGATATTTGTAAGAGACTAAGAGAGTGATATAAGATCTATGATTGACCTTCTCCCAGAAATTTGAGTTATTAGAACCCAACAATTTATGATAGAACGAGATTTTAAAGCATCTAATGACTGCGATCAGTAAATTACAGATTGATACACCATTAGGGACGATATAATATGTACAGACTACAAAATAACTCAAATTTAAATGGGTTGTATATATCTAAACCATCCCAAAATTTTAATGTCCACACAAGTCTTACAAGTCCTTCTCCAACGGTCCAAAGAATAAATGCCACATTACAGAGACTTTGGTCTTCCATGGCCTTGTAGTAACCCAAAAAGACACAAGAAACTACTATGAACAGCATGCACCACACCCCACTTTGACCAGAAAGAAAGAAAAATCACGACCACTGCCAATCATGGGGACAATTTTGGACGTGTTACGTGTATTCTGGAATTAGTCTCAAAGCTAGCTATATATGATTGGTCGCTATAACATCCTCGACTCAAATACAACACTACGGGTGTGTAAATGGCTTGTATCAAGATAAATATGATTTACAAATGCAGAGTATCTGATACTTTTTTTCCCCCATATGGGTGTATGTTGTTCTTCGTCATAGGGTTACTTGGCCCTGTAAAATTATGTATTGATTAACTATCTTGTAATATTGAATTGAATATTATAAGATTGTTATTTGTACATCTTTTAATAACTCGAACTATTACAAACAATTGAATGAAAACAAACCATAACCAAAACCTGCAACCGTGTGGGAAAAAGGAGTCATGGGTATAAAAAAAAAGGAACATCCCATTCATTGATTGGTGTGGATTATTCCTCTAGGGATGATGCTATTGGACCTCAAGACGTCCCTTCTTCAATAATGGCAGTCAAACGTTCAACATGGAAAGAAAAGGGAGGAATCTAGCCAAAATGGCCCACTCCGTATAAACAACAAAGTAAAGAGGTCCTTTGCTGAAAGGAGGTGAGGAAAAAGTCAGCCTTCCTCTCCCTCCTCATCCGAGATTCTCCAAACAGTGCCTACAACTCATACTAGACCAAGGGAACGAAAGAAGAACAAGAAAAGGGGAGATGACGATGATAAGCTGCTACTTCTTAACTGCAGCTATGTTTCCTTTTTTTCGCCTTTACCAAAAGCATATGGTTCGATTAAAGCCAAGAGCCCATCCAAACTATTTATGCTGCAGCTCCACTACCACTAGCATGCCATTTCCACGTTAGTGTTGTAACCTCACCAGTCACCAGACAGTTGCTAACTATTTACTGAACCATGTTGTGTTGTTTATGTTTTACTGGGGTTAGGGCGTTTTTACTATTTACGCGCTAATGATTGTTCATGTTTTACGATCCACAACCATCGTGGAGTACGCATGGTGGAGCAATCCAACAATCATGAATTGCAAAATAAGCAATCCAATGGTGTTGTGGTTCACACTAGAACATCCTAACCTCAATGAACATTAGACGTTTTCTACTATGCATAATGTTTCACAAGCTTCTTACGAGATTAGATTACACAAAAAAGTATCTAAAACAGGGCTTTATTCTTCTATCTCTACGCAAATCCTGATGGAAGTGCCAAGTTTAAGTGTTGGTTCTTGGTTTTGAAAGGAGCATCTAGGATATAGAACTGCAATGCAAGAATATCAGCCTCCACACACTCAAAGCGAGAAGAAGAGGAAAAAAGCAAGGATATGGCATCACCATTAAACGAAAGAATTAAAGAACGTGCGAAAAGCATAAAGAAAACTGATAATCATGCAAGCGGCTGCTATTTAGGAAAAAAACCACTTACAGGATAATGCACTGCCCTCTCTGCTTTAGATTGTCATATATCGTTCCATTATCAGCAGAGCCCCATGTAAAATAATTAGATTCCTTCCACTTTTCACCTATATCCTCTGCCCTGCTACATGTAGCTTTTTTCCTCCCTAGTCTTCCTTTCCTCCAAGGATATGCAAGAAAAAGGGCGGGGAATCGACTTGGGTGGAAATGGAATACCTTTCATTAATCTTCTGCATATTCCACCTTTTGCTACCTAGAAAACAAAAAGAAAGTCAAAACAGTATATGGAAGAGGATCATTCTTGCTTGAGTAGTGGGCCCAAAGAAGATTGAGATCACCATGAATGTTAAAGGCATTGTAGGATGATGATGTAATAAACAGTGATGTTTCGACGGAAAGAGGCCTCTTCCTCCCAAGTTCAGCAAAATGCAGTTTTATCACATAGCATATAGATACAAAAAAGAGAGAATATCGCACAAGAATGCATGCATGATAATGGCCACAAGAGGAATCATCTCAATGTTCAACTTGGAAGAAACCCTTTTTCCCTGCCAATATAAATACCCTTCTTGCTCCTGACTATTTCCCACAAGCTCTCTCCACTCTCAAACCATCATTTGTAATATTAAAAAATTAATAAACCAGCTTCTTCACCAATCAAAACAATCCCTATGGACTACAGATATGAGTCATCTGAGAACTCGAGGTTCCCGTCTCTCCTTTTTCACTCTGTAAATGCAAATGCACATTTACAATCACATAGTTGTTTGAATTCATGATCTCACAATGAATCGATTTGTGTATTTCCAACAGTGGCAGGAACAAGTGTGCGGCATGCTTTAGGCAGTTCAACAAAATGGAGCACCTGGTGGATCACATGAGGACCTCCTTCCACTCTCTGCATGAATCCAAGTGTGGGATCTGTAGGAAGCACTGCAGATCCTTTGAGTCCCTCAGGGAACATCTTATCGGTAAATTTCAGACGGACCCGCTAAACATAGTATATAGCTCCCTCCATGGTATGGTTTCCTTCGATGAGGTATTTACATGCTAAATTGGGTTTTCCAGGACCATTGCCTAAACAAGAATGCAAGAACATCTTCAATGTCCGAGGATGCAAATATTGTTTGACCATTCTTGAAAGCTCAAATGCCCGCAGGGTTCATCAAGAAAGTTGCCACTTCTCTAATGTCAATGCGGTAATGTGAAAGCTTTCGGTAAACATAATTAGTTTATCCCCCTCTTCAATTTCATCTCTTCTTATTACGTATTCTATAGTTAGTGAAGTTTTTTTCCGGATGATATCTCATGCTACAGCCTCTTTCCTCAGGGACTACTTGCTCGAATGGCTACCCTGGGCATGCGAGACAGCTTGAATATTGACAATGGCTACTCCAGAGGAACACAAGTAGTTGCACTGGCCTGCAAGATGGTTGGAGGAGGAAGTGATGGCTCCCTCGACCTTTGCGGAAGGGTTTGCCTCATTGATGAAAATGAGAATATTCTTTTCCACTCTTATATCAAACCACTGATTCCAGTCACGAATTACAGGTATGATCAAATCATCTAGTGACTTCCTTAACTATTATATAGTGAATATTCTGGTCAGAAGCTGCATCTATGAGCTTTCTAGTGTTCAAAAAGCAGCACTAACAATCATGATTCTTGCAAAAAACTTTCTAGGTATGACACCACAGGGATAAGGCCAGAATACCTGAGGGACGCAATGCCACTACGCCAAGCCCAAAAGAAGATTCAAGATTTCCTTTGCAATGGAGAGCCCATGTGGAAAGTCAAACCTAGAGGGGGAAGGGCTAGGATTCTTGTCGGTCATGGCTTGGACCACGACCTTGACCGTCTGCAAGTGGAATATCCAGCTGTGATGATCAGGTATAAAGCTTTATATTCAAACATGACCTTTCCTAGCAAGCTAGATGCTTGAATTATATCCCAGTGTCCCTCCTACAAAGTGGGATCGGCTGACCATGAAATATCCTGTCTGGAATAAATTAATGGATGGAATGATGTAACTACACAGGGATACAGCAAAGTACCCTCCATTAATGAAGACAAGCAAGCTCAGCAACTCACTTAAGTACCTAACACAAGCCTATCTTGGGTAAGTATTTGATTGATGACTTTAACATATCCTACACTGTTTGCTATGATGGAACCTTGTTCTTAGCTGGTCTAACATGTCCATTTGTAGGTATGATATTCAAACCGGGATCCAGGACCCATTTGAAGATTGTGTGGCAACAATGAGACTGTATACTCGAATGAGATCCCAGCGACATGGGGCAGAAGATTACCCACTTGCCTCAGACCCACAGAACCGAAACAACCTCGCCGCATGGAGGCAAAGTGAGCTGGAGAGGATGAGCCCAGAAGGTCTGCTGGCATTATCTAGATCAGACTTCTACTGTTGGTGCTTGGATTCCTGAGTTATCTCAGACGCCGCTAAAACCGATTAAGAACCTAAGTAGAGACGTATTCATGGAAAAGAGACACAAGTTCTTTTTTCTCCTCCACCCCCTTTCTGACAAAAGTGTGGCAACCTAAGAATATATTATTCATGAGTATATCTTCCCAATAGGAGATACATTTATGTTCTTGTGTTCTGTATGCATTCTATGTTAGTATGTAAGCTATTTCAATAAATCGAGACTCATTAAAGTTGCTCCATCTATTCCTAAACTGAATCAGCAAAAGTGCAATCGACTGAAGCTCCTCACACAAACAATAACACAAACACATGGCAGGTACGCTTCCACATGATGCTCGACCTTCTCAGAACACACGCTAACGCCGAAGCAAATGAGACGAATAATCACGCTATAGAAACCAATTCAAATCCAACAGATTCTACTGAGCTAAACATTTGATGCATGAGCGTCAGAACTTAGAATCTCGATTCTTTCAAGCAAGCAAACAAACAGACCGCAAGATTGCTCAATCTAGGATGAAAATGATTGACCTCCGTGTACCTTTTTCATCAGGGGATCGAGGCAATACTGCTATTCGATTTCGCTGCAGCAAGACGTTCTCACCGATCGATTCGCTGTCGACCGCAATCCAACCAATTCATTGATTCCTGAAGCGATGAAGCAGTTGAATCAATCCATATATACATGATAGTTTGTAAACAACACATATATACGTTGTGAATATCTCGATCTGGTTCGTCGGACTTTGTGGAACTAAGAAGCTTTACCTGGCTGGATTATATGATTGTGATAAGCAAACTGTTATAGGTCCGACGTTCTGTTGATCGTCGGCAGAAATAGCCGCCGTTAGCTGCGAGGGTGAGAAAGAGGAGGAGAAGCCGATTGGAAATGAGAAATTACAAATTAGGGAAAAGGGAAAGGTCTCGTTGAACGTACAGGTCTTCCAAATTTGCGCATAAACCTCCGAAGTAGGAATGGCAATGGGCAGGTTTCTTGGTACCCAAACCAATCCAATGGCACCGTCGGGTCCAGGTCGAGTAATTGATCACGGGTCGCGGGTCGGGGCAGGTCGACCCAATGGGTATGCAATTTATATGAAAAATATTAGAAATATTCGTTAATTTTATTATAAGACTAAGAAAACAAACAATATTATGACAATTGTAGTTAAATTATTGGAGAAATTAAGGTTCTCACTAATTCACAACTTTATTATAGCTAAAATATGATGCAATAAAAGGAAAATTCTAAGTAATTTGACTAAGATTACATGTACGGGTGGTTTGCTTGATGGATTTGAAAAATGAGGGTTTTGGTAAAATCTGGGTTTTGGAAAACCATGGATATATGATGGATTTGGTGGCATTATGGATTTGGACAAGTCTATTGTTTGCTTGATGGATTTGATTATGGACTTTGTTTGATTAGATTTGTGGATATTAAATACAAATTACCTAGTTACCCTTATTTAATTATATTTCTATATTATAATCCAAATATTTCATTTAAAACTAATCCAAAACATAGAAAGAAAATTTAAACTCTTTACCACTATGTGGATTAATAATTCAACTACAAATATAAAAATGTATTACAATCTGGCACTAATTAACAATTCATAAATAATGTAAGCAATATTATGTATCAATTGCAGTCAATTGCTCGCTTTATTGCTACAACTCATTATCTTCTTGCTAACTCAACGATGTGGAATCCGACAATCAATCAAATAATAATGTACAAGATGAGCATAAAGTGTTTCTAGGCGAATCTAACAAATCACATATACATTTATATTTAAATAAAATACGATATTACAAAATGAAATGATAAATTCTCATATTTATAAAATACGAAATTATAAAAGTTTACAGTTGTATGACCATTGAATTAAAGTATGACAAATTTGTAATTAAAGAAATAACTAAGGGTAGAAAGGTAATTTACCATCATGGATTTTAATCCATCACCCAAATCCCACCTCAAGAGGTGGAACTTCCAAGTCCGTGGGGTCCACGGATTTGGAACCCCAAAAGAGGTGGGCCCCACAAATTCCATCTCCCTAATTCCCTAAGGCAAACGATGGATTTCGGTTCAAGTCCATGATGGATATATTTCCATGACCAAATCCATCACCAAAACCCTCAAGCAAACGACCCATAATTTAGACAAGAACGGATCGAGAATGGGGCGGGTCAGGGCAGGTCGGGTCGACGAGATTTCCCATGCCCGTCCCGCCCCGCCTACGGGACAGGTCGGACCGCCCCAAAAGAGGTCAAACAGGTCGGATAAAACGAATCAGGTCGAAATTGTCATCCCTATTCCGAAGTTGTCAACTGTGATCGCTTAGGAGTCATGATTACTAAGCTGTAGGCGGATAAGAGTGACGCTTTAGTCCCCTAATCCTAGGGTGGACCCTACAACTTCTTTTTTAGGCTAATCCATGAAATCCATCAGATATGGGTTTGCACAGATTTTAGTATTATATGCTTAACAAATAGAGTAATTTGAATTAACATAAGATCTCTTATCACAAAATACTTCGATATCATGTCAAAAAGCAGTTGGTATTCAAGAGGATTACTTATACGTAAAATTGAAAATTAGGGTAAATAGAAGAGATGAAAGTCCTTAATAATTGAATGTTTATTGATCACCAACAAATCAAACGAGAAGAAAAAATGATGAAAAAAGAAGAACAAACCATGACATCAAGCAAATGAACACCACCAACAAGAACTATTGTTGATGTTATTATTCTTCAAAGAGGTACTGGAACATCGAACAGTGCAGCAATGTGGGCCTTCAAAAGATTAGAATCAGTGTAGCCATCACCCTTCTCATATATCACACTAATGGAACGTGCAAAGTTGAGCACACGGTCTGTGAGGACTACTGGAAGTGGAGTTGGTTTTTGACACTCTTCAGCTATATCTTTCCAACCTTTAGAAATCTCATTCCATAAAAATTCAATAGCTTCCTCCTTTGATGCCGAGTACTCCTTCATGTAACATTCGATTGCCGAAGCTGCATGCTTCCTTTCACGTTCGAACTGAGGGAAAAAACCATTCATGCACCGTTCAAAATCATTTTGCTACTTGTGGTATATGATCAGTGGACTAGCTGAATTGATTACATAATGATACCACGTTAGGAAATGTAACTCGTGTTCGAATGATAAAGAGGGACCAAAAGAATACCTCGTGAGAAACAATGTCGTTTTGGAACCTACCAATAAGAGCGACGGCTCTTACCATCTTAGGCTCATTGGTTACCCATTCAAAAGCCTCCCTCGTAGCTATTTCAGGTTCCATGCCAATGAAAGTAGATGTGCATAGAAGGGGTAAACCGCCACTGACATATGCTTCGAGCTTGTACTCCTCCAGCGTTGGAATATAAACTTTTGCGCGCCAATGGACCTCAGCTAAGTAGGCTCGACATATTTTCTTCAACTAAAGAACAATATATATACATGATATATTAGTTTATTATCTAATGAGATCCCCACATGCAAGTGATAGGATTATGAATGTAAAAATAATTGATATCATTATTAATTACTTCTCCTTTAGCATAATCAACAGCAAACGTAGGCCCCCTCTTTCCAAGTTCAATCTCGATATCGTCATACACCTTAATGATGGCATGATATAGGTCCTTCATTGTGTCGGGTAATGTTTCAAGAGCCCCAACATCCATCCTGAGATAAAGTAAGCATTTAATCATCAATTAACAACAAACTTGATCTCGTGCAAAGAATCAATCTAGAAAACTACGTTGTGTGTTGGTTTGTGTATTTTGTGAGGTAGCTAGATGAGCATGCACTGACCTTTCAATAGCTTCTGTGAGGGCCTCCACCTCCTCATACGAAGCAAAGTTATCATAAGTGTCGTCTATGACTGACACCGTTGATATGATCTTGGTGAGTATCATTCTTGCTAAGTGATACTTAGGCTCGAAGTAAATAGCACAAATCCAATAATAACACTCCACGATCCTGTTTCTTGCATGCGAGAATTTGGTACTCACTTTAAGACCTTTCCACCACCTAATTAACCAAACAATTTAACTATAAGGTACATAATCAACATGTGTAATAGTTGGGTATTATATTGGCAATAGTAACTTGACGAAAATAATTTGAGTGTCCATAAGTACTGACTCTGATATTTCGCGGAGCTCTTGCTGGTGGAATTTTTGAAGCATGTTGAAGTCCAACTTTGCGAATTGAAGGAGTTTATGGTTGTGAGATGGATCCTCAAAATAGAAGTCGATGAAGTTCCTAGTAAGTGTCCTGGGGACACATTTCCATGCGGGGAGGCCGAGGGAAAAGTTTACTTGTTTCTGGAACGAAGGGCTGAGTTCAGGGAGAATGGACTTGAGAGTCTTGGTGGCAAAGTCCAGGGCTTCATCCAATATGTCTTCTCCATGGACCGCCACATGTGCTGCCTCGTACAAGCTCAGAAGCACTTGCACATCCGAAGCCAACCATTCCTTGAACCTTCCTCTGGTGTCCTTCAACTTTCTAAATACTTCTGCTCATGATTCAAGATGGGGTTGACGATGTTATTTATTTCTTCCTAAAAATAATGATACTTGGAGTACCGTGAAACAATACTTTTATAAACGAATGAACGCTTCAGGTTGTGTCACTTCATCAGGAGCATCACATGTGGATAGTAAGTGTAATATGGAAGTGTATATATATATAGTAGTATTATTTTTACCGGGGGAAACGTGAAAGCCTTGTTGTCTGAGGATGCGAAACCAAAGAGCAGCATGATATAGATCAACATTGGGGGTCGTGTTATTGTCATCACGAATAGCGAATAGTTCGCCTCAAAGAGCATGCACCTTTGCAAGTTCTCCTTCAATCTCGGTTTCAAAGTGATACCCAACACCTAGTCGCTGAACTACATCTATCACCCGCAACTTGTTGGCAATTGCTTGGGGAGTATCATCACCACCACCATCATCAGTTGTCACCATCCTCTTCACCTCTTCCTTCAAAACTTCATACTCGCTTTCAAGCATAACGACCGGAAGGAGCCCACCCTAAAAATAAATCACGACCGGATCGAGTTGTAAATATATACTTATGCGGGACATTAATATTTAAGAACGACATGATTATATTCCACCCTTTTTCTTTTTCGCAACCAGTTCTCGTTCTGGTCTGGTCACGCTAGGAGTTCCGCAACGGGATATATGTCGTCCAACACCACGAGGTATTAGCGACCCAATTTTGTGTTTCTGGTCTCCATTTTCTTGGTTGCGAAAAAGGCTAATTAACTCAAGGCAATGATATAAAAAATAAAAAAAGCGAAATAATTAAAGAAGCTCTAGCAACGTAACCAACCTGAGGGGAGTCGTCCACATTATTGTGGAGGAAGTGATCGCCCCAATGGATCACCGGTTGCCTTTCCGGTTATTGGCGCCGCCGCTTCAGCTGACATCCTTCCTAGCTCTCGATATAGATATGTTGTACTGGATCGCCGGTTGCTTTTGGGTTATAGAAATCTGTAATCTGTGGATTAATGGATGTTATGTACTACTATATATATATATAGCCACGATCTTGAGATAATTCATTGTAATTGTTGGTACATTAATTAATATAAAAGGTCTGATGATAAATAGTAATGTAATGCATGCTATGTGAAAAAAGATAATATGTTCGCTACCATATTTTGACTCCATATTATAAAAGTACGATTAATCTTAATATGGTTCCCTGCCACTTATAATTATTGAGTTTTAGTCAAATTTTGGCAGCTCAATTATAGTGGATTGGTTGCATCTGCAAAATTTTGTTCATTTTCATGAAAACTATCCGATAAATTGAATTAACCTAGCTATCTCTGTTACAGCCGTATATTGCTGTAAAATTATTCGCATGTAAGAAAATGATAGAACAGCCACTTGACATTTCTTAATGAATGTACGCTACCCCTCAGTTTTATATTGCCTTATATAATGAAAGGATTATTTCTTTTTACTGTTTAAGTTAATTAACTATAAAAAAATACCAACAATTCCAACATGATAAAGTCAACACGAAAAAGTCACCACGTCACTAAAAACGTAATTCATCACAGTGCCGTTAAAATTAATAAAATGAACTATCCATGATAATAAGAATCTCTTAAAGGTTGTAATCTCCAAAGCACCTTAAAAAATCATTTAAAGTATTTCGTTTTTCAAATTCTAAAAACACCTTCAACCCTAGCAACTTGGCATGAAACTGATCTTTTTTTAGACCGACCCGCTCACTCAATTTGACTTGGAAACTATAATAAAGTAATAATTAAGGTGGTTGCTCCTAAATGGGGAGCTGGGCAGGGACTTGTTTAATAATATGGAACGTGAACATTTTCTTATATTAGGGTTCTTCAGAATCTTGGGTGGCTGAGTGGCCCCCATCGACGAAGACAGAAAAAACAGGGCGATCTGATTATTACACTAATAATAATTAAGCTGGCGGTATTTGACGAAAATCGACAATAATTATAATTTATAACAAACAGGGTGACGAATATATGGGAAGAGTTTTTTTATTGGTTAAGGGCAAATAAGGTAAGAGCAGGTAGCCCATTTTTGTGGAGTTTCATGCAAACGCACCTGATAATTCGAGATATTTCACTGATTGGGGAGTTTTTAACTTGATGGAATCAAATCCATTATTATTCGATCTCCTGTTGGGAGCTTAATCAGTAGGGAATTAAGGGTATGCTATAGTTCGATATAGAATCAAACAAAAATGGAATAGGGTTTAAAACTCAAAGGTTCTGAAATATAAATGACACGGTGATTTACGTGCATGATTTTTTCTGACGATTGAAAGTAATCAACGAAAAATAAAGCTCTTAGTTTAGGTTTCACTATATAGTCGAGGAGAAGAGTTCTGTCTGATATCTCGAAGGTCAGTCATCATCCTACCAATTTACCTTTTTTTGGGACTGGTTTGGAGGTACTGTCGCCACAGTTTGGAAGTAGCGACCTGGCTTCCTACGCTAAAGAGTCGTCTCCGTCCGTGAAGAGCAGATGCGCCTGGAAAAACGTCACCGAGTCGGTCATCATCATTCTAATTTACTATATCTTTCAAGAGTGCTAGACAATTGCAACTAGGGTGGTTAATTGCGAAAAGAACCTTATAGTTGAACATACAAGGTTAATTGCAAACGATATCAACAGAATCACTTAGCAAATGTAAGAAAAAAATGAGGAAAAAAATCGAAGGAAAAAAGGAAATCAATCGGTTCAATTTAATATCAACTTAATTAGTTGTTCAGCTCTTGTATATTGTTGGTTATTACAAGAAAACCTAATAGAGTATTAGCCAGTACTATAGTCTATAGATAATATATTTACCTCCAAACTCTATTAGCGGCGCATATAATATGTAAATATGACCCTCAATACTGTTGTCTCTAATTAAAGACAAAATTATAGCGTAAATGTAAAAGAATTATATTTTCATGAAAATAAATTTAATGTATGGTAAGCATGATTTTGTATTTTAAAAATATTTTTTCATTAAAGTTTTAAATCGGAGCTTCTGCTTTTATTTATAGAAAGTACTTTCAGCCTTTTTTAAAGTCGAGCTTATATGTGTATTTGTTCCAACTTAATTTTTAAAGCAGAAAAATGCTTCTAAACACCGAACCAAATATATATAGGCTTACACATTTCTTTGACATATATATAACAACGTACAAACTATACATCACTTATTCTAAATTGTCCAACCTTTTGATTTTATTTTGTTTATGGCCCCGACAAATATGAAATTACTCTGGTCATGGATATTTAAAATATTATTTATGATAATTGAAATATGTTTTCAAAGTGATAAATTGTGATAAGTTTAGCGGGACTTGTTCATGATTCTTCTGACATCCTTTTTCATCTCCTAGATGATACGTCTCCTTAATTAGCACAATCGAGAAAATATATATATTCGAAAGAAGGAAGGAAGGAGCATAAAACATAATGAAAATGAAATCTAAATTTTTTTTAAACCGGCCGGTTGAAATGAAATTATATTACTTGCAAAAAGAAAGAGAAATGGGGCACGTAAACAACCATGGGCTAAGGATACAGAAGCTACTGTGGTTGAGGATGTCGTAGTACAGGAATGAGAAATAATTCATTTTTCCTTTTCACAGTAAGTCCAAATTCCTCAGACATGTCAATATTTAGTGAGTTGTTTTCATTTGGGAGCTTCCAATCAAAATTATAAAGTAATTTCGCCAATAAAAGTTTAACCATCGCCATCCCTGATTGTATCCCGGGGCATACTCTTCGTCCAGCTCCAAAGGGAATGAACTTGAAATTTTGTCCGTTGTAATCAACATAAGTATCGATGAATCTTTCTGGGCAAAATTCTGTAGGTTCCTCCCAGTGTCTTGGATCTCTGTTGATAGCCCATGCATTGACGATGACCCTAGTTTTGGCTTGTACCTCATATCCACCAATCATCGTTGTCTCTCGACACTCTCTGGGAGATATTAACGGAGCAGGAGCATGCAGTCTTAAAGTTTCCTTGATGACCATGTCGAGATAGTGTAGTTCATCAAGATCTGCTTCGTCCACTACTAATTTTGCATCAAACATCTTTCTCACCTCTTTCTGTACTTTTTCCATAACTCTTGGATGTTTCATTAACTCTGACATTGCCCATTCCACGATTACAGCCGATGTGTCACTCCCTCCAAGAAACAAGTCCTACACATATTCTCAGCTCATCATAGAGTCAAAGTAACCTCAGATGTATACAACAGGACACTTCAACTCATTATAAATAAACATATATATATTAAAGCGTACATATACTTACGAGGATGACAGCTTTAATCTCTACGTGGGTGATAGAGAAGCCTAGACCATGGTTCTTGGTGTTGAGGTTCAAAAACACATCGACAAGATCATTATCTTGATGATGCTCATCATCATCTTCAACTCTGTCTGTTCTTATTCTTGCAACGTGCTCGTTGATTACTTGTTCAAGGATGGCATCGGCTTCCGCATGGAGCTTCTTCAGCTTCCTCTCTGTCCCACTCACTAGACGTACCAAGTTACTGGAAGGGAACAAGTCCCACAGGCTGAGCCCGCCAAGTGCCTTCATAATCTGTTGCAGAACCGGCAAAAAAGCTTCCTCTTGGTTTTGGGCTTTGTTCCCGAAGGCTGTACGACAAGTTATACGATAGGCTAGGGAGAAGAGCAACCCACTGAGGTTTACAGCCTGGACGTCATGTTCACCTGCAGCTATCATGGCTATGGACCTCACTAGTTCATTCACCTCTTGGGCCCTAATCGGGCCGAACGATTTGACCCGTTTTGGGCTCAACAGCTCGAGGACGCAGATCTTCCTCATCTGCCTCCAGTAGTCTCCAAACGGCCCGAACACGATGTCTCGGCCGTTGTATAGAAGGATGGCGGCGGAGGGCAGGAAGGGTCTGGTGGCGAAGTTGAGATCATGGGTTTGGAGAAACTCCTTGGCTAGTTCCGGCGAGGAGACGACCACGGTGGAGGTTTCCCCGAGCTGGAGTTGGATCAGAGGCCCATGTTCGACGGCCAGCTCCATCAGGCGGCGGTGGGGTAAGGTTGGGCCCATCAGGTTGTGCAGATTTCCGAGTAGGGGCAGCTTTCTTGGGCCTGGAGGCATCAACGGTGCGTCGGGTTTGGGCCTCCTCATTAGTACCATGAGAATAGTGACGCAACTGGTCACTATTAATATGAAGATGGTGAGGAAAAGTTTAGCACGTTCCTCCATTTTTCTGGAAATTTTTCTTTGCTCCGCTGCTATTCTCTGATCTCTCCTTTTGCTTTCCTTTCCTTCTCCCACTATCTTTTGAGGGTCATCTTCCGCAACAATTTCAGTCGGTATATAATTAGTATTTCAGCTAAACATGGTTGGCCGACATATTTTTATAATAATTTTTTTATTGATGAAGGATACATATGTTGAATCAATGAATGTAATAGAATAATGGAACACAAAAAAAAAAAAAAAAGGAATAAAGTAAGGAAAACGACGATGCAATTGTTTAACTCATTAATAATTACAGATCTTGATTGATTCCAAGGTGTTTAAATTATTATTATTATTATTGTTTGATGCAATTGTTTAATTGATGATATTCAGATCTTGATTGGGCCAAAGTGCTGTAACTATTAGGGATAATATATATTATTCTCGTATACCCTTCATTTTTGTTTGATCCTTCGCCATCTTTCTCTTTGTGTTTTGTTTTTATAATATTGAAATCTCATTAATAAATAAAAAGAACCAGAGTCTTACGAATAGCAGAGAATACACAAACACTAGGTTTCACAAGGGTGCCAGCCTAACTAAAGAGCACAACATATTGAAAAAGAAGAGACAAAATGGGGGGGAAAACTAGACCAACCAAATTAAAGTTAAAAATCACGAGCTTAAAGTGGCAACTTAATGCTTGCTCATTGTCTTTTGTTGACTAGGTATGGCTGAGTGCTCGCAACTAGTTTAAAGTTTTAAACAATATTTGGTATAAGTTTTAATTTTTATATATAATAATATTCTATGCTAATAATATATATATGGTGACTTCTATCATATCCAAGTTGAAATTAAAAATATTTCGTACACTTAGTTATCTTAATAATTTGTTTAGTCTCAGCTAATTTTTTTTTTTGCGTTAAATGAGCTTTTAATTTGAAATTAAATTTCAGAAAATCCCTTACAATATGAAATTATTTTCATTTAAGTTCACTTACCATGTGTTTTGAGTATATAATATACATCAACAATTTATATTCACACACGTTAGGGGAGGACTTTAAAGAGCAAATTTTCTGGCTGGGTTATGAATTTATTCATTTTGGGTGGACTCGGATATGACATGTGAGAATAAAATAATTTTTGTTTTCTGTTTTTATGTATCTTCTTTGTCTTAGTTTGAATTTTGAATATTTTTACAAATGAAATGAGTTTATTGTAATTCACAAAATAATATATATTTATGATATATTTTAAAAAACGTTTTTGTTACCATCTATTACGGCTGGTTACCTACTGGTACCACCTGTTTTTAACTCACATTTTGAAAATTTGTGCACATAAGAAACATGCTAGTTTTGATCTATATATATAATTGAATATATTTTTAGAAAAAGATTACAGGGCTAAAAATGCTCGGTTATAGGATGGCAACTTGTGACATTTGACTACCTTGGCTAATGGGACTGATTAGGGGAATTGGTGTTGATGTTCCATGTTTCATGAGTTTTTCTTTGCCAACCGAATGAACCATACATTAGGTATAAATAGAACGAAACACAATAAAAAAAAAATCACTTACTTAAATCGAAGACTAGAAACAAAATTATATGCTAGGAACACAAGCTATGATGGTTGAGGATGGCGCGCTATTGGAATGAGGAACAAATTATGTTTCCTTTTCACAGTAAGTCCAAATTCCTCAGACATATCAAGATCTTGAAGGTTGATGCCATAGGGAAGCTTCCAGTTGAAGTGATAGAGGAGATTAGCGAGTAAAAGTTTAACCATCACAGTCCCATACGGTATTCCTGGATATATTCTTCGTCCAGCTCCAAACGGGATGAACTTGAAATTTTGTCCATTATAGTCTATTGAAGTATCGAAAAATCTTTCTGGATAAAATTCTGTAGGTTCATTCCAGTGTCGGGGATCTCGTTTCATAGCCCATGCATTGACGATGATCCTAGTCTTGGCGGGTATATGATATCCATTGATCACCGTTGTTTCTCGACACTCTCTAGGAGCTATTAATGGTGCAGGAGGGTGTAGCCTTAGACTTTCCTTGATAACCATATCGAGATAGTGCAGCTCATCAAGATCAGCTTCGTCTACCGTTCTTTTCCCATCGAACATCTCTTTCACCTCCTTTTGTACTTTTTCCATCACTCTTGGATGCTTTATCAATTCGGACATTGTCCATTCCACAGTCACTGCCGACGTGTCACTCCCTCCCAAAATCATGTCCTACACATATTAATAATTAATTCATTACAAACCCAGACAGTATTGTATAACAGGCCGACCGAACTGGGGGCAAAGCTAGTTAAATCAATAAGAGGATAACTCAAGTATGACATTATGATATTAATGAATTTGATTTTGATTATCTAGCATTCTTAAGAAAATTTCTCGTGATCACCAACACACTCAATTACTTATTAAGCCTCAATATTATATCTTATATGTATGCACCAAAACCCTTCATTTCCTCATAAAATAAAATAGTCAACAATACCACGTATACTTACCAGGATGACTGCTTTAATCTCTAAGTGGGTGATGGAGAATCCAAGGCCATGATTCTTGCTGCTGAGGTTCAAAAGCACATCAACAAGATCCTTATCATGATCATCAACACCACCACCATCAACTCTCTCTGTTCTTCGTCTTGCCACGTGGTCGCGGAGTACTTGTTCGAGGATGACATCAGCTTCCAAATGGAGCTTCTTCAGCTTCCTCTCCGTCCCGCTCACTAGACGCACCAAGTTACTGGAAGGGAACAAGTCCCACAGGTTGAGCCCACCAAGTGCCTTCATAATCTGCTCCAGAACCGGCGAAAAGGCTTCCTCTTGGTTTTGGGCCTTCTCCCCAAAGGCCGTGCGGCAAGTTATCCTATAGGTTATGGAGAAGAGCGACTTACTCAAGTTTATAGCCTCCTCATGCCCTCCTCCCGCAGCTACCATGGATATGGACCTCACAAGCTCGTTCACCTCTTGGGCCCTAATTGGGCCGAACGATCTGACGCGTTTTGGGCTCAGCAGCTCCACGACGCAGATCTTCCTCATCTGCCTCCAGTAGTCTCCGTACGGCCCAAACGCGATGTCTCGGCCGTTGTAGAGAACGGTGGCGGCGGAAGGTAGGAAGGGTTTGGTGGCGAAGTTGAGATCGTGGGTTTGGAGAAACTCCATGGCTATCTCCGGCGAGGAGACGACGACGGTGGAGGTTTCCCCTAGCTGGAGTTGCATAAGAGGCCCGTGTTCGACGGCCAGCTCCATCAGGCGGCGGTGGGGTAAGGTTGGGCCGATCAGGTTGTGCAGATTCCCAAGTATGGGCAGCTTTCTTGGGCCTGGAGGCAGAGTCGGCGCGATGGTTTTGGGCTTTCGGGTCAGGGCTATGAGAATAGTGACGCAGCTGGTCGCTATTAGTATGAAGATGGCGAGGGAAAGTGCAGCAAGTTCATCCATTTCTCCGGCGACTTTACTTGCTCCGATTGCTTGTGTCTCTCCTTTTGCTTTAATTTCCTTCCTTTCTCTCACATTCTCTTGTGGGTCTGTTGCGTGCCTTTCCTCTCGATGGGTTTCAAGAGGGATTTGGGACTATGTTTTGTAAGAATGAAACAGAGGAGTTAAGAACAAGAGAAAGAGGGAAACGAAGAGAAGGAAAGAAGAGTTGAGAATGGCTTCTTCGAGGCAAAGCCGGCCTCCTTAACACTAACGTGTTCCTTTGATTAATCTTCTTGGCTACTAATTACAACCATTAAAACTGAATTATATAGGCAAAGCCCAAACCTACTACTCCTAAAAACTAGCTACATAGCACTATCCCACTACCAACAACCCAATTAAAAACCCCTAATTTTCAGCTAATAATTTGCACGTAACATACCATCCCTCTTTGAAAGATTCTTGACCACAAGAATCAACAGAGAACAATGATCCTTCTTTCTATACTTCCAATTGGTGGGAGGAGATGGCATACACCCACTGTACTTGCCATAATTCTCTTTGTCAATCTCCCCATATTCATTCCTGGGCGATACAAGCCCATTCACCTGGCTTTGACGCTCACACTCTTGCCCCTTCAGGTCACAATCACCCGGAGCCGGAGCCATGGTGGCGGGATGGGTTTTAGCGGAAGAAAAGTTGTTGGTTTGTTGGGCTACAGATGCAGCGACACTTTTGTTTGGTTGTGCGGCCTCTTCGGCTTCCTTTAGAGCAGCGATGCTTCCCGAGGCCAGCGTGATGACCTGCAGCAGGTTGGCTTCGAGCAGCACCTCAACTTGGCCAGTGGCGGCGGGGGTTGATGGATGCGGCACATTCGCTGGCGGAGCGGCGACTGATACTGATGGCGCAGTTTCAACGCCATCATCGACCTCTTCCTTAAGAACTTGGGCCCAATTTATTTTGGGCTTCATTGGGTTGTCGATTCCTAACCTGCAGGCGCCATTAACTAGCTTCATGGTGGGTTCCTTCTTCTCCCTCAATGCTAGCAATCGATCGAACCTCGCATTGAGAGCGGCAAAACCTTCACGCATGACCTGTCTCAACTTGGTGTTCTCTTGCACAATCCCCTCCAGCGTAGCTTCAAGTTGTTTTGCACAAGCCTCCATAGCAGTAGGATCGTTCGGCTCTGATACCAAATGTTGCGTGCCTTTCCTCTCGATGGGTTTCAAGAGGGATTTGGGACTATGTTTTGTAAGAATGAAACAGAGGAGTTAAGAACAAGAGAAAGAGGGAAACGAAGAGAAGGAAAGAAGAGTTGAGAATGGCTTCTTCGAGGCAAAGCCGGCCTCCTTAACACTAACGTGTTCCTTTGATTAATCTTCTTGGCTACTAATTACAACCATTAAAACTGAATTATATAGGCAAAGCCCAAACCTACTACTCCTAAAAACTAGCTACATAGCACTATCCCACTACCAACAACCCAATTAAAAACCCCTAATTTTCAGCTAATAATTTGCACGTAACAGGGTCACCTTCCATAGCATATCTGTCACTATATATAGTAGCATTTAGCTATACCACTTGTCTACTGAGCTTTCTAGTTATGCTACTCATAATTTAACATTGTGGAACAAATTCATTTCGTTAATTTTTTTTTATACAAACTGAATTTATTCATTTGGCGTTGTAGAACAAATTCGTTTATACCTATATATTTTTGTACTACTTTTTTATAGTACAAATTAAAATTGTATCTTCAACGTTATAATATATTCAACTTCTATTATATAAGATGTGTTTATCTTACGTTGTTAAAACAATATATTTCGTAACCTTTTATATAGTAGATGATAATTTATGTATGACTATTAAGTTTAATCTTTATAAAGTGTAAAGTCATTACGAAAGTTTTACGCTTAATGTTTACTAGATGGTTGAATACAATATAACTATTGTTTCCATAATCATTACGTAATAATGTATTTGCATTTACATAAAAATTGCAACTAGAATATAATAATATGTTAAATAATTCTTACATAATAGATGGAATTATTGCATAATGAATATTAGCACTGTATATATAGCGTACATTGTGAAGCCATTATATCAGCCTTATGTAACATGTTTTATTTAATTATTATATAAGACCGTCCTACAATTGTTATGTATTATATAAGCATTACGTAATAAACATAATGTTTACACGATACAACCTATCAGACCTACTAGAAAATGTCAAGATATCTAAGTCACTATAATTACAGTAAAAGTATGGGTAGGAACTATGAATTTTCCTTGATTAATTTTTATGTATATAGGTGAGCAATATTTCAGTCAAATACTATACTTTTTTTTTATAATAACAAATACTATACTTTTATTTATGTATATACACAAGCAATAATGCAGTCCAAATCCAATTAACCATACTTTTATCTTGATGTGAGAGGTAGAGGCCAGACAGTGATTGCAATTAATTACTTAACGTTTGAAAAAATGAAAATAGCATAATGGAGCAGATAGGGTATAAAATTCCTGTATGCAAAACTCCGGTCGTATGATCGTATCACCGTGATACGATAATACGATCAGAGTTTTGAATGATTGAAGATTTTGCAAACAAGAATTTTTTTATCGAAACCAAGCCATAGAATTGTGATACATTTGAGAAAGACCAATAATAAAAGGCCAAATTTTGCTGTTAACCTATCTTATATAAGGGATCTGATGAAAGATTTTTCTTAATAATTGACCAACAATAATTAATGCCCAACTGTATATTATTATGACTATTGATGTGACACAATTTGTTCTTATCTTTTCAATAATTTATTGTTGAACTTTGTTACATATAATTAATTCTCAATTGACTTTCTTTCCGACGACGAACAAGTAGGTCCAAGAGGAGGAAGATGAAGCCGCCTGATGAATCAGCTAATTATAGAGCTTAGAAGCTGAGGTGCAGCAGGCACATAGATTGGAAATATAGTACTACAGAGTCAGAAGGAAATAAAACCACATGAACTAAGACAATGATATACGGATTTACATGACATTTCAAATATTGAGACTAGATCACGAAAGAGATAAAGTTATTGATATTTCTTTAATTGATTTCAGCGGCATGTCAGTTATTTCTTTTCTTCCAACAGGCTTCATACCGCGGCTTACCGAATAGACAATTAACCCTTTAGAAGGTAGGCTGCATAGGGTTAGGTTGAGAAATTACCAAAACAAAACTCTGTGCACAACATGGAAGCTCAAGATTATGACTTATGAGAGTGAAAAAGTGAAGATTGATAACATGGACGAGGGAGTTAGTGAGTTATGCGCGCTGGCTCTGCCACCAAGATTATGAGAGTGAAAGAGTTGGGCTTATAAATTTGAGCTCCAAACCAACCTTCTCTTTTGGGCCCAAACTTGATTTGGATCAAGGGAGGGAACAAGGGCTTGGGCCTGTAGGGTTCATGCATGTGTAGGAAAATAGTTGGCAACTTATTCTAACAAATGACAACCCTTTTCAGCATGCCCAAAACGAGCCGAATATTTCACTACTTTGGTAAAATAATGATATACTCAATTATTTTAATTCTGAGCTTCCCAACGTTGAATATCATCCCCACTCATATATTAATAATTAATTATGTCCATAATATATATATATATATATATATATATACCCACCTTCGGCCCTCAATTCCATCACCACCAGTCCACCACTACCACTCTTGATCATTTCTCTGTTTCTGATCAAGGAGTTATCTCTGTCTCTTTGCAAGCTAACTACAGAGAGAGAATTAATTAAGAATGGATACTAATTATAAGGTGGTGAGAAGCTTAAGAATGGTGTTGGCATTCCTCAAATGGGGATGGGATTTGTTGTTCCATTTGTCCTTCTTCCACCACCGCTACCACGACTACTACTATTACCATCACCCAGCCCAACGCCGAGTTCAAGAATACTATGACTCCAACGACGTCGTAGTAGCGGGAGCTGCAGGGTCGTCGGAGGAGTCGCCGGAGTGCGCGGTGTGCTTGTCCAAGGTCGAGGAAGGCGACCAAGTCAGGGAGCTGTCATGTCGCCACGTGTTCCATAGAGTTTGTCTAGACAGATGGTGTCAGTCGTCGTTCACAAGGAGGTGCCCCACGTGTCCACTCTGCCGCCGTTCCTTGACTACTACTCCGGCGACCTGCAGGGGGAGCTCAGCGGCGGCGGAACCGCCGGAAGTGCTGCTCTTCGATTTCGCTAGCTTCGTGTCCTCCGATCGTGACACCAGGGACACTTGGTGGCTCCGCTAGCTATAGCTACTAGATACGTTGAGTCGTTGACGCATAATTAACTTGCAAATTAATGTAAACCGCAATATCATATATTCACATGTGTGGGGTAAAAAGGAAATATATAGTTGGGTGACTCTCTCCCAATAACATGGGGTAATGCAATGGAAAGATGTAGCTAGGCACATGAGATTAATCGATTTGGATCACCTATTTCAGTTTTTCTGTTTCCTTTTTAATAGATTGTATACTTAATTACTGATATAACACTTCAAGTTCCTAATGAATGATTTTGTGAAGTTGAATACCCTTCTCATCTTTAATAAACATGCAACGATATAAAATATTATCTTCGATTTCTCTTAATTACATCAGTTATTGGGATCAACGATTTAGTGCTTGACATTGTATTAGACTCTTTTAGTCAAGAAGTGTCATCATGTTCGAATCATCGTGCGACACCAACATTAATAATTGATTAAAGCATTTTGGTTGATAGTCTCATATAATTGTCAATTGAGAGGATGCATAAAGAAGTATTATAATCACTTTTTAGCCCGTTACATCAACTCAAATTATTTGGACCAACTGATTTTTCAAAAACTTGCTCATCATCACGTCTCATGATCACATTTGTTTTTTTGCCGCTTAAACATTTACAAGGGGCATTGGCTGACCGAACCCCCATTAGGAAGGACCCATTAATTTCCGGGAAAACTAAAACCGTATTATCAAAATAGGTATAATTTACTATGCTACGTGCGATTTTATTATAATATAATTATTCATTAAAACATAAGCTAAATTGAATCCAATTCGCTAGTACTTTGATCCTAATGTGAAGATAAACTCTCTTGAATTGTTGCACCTACAAGTGTTGAAAGGACATTTTAGTTTTGTACCACTGACGTTAAATTCTAAGTGTTGCAAAAATATCACGTTAAATTCAACTTGCATATTAGTGGAACATTAATGCGAATATTTTCCCCTGAGAACGTGTTGATAGTAGCCGGATGTTAAATTTATATTACTCATTAAATTTTATAAACACCTTATGGTAGAATAGCTTAAACATAAACATCTTTAGCACGCCACGATGAACTTTTTGAATCAATATATTCCTTTCTATATATGTAACCCTAGTGACTTCAAGGAATAGACTATAATAATCACAGTTATAATAATATGCTGGGTGCTTCTGTGACAGCGCCGGCCGGTGTATATGGAATATTGTCGTATTTTGTGTATGGCTCGCTTGACTGCTGGCGTTTATTGAATATATGAGCGCTAACAATATTATTTTAATTAAGAAAGGGTACACTATTGTAAGCGTGATCATTAGGCCATATTTTATAAGAAATAATTAATCAAACCGAAGGGTGGTTCGTAGAACTGCTTGAAACCTTTCTTGGCTAGATAGCTATATGTATTCGATCGAGCTTTCATTCACAGCATCAATCCCATAGCTTTCAAATCAAATACTCATCCACAAAGAAACCTTTCCCATATTTACTAATCTTCGACATACAAATTAGCAGTTCAGCAAACATAACATATCCAGATCGCTCGATATCATCATGTCAACTATGGTATTGGATCGGGACTCGGCAAGCTTCCCTCTCACACTCTGGGGCGGCAGCGATGGCTTCCTCGAACAAGCCGACCAGGAGGAGCGCCCGCTTGTGTGGGAGAATGAGTACGACTTTCTCAAGGAAGAGCTCTTCAGGAAGATGCTGGGAGTTGAGGTTGATGATAAGGAGCCTGCAGCTATTGCCGACAAGCTCCGCCTGATAGATGCCATCCAACGATTAGGTGTTGGGTATCACTACGAGACTGAGATCGAAGAAGCACTCGGGAAAGTGCATGCTCTTGGAGGAGACCTATTCGCTATCCGTGATGATCATAGTGATGGTAATTGTACAACGACTGATGATCTCTACAATGCTTCTCTTCGGTTTCGACTCCTCAGACAACAAGGTCTTCATGTTTCCTCAGGTATGTATATAATATACTGTATATATAGCACTATATATAGACTCAATTGTTTCATCTTTGAACTGGTTGTTCGAATACACAATCATATAACTCCAATTTGATGGATCTTAATTAATTGGCGCAGATGGGTTTAGAAACTTGAAGGACAGTGAAGGCAAGTTCAAAGAATGGTTGGCTTCGGATGGAAAAGGGCTTCTGAGCTTGTACGAGGCGGCTCATGTGGCGGTTCATGGAGAAGACATATTGGATGAAGCATTGAGCTTTGCTACCAAGACTCTCAAGACCATTCTCCCCCAACTCAGCCCTTCCTTTCAAAAACAAGTTAAGTTTGCCACATGTAAGAGACAGACTTGTGGAATGCTATTATTGGATCTATGCTGTGTACTTCGAGCCCAAGTATGAGTTGGCAAGAATTATGTGCACGAAGATCATTTCAATGCTTTCACTTTTGGATGACACCTGTGATAACTTTGCTACATACCAAGAAGTTAAGATGCTCACAAAAGCTATTGAAAGTTACATTTCTTCCTCGAAATATCAACTCTTAGTCCACTAATTATATTGATGAAGCCAATTAAGTCCTCACTATTGGCTAAATTTAATATACATTCAATTAATTAGGTGAGCTAGCACTTTGTCTTAATCAATCATGCACTGTATGCTTATTTCAGTTTCCATGAGAGCGCTCTTGAAGAGCTACCTGAAACAATGAAGAATTTGTATCGTATCATCATTGACCTATACGATGAAATTGAGGTGGAACTTGCAAAAACCGGACCTACTTTTGCTGTCAACTATGCAAAGGAAGAGGTAATTACTAGCAATTAATGATAAATGGGGACCTTCTAAGTTTCAAAATGAGCAATGTTATAATTACTAAATTTTCAATATTACTCATTTATGTAGCTCAAGAAAATATGTCGAGCTCACTTGGCTGAGATCCAGTGGCGTACTGAAGATCATGTTCCAACATTGGAGGAGTACAAGATCGATGCTTATGTTACTAGTGGTTTTCCAATCCTTTGTACATCTGCTTTCGTTGGGATGGGAGCAGAAGTAGCCAGTAGAGAGGCCTTCGAATGGGTGACCGACGAACCCAAGATGGTTAGAGCTGCATCTGTCATTTCTAGGATCCAAAATGATATTGTTTCTCATAAGGTATGTAATAGTTAAATATTCACATAGAAATTGCCTTTTGTTGATGAATGATATCTGATTCCATTTGAATGGAAAATAATTGTTGAATGTTTTTTTTTCCCTTAGTGGGAGCGAGAGAGAAGTTATGCAGCTTCAGCAATAGAATGCTACATGAATGAGCACGGGGTATCGGAGGTGGAAGCAGTCAAATTTTGTTGGGAGGAGATTTCTAGAGCTTGGAAAGACATTGCAGAAGAGTGTCAGAAACCAACTCCATTACCAGTAACCTTGACAGAACGTGTTCTTAACTTTGCACGCTCAATCAATGTGATTTATGAGAATGGTGATGGCTACACTCATTCTCACCTTTTGAAAGAACACATCGATTCATTGTTAGCTGATCCAGTTCCTCTCTGAAGAACTTGTGTGAAAAGAAATTTCTCTCTGTAAGAATGTGGCTAGTTTTTTCGCTTGATAATGCTTTCTATTCTACATTCATTGTTTCTATTTCCCGGTTGTATTATATATCAGAAATGTGTAAGTGGATTTTGATTTCTATCGATAAAATTCTCATTTGTATGTGAGAGCATGATCTTTCTAGTGTACGACCAACTACTAGTACTTGGGACTATTTAAATCTATGAATATCAGTCTAGTCGGCTAATTTACTATGAGTATTGATTAATGTTCCAATTTATTAAGAATCACTTGTCTACTTGAGGATCATTCAGTTGTGATACCCAATATCACGTACTTACTTATCCAAATCCAATTAATTTTATAGTACTTTTCTCTTGTATTTTATCCATTTGTTCTGAAATCACCTTCCAATACTATTGAAATTTTCAACTCTTTGAGTACAAAACTGTCCATTGATAAGTTTTCTTATCATTTATCTTATTTACCCACACAATGTGTTATTCTTAGGAGCTATTTCAAGAGTTGAAACTAGCACCAACATCAACATGTACAAACTAAGTGAATTTGAAATAAAGTTACATATTCAAGATGGGGAAAAGCTTAAGAGTGAATTTGTAAAAGATGCTCATAAAAATGAGAAATCAGGAAGGACGAAAGGGGATGGTTTCTTTGTCAAGCACATATTAACTCTTAGTAGTTGAACCTGTTGTCGATCCACAGGATCTTAGCAATACTCTAGCTTATGCAATTTTTGATAGCTTTGTGCATTATTTTGTATCATGTGTTGCTGATATCACAAAAATTTATGAAATTTCATTTTATACATATTCTCCAGAAAATGATACGAGACAAATATTCTAACATATTGGAGTAGTCACATATTTACGTTACTCCAAGCTTATGATTTATTCATTTATTTATTTCTAAGGGTGAACTTCTTCTGTTAAATTGGAAAGATGATGAAATTACAAGAAACACTTGGGCAAGTCCCTTGTTAAACGTCACTACCTAACAATCCTCTACCAAAAGCTTAGGATTATCCCAATAGTACCTCAAATTATAAAATTCATTACGAATCACAAGCCATCATCAAATTTTTCATTTTCGAAATCCAAAAATTAAATAAAACCATTCATTTTCGAGATCCAAAGCAACCCCAGCTAGCCCCTTAGTTAATAGCAGTGCTATTTACCCCAAACAAAACGAAGTAGACAACGTTCATCAACAGGACAAAATAAAATTAAAAGAGAACCGCAGAAAGAAAAGGTGGCATGCATGTGGGAATGGGCAGTACACTCTCCACTCCACACCGTTGCCGAGTACTTGGAACTTGGAGGAAAGAAGGGAATACTTTATTTTCTTTTAAGCACGACAAACTTCAATCTTTGTAGCTCGTAAAAAACGAGCCCTAAATTTCAGTAATTTGTTTGTGGCAACTCTTCATAAAATAATAATATAGACCTGAAAATCATTTATGAGCATCCAAACGTTGAATTTTTGAAACTCATTTTATATTCCTGAGTTTCTGGAACTAATTTCGAACTAGCCAGGTCAATGTATACCACCCGGCATCCGTCTTACCAGGGCTTATATATTATCACCACTTAAATTGTTGAACTGGTGAGAGGTGACTTGGCTCATGATCGAGGTGGAGATATACTGGAGGATGTTCGGAGCTTGGTTTCTCGCTTTAGCTGAGTTTCTTACTGTTTTGTTTCTCGTCGACTTAATAGGGCTGCCCATCATGTGGCACAAAAGGCCCTCTCATCGGGAGTTCGGCTAGTGGTCAACTCCCGCGCTCTTCTTATTTTCTCTGTATGACTGTCTTTATAACTATTGACTTTGAAAAAAAAAAGAGCGAGGAACCACAACCATTATCGATAGCTGAGTTATTACAATGTGCTAGTTTAGTCCTATAGTAACCGTTTGACATTGTGATGTTGTCCCATCCCCATTGAAAATTGTTCATAGAAGTATAACGTAACTACTTCTAAACCCCCATTTTGGATGAATTCTATAGTCGATACATTTCTATATTTAAAAAGTTCTAGCACAATGGTCACCAAACTATCAACTTTATAATTTGACAGTAAGTATTTGAAGCTAAATTGCCAGAAACCTTTTCATTTTTGTAACAAAATAGTTACACTTCTTTCTTTCCATGATGTAACTAAATGGTAATAAGAAAAGTAAAAATAAGGATGCAATATCAGTTTGGCTCTCGGGTGGGTAGAGTTAGTTCGATTGGTTATTTTTGGATGAGAAGGTGGCAACTTTTAATATTTTATTGGATGATGTGGACCGCTGACATAACGAGTTTGATAAATCTTTGGATTGAGATGGACGTAAATGACCCATTTATTACATGTCTAAAACTGTGCTACTGAAACCGTATAAAATAAAACTTTTGTTACTGTTTTGTACAAAACTCAAAGTCTTATGACCATTTGTGCTAATCACCCAAATTTCCACCCTTGTTTGCCAAACACAGCTTTGTTAACATCTGTCACATGTTTGGATTTGCAAAGTGTTCTCCGTTTCAGTCAATGCAGTTTGGCTTCATCTTAATTAACCAACTGTTGAACATACTTGATAGTAAATTCAAGAAAAGAGAGAGACCCAATATGGTGAGTGGGAAGTTGGAACCACGACAGATTACGTACATCTTTCTAGCTTGACAAAAACGAGCCCTAAATTTCTTTTTTTTTTTTTTTTTTTTTTTTTTTTTGATAAAGGTGAAATATATTAAGGAAAACAAACAAGAGTTAACAGCTGCTGATCCAAGAGAGGAAGAGCAGCGAGAAGCAAAAGAAAGAAAGAAAGAAAAGGCAAAGGGGAACACCACAGCCAAAACGAAGGCTACAAACAACACCCCAAACCCAACGAAATCAAACCAGGAACAAACAATACTCCATCAATGGTAACAGGGACCAACCGAACAGCAAAACACAGATCAGTTAGGAGGATCGAAAGCGCCAGCATCTTCTCCCTGCTCCCTGATTGAAAGCATCCGGTTCTGGTCGGTATTAGGGAGGAGGCGAGATTTCAGATTACAATACCAGAGATTAGCCTCCAACCTATCAACCTTCTCTCCCGCAATCAACCAATCGGCAATTGACCTTGCAATTCTGATGCAAACAACATTTGGCAGCTCTTTATGCCCTCTGAAAATCCTGGAATTTCTCTCAAGCCACATACGCCAGCAGTAGGCGTGAAGAAAGACGCTAGTGCACCACTCCTTGGCATTGGTCGGCTGCCTATCCCGCCAGTTCTTGATCATAGAGGAGATGTCCAAGTTTCCCGTATTGATCTGCACAAAGGCTCTCATCATTCTCCAAACGTCTTTAGCGAAGCGGCATGCTATGAACATATGATCTAACGTTTCTTCATCCGCTTCACACAGGGCGCATCGGCTTGAAAGAGACCATCCTCTCCTCTTCAAGGCGTCATGAGTCAGCACTTTCCTATGGAAAACAATCCACAGAAAAACACACACCTTATGTGGCACAACAGATTGCCAAACAACTCTGAATGGGAAATCAGCAACCCCTGAATATTGGTCGATGATGAGCTGGGAATAAAGAGACCCCACAGAGAAACCTTGCTGTTCATTAGGAGACCATACCGGTCTAGCGGGACCTGCAAGAAAGAAATCAGAAGGCAGACTATTAAGAAGGTTAAGAAGGTCCACTCGCTCTCTTTCAGCCCCACCTCTCAGAGAATGGTTGAGAGTTAAATCCCAAGAAATTCTCCCATCACTCAAGTTGACGAGATCAACAATCCGGCAATTCGGCAATTCGGCAGCAGCAACAACCCGGGGAAAAGCCTCCGCCAACGCACTTCCATTCCGCCACACATCATACCAAAACGAAACACAAGCTCCGGACCCTGGCGATATGTACGCGAACCTCCAAAACAGATTTTTACACTTCATAATTTGATTCCAAGGGCTAATACCAGTTGAACCACGGAGCTGCCCCGGCGACCATTCGGACCTTGCATTAGGGAACTTTTGTCTAATAAGTTCCCTCCACCAAGAATTTCTCTCCTGAACAAACCGCCACCACCATTTGCAAAGAAGGGACTGATTGCGTAACGTAAAGTCCGAGACACCCAAACCCCCCAGCTTCTTCGGCGCTTTACAGATATCCCAGGGCACTAAGTGTAACTTCCTTTCCCCTTTCGGCCCAGACCATATGAAAGATCTTTGAAGTTTTTCGAGAGTGTTGATCACCGAGCAAGGAGCCTTAAAAAGGTTGAACATATATAGCGGTTGAGCAGCCAACACCGACTTGCAAAGCGTGATTCTGCCTGCAAGGGACAGATATTTACCCCGCCATCCTTCAAGCTTATTCTGCACTTTGACAATGATAGGATTCCAAATCAAGGTAGAAGAAGGATTGGCACCAAGAGGCATACCGAGGTAAATGGTAGACAAACATTTCCACTCGCAACCAATGATCTCAGCCAAACGATCCATATTCTCCACATCACCAACGGGAAAAAGAAAACTCTTGTGAAGATTCACTTTGAGACCAGTTATATTTTGGAAGCAAAGTAAGGCAGCAGAGAGGTTAAAGGCCTCCTCTTCTGAAGCTCCACAAAAAATAATGGCGTCGTCAGCGTAAAGTAAGTGGTTGATAGCCTCTGATCTGTCAGAATCATCCATAGAGAAACCATTAATAAGCTCTGATTCCTGTGCCTTCTTCAAAATATAATGAAATATATCCATCACCAAGCTAAACAAGAATGGAGAAAGAGAGTCCCCTTGTTTCAGACCCCTTTGCATTCCGAAGAAACCTCCCGCCTCTCCATTAACCAAAACTGAGAGTTTGGAGGAGCAAATGATTCCTCGAATCCACTTCCTGAACCTTTGGTGCAGGTCCATGTTATTGAGAACTTTGAAGAGGCAACCCCAGCTTACCGAATCGAAAGCTCTTTCGATGTCGAGTTTCAAAATAAGCCCCGGGCGCCCACTCCTCAGCCTGCTATCCAACAACTCATTTGCAATAAGGCAGGCTTCATGAATCTGTCTATTCTTAATACCAGCAAACTGATGGCGAGAGACAGCTCTACCCATAAACGGTTGCAGCCTTAAGAAAAGCAGTTTCGAGATGATCTTGTTCAGGCTGCCAATGAGACTAATCGGGCGAAAATCGTTAACCTCCACTGCTGACTCTTTCTTGGGAATTAAACAGAGGAAAGAATGAGCAATAGATTCAGGCACAACCCCCGTAATGTAGAATTCATCAACGGCTTTCAAGATATCCTCCTTAATAATCCTCCAAGCTTTTTTGAAGAACTGAAACGAAAAACCATCCGGACCCGGAGCTTTATCTCCCCCACACAATTTAATAGCTTGCCAAACTTCAGATTCAGTGAACGGCACTGTGAGGATATAGTTTTCCTCCAAAGAGAAGAGGTTCTTTTTGAAATCCTCCGGGAACGGTCGATCGCCATTAGGTTCCAAGAACCTGTCTCGGAAGTTATCAATGAAGGCCTGTTTCAGCGCGGTATTCCCATGTACAGCTCTGCCATTGACAAGCAAGGTCTGGACACTATTTCTTCTTTTATTACTGTTAGCGACTCGATGGAAGTAAGCTGAGTTCTTATCCCCAACTTTAAGCCAAAACTCCCGAGACTTCTGCCGCCAAGAAATTTCATCCATAAGAATGACACGATCCAATTCACACTTTAGGAGACTTCTTTCAACAATGCTGGAATCATTAGTCAGACCACGTTCATTAGCATCATCAATCTCTTTGATTCTCCTGATGAGATTCTCAATCCTTCTGTGAGTTCTGCCAAAAATTTCAACATTCCAAATTTTGATAAGTTGCTTGCATTGTCTCAGTCGTTGTCCTACACGGAATAGAAGGCCCGAACCATTGATAGGAACATTCCACCAACCAATTAAGCCCTGCAAAAAGGATTCTTCGAGGAGCCACATATTTTCGAATCTCCACGGTCTATGAACCCTCTCAACCGAGCCCCAATTAACCATGATCGGATTGTGATCAGAATCAATTCTTTCAAACACTTGAAGCGGACCTGGAGAAAAGGTTTCCTCGAACCTCAAGTTGATGAGCGCCCTGTCAATCCGAGAAAAGGAGTCATCCCTGCCACTTCCACTTCTGGTATACGCAGCACCCCTCAACGGTAGATCAATCAAACCATTACGATTAATGAAACTGTTGAACTCGTTCATCATCTCCCTGCAGCGTGGGGCGCCTATAAAATCTTCATCGCTTCGTACGAGGTTGTAGTCTCCAATCAAACAAACTGGGCCATCATAGACTTGGCAAATATGATCGAGTTCCCTAATGAAAGCCAGTTTACCTTCTTTGTCGTGGGGACCGTAGACAAACACAAGGGCCAAAGTGCCATTATTTCGAGTGATATTCAGTCTAACTGCCAGAGAAAAAACACCTTCCCAATAATCAATTAAGCTGTAAAGCGACTTATCCCAAAGGACAACAATTCCGCCACGAGAGTCTTGAGCATCTTTAGCCACCCAATCCGTATTTCTACTTCCACTAACAGAGGAGACTAGGAATTGAGAGCATTCCTTCCACTTAGTTTCCAAGAGTCCCACAACAGAAGCGTTCCATCTTTTAACAAGAGTCTTGATCCTTGCCCGTTTATCAGGCGCGCCCAAACCGCGAACATTCCACGAAACGATTGAATCCAACATGGAAGAAAATGAGTCAAGACAAGAACCAGAGCGCGGCTCCTATGCGTCCAACCTGGGCGCCAAATCATCATCTTTGCTTTTCCGAGACCTTGTTCGGGACAGAGGGGTTGTCTGAGAAAAAGCTTGCGGACCCAGCCGATGCACCTCCATCTGCAGCTTAGTTCTGCGCCTTCGCTTTTTTTCATTGTTGGAGATGGACGCTAATTCCTCGAATTGTTCATCCGCTGATTTCCCCAAACCGGAGGTAGAGAGTTTAAGAAGTTGCCGGAAGACCTTGCCGACCTCAACCAGGCGAATTAAATCTTGGTCTTCTCTCCAAGACGTGAGGTACTCGTGATCAAAGGGTTGGTATTCAATGATTGCCAGGGGGTTTTGGTCAGGGACGGGGGAAGAGGGAAAATCTTCGGGGGAGAGGGGAAGCTCCACGGTTAAGGATGAAGGATCAGTGCTAGTGGGTTCAGGGCAGTCGACAGAATGAGGAGTAGGAAGGGGGGGAACGGATAGGTATGGATGGGAAAGAAAGGTTAACAAGAAGGAGGTAACAAAGGGGTCCTGGATTGTTAGAGGGATGTGGTTGAGGTTCACAATCAGGTGTATGGGCTTGGATAAAGGCGAAGTGATGAAGATTTGGGACGGATAATGGGTGAAAACCGGAACTAGGCTACAAAGTATCGAGCTGGGTTTGCACAACTGATGAAGGGATGGGCTAGGAGGATTTGGGATAACAGACATGGGCTGGGTTAGGGGTTTAGGGAGAGGCCCAAATTTCCTTACCCACTGACGGGGAAGGGGCCGAGAGATAGGCAAGGGGGGTTGAAGTTCACGAGGGCTAGCTGAAAGCAATTTAGAGGATTGCCCAATAGGAGGGGAAGGAGTAATTAGGCTTGCACTAGGGTCTAAGAGCTCTGACCTGTCGGGACTGTTCATTGTCCAAGGATCACGTTCCATACCAAATTCCTGAGACTCCGCCGTCGGCGGGACAAAGATGGTGACCGGAAACCGGGATGACTTGAACACGATTGGAATTTCTGATGGAACAGGGCCTTCCTCTCGGATTTTGAGAAGAACGAAAGGATCTTCCAGGTTATTCCAATCCGCATCGACAAAACCCCCACATAGATCGCCCACCCTCTTCAGGACACCTCTATTACGCAGGTGAAGTGGGATACCAAACGCCATAATCCATTTCAGGCCACCTTGACACTTGAAGTACTTGCTGTCATCTTCCTTCCAGAATCTGAGAACCACATTAAAAGATTTGAACTTCTTAATCCTAGTAGATTGGACGCGGATGGCTTCGTGCCGCGTTGGGCACTCGAGCATCCAAGCATCTCCCACCCTTCTGGAGAAACGGAAACCATCATCCAAGTTCCATGCCTTCCGCGCCCACAGAATGAAGTCCTCTTGATGATCCACTGGGAGACCCCTGTTCAGCACATCAAAGAAATCCAAGATCAAAAATTTATCAAGCAGACGCATCTTTCTTTCAATTCCATCTTCAGCTGCTTCAAAGGAACAGTTTCTGTCCAAATAGACATTCCCAGCTTTCCTTGGTTCCGAAGTCAGGCCCTCCTTCAGAGCTGACGCGAAGGATCTTCCTGGGATCACAAAGGAATCCCGACCCAAAGCGCGAGGATGCATCTTAGTAATCGGCCGGAGAGAAAGAAAAACCCTGCTAATCTTGGTCAAAGAACAGGATTCAACAGGAAAGATGATGTACGAGGTCCTGCCACCCTTCGAGACCTCCGAAATTTTCAGACCCCTGCCGAAACGATTCAAGAGAAAAGAGAAGGAGATTCTCCGCCCACGAAATAACTTAGATCCTTTCTCCGAAGTATATCTCCTTTGAGCATAACGGTTACCGAGAATGGAGCCCAGCCAGCCGGCGTGCTCATGTTCGAGGAATATGAACCGTCGTCGATTATCTTCAATGACAGAAAGCTTAAGGAATATCTCCTTCCCATAACTTAACTCTTCCAACACCAACTGCTTATGACCGACCTGAATAGTTTGTCGCTGATGCCCCTTGGGATTGCCATGCCGCGAATGCTGCCTTGCCGGAGACCTGCAAAAGGAAACAGACGCTCTCGAACACTCCCCAAACCCACTCTCACTCACACGCTCTCTGTGTAACTCTCTCTCACTAGAAATTGCTCTCTCTCTAGACATCTTTTGTCTTTTAAAAAAGAGGAATATTTGAAACTATAGAAAAAAAAAAAATGAATTGGAGCTGGCCTAGAGCCCTAAATTTCAGAACTTGGGTTGCAACTCTTGATAAAATAACAATAATTACTATAAAATTATTTGTGAGCGCCCTAACGTTGAACTTTTAAGCATACTCATATTATAATCCAGAGCTTCTGCACATCTAAATTCTAATATATATATATACCGCCTGCCTCGGCTGCCCTATTCCATCACCACCACTACTGTTTACAGCTACTCTCAACTTCTTCTCTTCCCTAGCTGCCTTTCTTGGCTAACTACAGACTGAGAGAAGATTTATTCGAGAATGAATTCTGGGAAGGTGGTGGGAAGCATAAGAATGGTGTTGGCTTACCTGAAATGGGGTTGGGATTTGTTGTTTCACTTGTCCTTCTTCCATCACCGCCACCACAACTACTCCTACTCTTACTATCCGCACGAGAACTACGAATCCAACGACGTCGTGTCAGCAACCGCCGAAGACCTGCGGCAGTCCTCCGAATGCGCGGTGTGCTTGTCCAAGGTGGAACAAGGGGACGAGATCCGGGAGCTGCCATGCCGCCACTTGTTCCACAAAGTCTGTCTCGACAGATGGTGTCAGTCGAGGAGGCAAGCCACGTGTCCACTCTGCCGCCGTTCCTTGACTAGTACTCCGGCCACCAGCCGAGGGAGCTCCGGCGGGGCGGCGCCGGAAGTGCTTCTGTTCGACTTCGCTCGTTTTGTTTCCTCCGATCATGACACCCGCGACACTTGGTGGCTCCGCTAGCTAGCTAGTTTTAGCTATAGGTTGATGCCTCACTTGTAAAAATGTAAACCACGAAATAATATGTGGGAAAAAATAATGACAGTATTTACCTCATTTTTGTCCATTATTCTTATCACTTTCCTAATTTTCGAAGTATTACAATGATATTAAGGAAAGTTAATGGCCGTTTTTTTGAATTATCTTATTATTTTTATGGTGAATTATATTGATATAAAAACAATCCCAATCAGTAGCTTCTTTCTGATTTGAAACAATTTAGCCTAGGTAAATTATACAGTTACGAAAATCATGGATGATTAATTTTTTTTTTTAATATCTGGATGATTAAAATTTCAGTATTAGCAGTAAGTGTAAGTTCGTAACAAAAATGCTAATATAATATTTGTAATGTAATTACTATTCCATATTGATGTGCAGAAGATAAAATGTGAATAACCATAAGAAAAAACAACTAGATCTCTTACCATTTTGAATACTCTATAAATATAAGAAACAATATACTGATTGACATAAATTACGGGACACACGTAAAGGTTGTAGGAACTCCTCCCATCCAAATTTCATATATTCTCTTATCGTTTTAATTTTATCGGATGTCTCGGTAGAGACCATTAATTCAAGTTGCAGGCAAATAGCTAGTGTCATGTAAAATAAAAAATGTAGTTGTGGGACTCTCCCTAGCAAATTAAATTGGTGGGTAAAAAAATGTTTAAGAGAATAGCTTAAGTAACACCGACTCGTATTACCTATTTTATTTGTTTTGCTTTTTAATATTACATACTCAACTATAAATAAGCATTGAAATGTCGATAAAATTTGCCAAAGTTGATAATCCATCTATTATATGAGATTTTGAAGTGATTTATGATTCAAAGATTGATACACAATATAAATTACACACTCATGTACTGATGTACAAATAAATAAGCGTAGATGAGAAGATAACACTATCAAATTGTTTCAATCAACGGACCATGGAGAATATGAGATTTGAGATCCACACGCTTCACATAAAGAAATGATTAGAATTTTCACAGAGTCATTGATGCATTACATAAAGACCTTCCTTTGGGCCGATACATGAGATAGAACACTATGACGATCTATATCAAAAGTGCACCGTTTCTAACAGCCATATATTGAGTTTATGTTAGAACTTTGATATTTTGAGTCTGTTAGCTTGTGATTTAGCTAGAACCTTGATAATTAAGACAGGGTATATATATTCATGCAATTAAATCAGAACATTGAAAATCTTGTATAGCTTCTCCATATAATAGTGCTTCTTACCACCATGATAGACTGTAATATCCCAAATACCTAGACAAATTATTTAAACGCAAAACAGAAAATCTTGTTATTAACCCTAGCAACTTGGCATGCATCAAACGGTTCTATTTGTTAGATGCTCTCACTCAATTTGACTTAAAAATTATAGTAATATAACCCAACTAAAAATGTCTTAATCAAACTTTGACACCTTCAACCGAGACAAAAAAAAAAAAAAAAAAAACAACATATCACTACTATATGTAACCCTAGCAACTTGGCATCAAACGAATCTATTTGTTAGATCCGCTCACTCAATTTGACTAAAACACTACATAATGAATTAATGATAATTAAGGTGGTCTCATAACAGGGCGGTCGGGGGTGGGCAGGGAGTTGTTTAATTGTACGGGACGTGAACATTTTCTTATTTAGGGTTCTTCAGAATCTTGGCTTGCTTATTGTCTCAATCGGTGTACTACTTATTCATAGAAAAACAGGATGATATAATTATTACACTAATTATAAGCTGGCGGTAATTGACCAAATTCCACAATAATAATAAGAAAACAGGGTGACAAATATGGAAAGAGTTTTTTACTAGTTAAGTACACATATGGTTAAGAGCAGGTAGCCCATTTTCGTGGCAATGCACCTAAAAATTCGAGATATTCCACTGATAAACAAGTTTTAATTATGGAATCAAATCCATTCATTCGATCTCCTGTTGGGAGCTTGGCAGTAGTACTCCTAGGATCGAGAACCCCACATGTAAAGCATGCGTACGTATGTATATTAATTGTTTTCCCATACTGCATGTGATTGATTTTAATAATCTTTTTCATTTTCATTATTAGTTGTCAAGGTGCAGGAGGAAGGCAGGAGGTGGGCGCTGGTAATATTAAAGTAATAAAGGGGTAAACGTGATGATTTTGTCATATTCTGTAAGAAATCAACTAATTAAGGGTAGTTCGTCGAAACTGCTTCACACCTCATTGGCTATATAAGTAACAGATTCACGAGCTTTCATTCACAACATCCCACAATCCAGCTTACAAACAAACCAATTCCCATATACTTACTTACCTTTGCTTCAGAAATCCAGATCGAAAATGTCGACTACTTCTGTTGTGGGAAACCAAAATGCTGCCGGCATCGATCGGGACTCAGCAAGCTTCCCTCTCACACAGTGGGGGGATCGCTTTCTCGACCAAGCCGACCAGCAGAGCCTTCAACTGGTCGGCGAAAGCGAGTACGATGTTCTCAAGGAAGAGGTGCGGAAGATGGTCACAGCCGAGGATGATGGCAAGCTGCCAGCCATTGTCGAGAAGCTGCGGGTCATAGATGCAGTCCAACGACTAGGTGTTGGGTACCTCTTCGAGAAGGAGATTGAAGAAGCACTTGAAAAAGTTCACGCTCTTGGTGACGAGCCATTCACAATCCAAGACAACACCACTACTCATCTCTACAATGCGGCTCTTCGATTTCGATTACTCAGGCAACAAGGCCTCTCAGTGTCTTCAGGTACATATACTTCAATTCTCCATAGATAATCATGTACTTTAGTCATTTCGCTTAATAATTTGTGTTGAAAATTGTAACATGATATTAATCCAACCTCCATTTTTTTTAATTGGTCAACAGATGGATTTAGAAAGTTGAAGGACAGTGAAGGAAGGTTCAAGGAATGGTTGGCTTCCGATGAGCAAGGGCTCCTGAGCTTGTACGAGGCAGCACATGTGGCTGTCCATGGAGAAGGCATATTGGATGAAGCACTGAGATTTGCTACCAAAACCCTCAAGTCCATTCTTCCCCAACTCGGCACTTCATTCCAAAAACAAGTCAAATTTGCTCTTGGCCTTCCGTCTTGGAAATGTGTTCCTAGATCACTTACAAGGAACTACATCGATTTCTACTCCGAGGATGCTTCCCATAGTCACAAGCTCCTTCGATTTGCAAAGTTGGACTTCAACTTACTCCAAAAGTTACATCGCCAAGAGCTCCACGAAATTTCTGAGTAAGCAGTACAACTTCAATTTTTTAACAAATTAAGGATCACATTTTTATTGGTCTACCAATGTTTGATATGTTTATATCTACTCAGCCATTACTTACTCTTAATTAATTACTTTAAATAGGTGGTGGAAAAATCTGAATGTGACTACCAACTTCCCACATGCAAGAGACAGAGTTGTGGAATGTTATTACTGGATCTATGCTGTTTATTTTGAGCCCAAATATCAGCTAGCAAGAGTTATGTGCACCAAGATCATATCAATGCTTTCACTTTTAGATGACACTTGCGATAACTTTGCTACAGTTGAAGAGGTCAAGATGCTCACAGAAGCTATTGAAAGGTTCGTTTCTTCCTTAAAATATTAATTTTCAATTTAGTTATTCATCCATATCAAATAAGCTACTTAAGTCCTAAATATTAAACTGATTTAATTCCCTCAACTAATTAGATGCATTACATACCTTTGTTTAATCAATCATTATTTGCTCATTTCAGTTTCCATGTACACGCTCTCGAGACATTACCGGAGACAATGAAGAATTTGTTTCGTATCATCATTGATTTGTATGATGAAATTGAGATAGAACTTTCAAAAACAGGACCCACCTTTGCGGTCGACTATGCTAAGGATGAGGTAATTTTTTTAGTCACGATAATAGTGTAATATGTATACACATAGTAAGTTTTGCCTTATTAGGTTCAAAGTTTCATAATGGAGAACATTATAATTGAATGATTTTTCATAATATTTATCCAGCTCAAGAAAATATGCCGAGCCCACTTGGCTGAAGTTCAGTGGCGTACCAAAGACCATGTTCCAACACTAGAAGAGTATAAGATCGATGCATATGTCACTAGTGGTTTTCCCATTCTTTGCACATCTGCTTTTGTTGGGATGGGAGCAGATATAGCCACTGTTCAAGCCTTTGAATGGGTGACCAATGAACCAAAGATGGTTAGAGCTGCATCTGTCATTTCTAGGATCCAAAATGACATTGTGTCTCACAAGGTAATCATCAAATACCCCTATACGTCGATATTTGCATATCAATATTTGAAACCATTTTAATTTAATTAATTGTTGATGGGTGGTTTAATTTTCTCTCAGTGGGAGCGGGAGAGAAGTCATGCGGCTTCAGCAATAGAATGCTACATGAAGGAGCACGGAGCATCGGAAGAGGAAGCAGTTGAATTTTGTTGGGAGGAGATTTGTAGAGCTTGGAAAGACATAGCAGAAGAGTGTCAGAAACCAACCCCATTGCCAGTAGCCTTGACAGATCGTGTTCTGAACTTTGCACGCTCCATTAGTGTGATTTACGAGAATGGTGATGGCTATACTCATTCTCACCTTTTGAAGGCACACATCGCTTCATTGTTCGCTGACCCTGTGCCTCTTTGAAGAACATCGTGCAAAAAATAATACCAATCTACAAATATGTAATCCGTTTTGCGTTCCATTGTGTTTTCTTGATTTCGTGGTCCATGATCTCTATTTGTTTCTTATTTGTGATTGCTGGAATGAATCTGTATGGTTTTGATTAGTTAATTTTCCTTGGCACTCGGAAGATTGAGTTCCTAACTGATCACTTTTTATGTGGGTGGAGATTGATGTTGTAAGAACCCAAATTGTATTGTTTTTTTAATTGAAAGGATGGAGAATTGAATCACCAACCTTCCTGTGGTTTGCTTTATAAATATGGAAAAAAATTCTGACGTATCGCGGAAAATTTGGCAAAATAATGACAGAAATTCTTGATAAGGTGGCTCTGAAATTTAAAAAGTATATCTAATAAGAAATTTTAATTACACAAGACATAATCTCATATTGAGAAAATTATGTAAGCCACCGTTATCATTGAAAACGCAAGCAACATAGACCACCTTTCAATTCATGTATCTAGCTCCCTGTGACCCCTAGTGACTTGACCGACTTCAAGGATTCTATATTTCTACGGATGGGGTCAGCGTGACGATTCAAAAGCTCATCCAATTTGACTAGAACACCATCAATCGGGTCACTTGACTATTTTCTTATGTTGGTGGCTTCATAATTAGCAGATAAGCTGACTGTATTTGACTAAATCCAGTAGTACAGAAAAGCACAAAAAGCCAAAAAATTCTACAAAGCATTTATCAAAAAGGACGAAAGAAAGGAGAAGGAAAAGGCCCAATATGACTGACAATAATACCACGTGATAGCACGACAAAAATAATAATATGTAGTGAAAAAAGTAATAATTAATATGTAAGCTTCTTAACGTTGAATCGTAAACCCATAATATTATTCAAACCTAGCTAGGTCTATATATACCGCCCGCCATGGCTGCCCTATTCCATCACCACTACTACTATCTAGTACTAATCATAACTTCTCTTCACTAGCTACAGACAAGATTAAGAATGGATGCTATCAAGGTGGTGGGAAGCATAAGAATGACGTTGGCTTACCTGAAATGGGGATGGGATTTGCTGCTCCACCTCTCCTTCTTCCACCACCGCCACCACAACTACAGCTACAACGACGAATTCAACTACCAGCAGCAGCCGGCCCATGACCAAGTCCAAGAGTACTACGAGTCTAACGACGTCGTATCAGCAACCGCCGAAGATCTACGGCAGTCCTCGGAATGTGCTGTGTGCTTGTCCAAGGTGGAACAGGGCGATGAGATACGGAAGCTGACTTGTTGTCACGTGTTTCATAAAGTTTGTCTCGACAGATGGTCGTCGCAATCCTTCACGAGGAGGTCCCCCACGTGTCCACTATGCCGTCGTTCTTTGAGCAGTACTCCGATAGCTAGCCGGGGGAGCGCCGGTGGACCGGGAGTGGTGCTCTTTGATATCTCTAGTTTTGTTTCCTCCGATCATGACACCGGCCGCGACATGTGGTGGCTCCGCTAGCTGGCTATGTTGAAGCATAAATTGTGAATGTATATATACCACAATATATATGCATGCATTTAAGAAATAAATGTAGTTGGAGACTCTTTCCCCAAGCAATGGGTGAAGAAATAGAATAAATAGATATTGGATCACAATTCCAATCATCAGTTGTTGTGCTCTTTTAAAATTGCATACATGTACATTTTCATCAAGTTGATTATCCAACTACAACATTAAAACTTGATATGAATTACACATTTGGCATTTGGGTACATAAGTTCATCCACTTTATAAACCATGATGTATTTGTTCTATATTTTGGAACTTCGATAGAAGACGTTTCCTTAGCCATAATATGGATACTGCTAGGGCTGGAAGCTCAGCGGTTTACTCGAAACTGCAATCAATTTCGTTGATTAACGAGTAACTGAGAAGAAAAATTTAACGAATAGAACAGTCTTGATTGTAGTTTTAGATTATCTTTTAGGGTTTTAGTTTAATTGCAAACCGAACCCAATCATAAAAAGGCCACATATAGCCGGAAAATCTAATAGAATTTGAGCTTAGTCCACCATGTCATTCCATATCTAAAGTCCAATAAGATTATGGACCAAACCTAATGGGTTATTAGGTTTAATGTTGGTGCTCGTTACAGTTGCTTAAACGGATTCAATTTGAATTCATGTAACTGGCCAATTCGATTAGCTTAACCAAACCGAACTCCAGTCCTAGATACGACCAACCACGAAACCCTATCATCGATGTCATGGGGATCAAATATTGGAGAACATGTTCAAATGATCAACCTTACGTCGTACCTAATTCGAATCCTTGAAATACCACAAATAGAATGAATACACATATATCTTCCATGGAGATCTTTTAACGCCTTTTGTCTCCTACAATCTGTAAAATAATACATGTAATTCCGTCGCTGATGACCACTCGAAATTTTAATAAAGATTGTGACCTCATTATCGTCACAAACTATTTCGGTCACGAAGCTATTTTTATATTTAATTCAAATAAATATCTTCGGCCGCCTTGGAATGAATATTAACTACCAGCAATCAACAATTAATTTATGACTAATGACAATTAGTGACAAAGCCAAATACGCAAGTTGGAGAAATCCAAATACCATGCATGCAGCCGTGTATGTGGAAAGTTATACATATTAGTATTTTATGTGGACGATGATAATAATAATAATCAACTAAAATGCTGATTCATGGTGGATATATATACGGATGAGCCATCGTCTCGGGCAGATCCATCGATCAAACAAACCTAAAACCCACCAACTTTAGAAGAGAAGAAAAGATCGCTAGAGAGAAAAGTGATCTATGGGTGAGAACGTAGTAGTAGCAGCCGGGGAGCTGATGGCGAGTGATTATTTCATCATCCCAATTAGTGTCACAATCTTGGTCACCATTTTTTCAATGATCATAATGAAAAGGTCTCTGAGCTCATCATCATCAAAAGCAGCTACACCTCCGGGGCCATGGAAGCTGCCGCTCATCGGGAACCTCCACCAGCTGGCAATCGGCTCGTCTCTCCCACATCGCCGGCTAGCGGAGCTGGCCCGACAGTACGGCCCTCTGATGCAACTTCAGCTCGGCGAAATCCCCACGGTAATCGTGTCGTCGGCCGAATGGGCCAAAGAGTTCATGCAGGCCCACGATCTCAACTTCGCGAGCAGGCCCTTCATCCCGGCCGCCAACATCATCTTCTACGGCGGCCGGGACATCGGGTTTTCACCCCACGGACCCTACTGGACAAAGATGAGGAAGATTGTGGCCATGGAGCTTCTCGGCGCCAGGCGTACCAAGATGCTGCGGCCCATCATGGAGGAAGAGATGGCTAAGCTCGTGGGCTTGATCAACACGAAGCCCACCATCAACCTCACTGAGATGATGCTCTCCCTCGGCAATTCCATCACCTGTCGTGCCGCCTTTGGCAAGATTCAGAAGCAAGAGGAAGTGTTCTTGCCGTTTATTAAACATTTCATGAAGACGCTTGGAGGGTTCAACCTCGTCGACCTCTTCCCTTCAAGTAACTTGCTGCGTCTACTCGTCACTGCCGTAGCCGAGAGAAAGCTGAAGAAGGTTCACTCCGCGGCCGATGCTATCATGGAAACCATAATCAACGACCGCATAGCTAAGAGATTATCAACGGCAGCAGCTGCTAGAAACGACGATGAAGATCTTCTTTGTGTGCTTCTGAATCTTAAAGACACCGACGACTTGGGCTTCACCGAGATTAAAGCTGTTATCCTCGTAAGCTACTCATTAATTGCGTATTGATTCATTAATTGTTTTGATCCGTTAATTGGTAGTTACTGATCTCATGATGATGGCATATAATATTGCAGGACATGTTTCTCGCTGGATCTGATACGTGGACAATCACGGTTGAATGGGCAATGTCTGAACTCATGAAACACCCAAGAGTTATGGAGAAAGCACAACGAGAGGTGAGAAAAGTGTTTAATGGGAAAGGAGTTATTGACGAGGCATCTATCGATCAACTGCAATATCTCCAATTTGTTCTCAAAGAAACTTTGAGACTGCATCCTCCTGGCCCTTTGGCTATTCCAAGGGAGAGTAAGGAAACAGTTGTTGTCAATGGATATCTAATCCCGGCCAAAACGAGGGTTTTCGTTAATGTATGGGCTATTAATAGAGATCCACGTCACTGGACCGGACCCGAAGTCTTTGAACCCGAAAGATTCCTCAATAGTTCCGTTGATTTTAGAGGAGTAGATTTTCATTACCTCCCATTCGGAGCTGGACGACGAATGTGCCCGGGAATGCATTACGGACTGGCTTTGGTTCATCTTGCCCTTGCCAATCTAATCTATCATTTTGATTGGAAGCTCCCTCACCAAATGAAGCCAGAAGATTTGGACATGTCTGAAAGATTTGGCATCGAAGTGAAGAGGCAAAATAATTTGTTCCTCATCCCCACTCCATACAAACCCAAATAAACTAGCTAAGCCCTGCTTTCACATGGATTCTACGGGGGCTGTATTCTAATAAATTTCATGCTGATGGCTGTATTCGAATAAATTTCCAGCTCCTTTTTTTTGTTACAACCTTTATTGTTCGTTTTCATTTCCGAATATTTTGATATGGGTGATTAATATATTTCTTCTGAAGGAAACAATGCATTAGTATAACTAATTTAGACAACGAAGAGAGCATAGAAGATATTATTGTATTTGCAAATGAATAGGGAGTGTCAATATATAAAGCCAAGATGGCAAAAGTAAGAAACGAAGAACACAATAAGCTTAAAAAATTAACAGAAAGGGAGTGTTACTACAGCAAAAAGAATAAAAGCAAGCTGAGCAAAAAATAACGCCACAAGTTTCTAAATATAGTGTTGTTTTGCCCAACCTAAAAACAGTTAGTATTCATTTGGCGGGAAAGTTTAGCAACGCTTTAATCGCCATTAAATGTTCCACAGTGTTTTGCTCGAGATTTAAACCTTGCTACCATAATCATGCCGTGGAACGAATCTTATAACTGAAATTTAGTACGAGCACCAGCGGAAATCGGTGGATCCTCTTGAAGTAGTACTAGTGGAAAAATAAGAGGCTCCATTACTCGTCTATCCAACTAAAAGTAAAAAAGTGAGAATATTCCACAACTTTATCCTAGCCATACCGCGTTTGAGACATGTAAATATGTAATGATGTGATCAACAATAATCAATCAAACTAGCTAGAAAAGCAATACTTAATACGATGTATAATAACACACTTGTTGATATGACTTGAATCGGATTATCAGCCGCTACGACTGGTAATCGGGGGTCTCGCTGGGCCTGGTCTGTAACCGTTTCCTTTGGCAGATTGGATTAGGTTTAGACCCACATGGAGAAGTACTATAAATACTTCTCATACTCCTCTGTAATCTGTAATCTCCTCGATATAGTGAAATCAGCTCTCTCTCGCCCGTGGACGTAGCTAACACACATCGTGTTAGTGAACCACGTAAATCGTGTGTCGTGTTTTCGATTCTCGCTTTCGTATTCTTGCTTTGTCGGTTCCGGCGATTTCTCGATCCGTAGCAGCGTGTTTATAACAACACTAAAGTATTGTTATAGTGATAACTCGAATATTATAGCTTTCAAAAGAATATAAAGGTAGGGATTTATCTTATGATTTCAATTAATTTTGTATAACAAATTAAATTAACTATGATCTCCAATGAGTTTGACATTTCCTAGTATGCATATAAGAAATACTCAAATGTGCTTTGTATACGACACCTAGTGATCCTCACAAACACCCGGTCAGTTCTCAGCCAACGAGTGAGATGACTCTATCAGTGTGGATTAGGGCTGGCTATTTGGACCGGGACCGGATGAAAAATCGGAAACCGGACCATATAACCCGGACCGAGACAGGACCGGGACCGGATAGTAAACAATCCAATCCAATCTTTGGGCTTAGATTTGAGGTAAAAAACCGGATAAAGACCGGATAAGAGAGCTCAACACCCAAAACTTAAGGGTAATTTGCATAAACGATCACAAACCTTTACACTTAGTACAAAACTTAACCAACTCCTCACCCTTTTAGGCCTTAGGCCACTCAAATTCCCACAATCTCAATATAAAATCAAGACCGAATTGGGACCGGACCGGATCAAGACCGGACTGTATCCAATCCAATCTTCGGTCCTTATATTCTCAAAAAAACCGGACTGGACCGGATCAATTTGGGCCAATTTAACCGGACCGGACCGTATAGCCACCCCTAGTGTGGATGATGAATTAATCAAAATTTGAATTTGATACTATATCCTGAAATCTAATGGTTGAACCTCTGACCCTAATTCTCTAAGCCAAATACCAAGATGAATTTAATAGGAACAGTTTTTGATTGTTCAAAGTCTCCCAAGACTACGCTAATATTTACTCACATATTTAAACTAGCTTTGTACCGACCCGTCAGCCTGGTGAATTTTATTTAATTACATTAATCAAGTTGATTCCTAAGTTCAAAC